CTAAAAAGTAGGAATCCAAGATCTTACCATCCAAAGTTGAAATTGCAGGTTTTTGAAAAGAAGCAACAAAAGGAAAATGGGATGAGAAAAGAAGGAATCCACGATCTTACCATTCAAAGTTCAGTCTTGCAGGTTTTTGAATAGAAAGCCGTGAAAGGAAAAGGAGATGAGAAAAGTATAGAAAAGTAGGAATCCAAGATCGACCATCCAAAGTTCATTTTGTGCTAGTACTGTGCTAGGACAGTTGGGCAAAACTATAGATAGAATATCCTCTAGAACCATGAAAAGACTGATTTTTTAAAGGATGTTTGGGATTAAGATTAAGCATGTATTGGTGGTGCTCCCTGCCCCTTCCTCCACATCTACCCATCCAAAGTTCATTCTTGGAGCTGTTTGAAAGCAAACTTTAAAAGGAAAATGGCATTAAAAAAGTAGGAATCCAAGATCTTACCATCCAAAGTTGAAATTGCAGGTTTTTGAAAAGAAGCAACAAAAGGAAAATGGGATGAGAAAAGAAGGAATCCACGATCTTACCATTCAAAGTTCAGTCTTGCAGGTTTTTGAATAGAAAGCTGTGAAAAGAAAAGGAGATGAGAAAAGTACAGAAAAGTAGGAATCCAAGATCGACCATCCAAAGTTCATTTTGTGCTAGTACTGTGCTAGGACAGTTGGGCAAAACTATAGATAGAATATCCTCTAGAACCATGAAAAGACTGATTTTTTTAAGGATGTTTGGGATTAAGATTAAGCATGTATTGGTGGTGCTCCCTGCCCCTTCCTCCACATCTACCCATCCAAAGTTCATTCTTGGAGCTGTTTGAAAGCAAACTTTAAAAGGAAAATGACATTAAAAAGTAGGAATCCAAGATCTTACCATCCAAAGTTGAAATTGCAGGTTTTTGAAAAGAAGCAACGAAAGGAAAATGGGATGAGAAAAGAAGGAATCCACGATCTTACCATTCAAAGTTCAGTCTTGCATGTTTTTGAAAAGAAAGCCGTGAAAGGAAAAGGAGATGAGAAAAGTATAGAAAAGTAGGAATCCAAGATCGAGCATCCAAAGTTCATAATTGAAGGTTTTTGAATGGAAAACTGTGTTTGAAAGGAAGAGTGCATGAGAAAAGTAGGAATAGCTGATCTTACCATCCAAAGTTCATTCTCGCAGCTGTTTGAAAAGGAAACTTGGAAGGAAAATGGAAGGAAACAAATTGGAATGCACGATCTTACCATCCAAAGTTCATAATTGAAGGTTTTTGAATGGAAAACTGTGACAGGAAAAGGACATGAGAAAAGCAGGAATCAAACTTTGAAAGGAACATGGCATGAGAAAAGCTGGAATCCACGATCTTACCATCCAAAGTTCACAATTACAGATTTTTGAAGGGAAAAGTGTGAAAGGAAAAGGAAATAAAAAAAGTAGGAATCTACGTCTACGATCTTACCATCCAAAGTTCATTTTTTGCAGCTGTTTGAAAAGGAAAATTTGAAAGAAAAAAATAAATTGGAAGGTTTTGAAAAGGAAAGGGAAAAAAAACACATTTTGAGCATCCTGGAGTAGATTTTGGAATATTCTATCTAGGGGGTCCGAATATATAGTTTAGTATTGGGTCAAAAAACCCTGGGTTTTTTCAAAAAAAAAACGCCCCCTACGATACGGGATTCTATCTACTCCAGGATTGTTATATATATATATATAAACGTGACATGTCTCATTTTCTTGTGGTAGCCTTCCCGTTGTACCTCTCCGTTGTAGTTTTCCCCCTTTACCTTGTTGTCAGTCCTTCCGTTTCCGGGTCAAAGTCCTGGAGCCGACTGGCTGGGGTATAAAGTGGCCATTCCAGGTAAAAATGTGTTTTTTCAGGGGTTTTACCTGGACTGGCCACTTTATAGAGGCATTCTCTGTTGGGGAAGGGGGTATAAAGTGGCCAGTCCAGGTAAAAATGTGTTTTCTCAGGGGTTGTACCTGGACTGGCCACTTTATAGAGGCATTCTCTGTTGGGGGAGGGGGTATAAAGTGGCCAGTCCAACATAGATTCTGTTTTTTCAGGGGTTTTACCTGGACTGGCGACTTTATAGAGGCATTCTCTGTTTGGGGATGGGGTATAAAGTGGCCAGTCCAACATAGATTCCGTTTTTTCAGGGGTTTTACCTGGACTGGCCACTTTATAGAGAAGAAGATTTCCCTTGAAAGGGGTCCTCAGGGTGAATGGGGTCCTGGGCAGCTCTATAAAGTGACTTGGATGATGTATCTCATGACTCTATAAAATGCTCTGCCGCAATTTTCTTTCTATAAAGTGCCCTGGATGCAGCACAAATTCTTCTTCTTAAAGGGCAAGTTTCACTCTATAAAGTGCTTTGCCATGTATACAGCCCCAACAGAAAAATATTGGCCCGAAATAATTGGGGAGACATGTTTCTATAAAGTGGATGGTGTGACATATTATGGCCATTCTTTGAAGGGAACCAACGGTCTATAAAATGCATTGCCGCATATATTGAGTCGTTTCCTTGTGGGAAACCAGCCGGGTATAAACTGGAAAGCCAACGTTCTAATAAAGTCATCTTCCAGGTCCAAGGGCATGTTTCTCGCGCAAAACACGGCTTTATCCCCCATTGTCGGTATATAAAGTGGCGACAGGAAACCCACTTTATAAGCGCAAAGGATGTCCACTTTATAGTGAGCTATACATGGGGGATCAAAACACACCATTCTCGGACCACTTTTGGAAGTTGAGATGTCGAAAAAGTGCACGCCGTTGTGGCGCGAAGCACATTTCGAAGTCAAAAGTGTTAAAAACTGACGGTCTCGGACCACTTTTGGAGGTTCAGATGTCGAAAAAGTGTCGAAAAAGTGCACGCCGTTGTGGCGCGAAGCACATTTCGAAGTCAAAAGTGTAAAAAAACTGAGGGTTTTGAGCCTTTTTTGACGTGAAGATGTCGAAAAAGTAGACACTGATTAACTTAACTAACTTGACTAACTTAACCAACTTCACTAACTTAACTACCCTAACTTCGACGACAACAGAAACAGCAACAACAACAACAACAATAACAACAACAACACCAACCACAACAACAACAACAACTACAACTACAACAACTACAATAACTACACAACAACCACAACTACAACTACAACTAGAACTACAACTACAACAGCTACAACAACAACAACAGCAACAACAACAACAGCAACAGCAACAGCAACAGCAACAACAACAACAACAACTACAACAACAACTACAACTACAACTACAACTACAACTACACAACAACTACAACTAGAACTACACTACAACAACTACAGCTACAGCTACAACAACAACAACTACTACAACTACAACTACAACAACTACAACAACAACAACAACTACAACTACTACTACTACTACTACTACACAACAACAACTACAACCACACAACAACTACAACTACAACAACTACAACTACAACTACAAAACAACTACAGCTACAACTATATGACTGCAACTACACTACACTAATTACATTACACCACAACTACAACTCCACTACGCTACCACTACAACTACAGTTGCAGTACATCACACTACATCCAGCAGTTGTGGTGAGGTGACCACTGCAACCATTGCAACCATTCCAGCAAACACAACTCCAACCACCTTTCGGTCAATCAGTGGCTTCGCTCTGCCATCCCTGATTCACAACAGCCAACTTCTCCTATAGGTTTCCTATTTTTGAAACTTCCGCCACCGCCTTGTGCGGTACTACTGGTAGAAGAAAATAATACAAAATAGGATATGATATGATATAATATGATAGACGATAGAATAGAATAGAATAGAACATATCTAATGCAATATAGATTTTTCACCAAACTTGAACCTGCAACCTTCTGGAAAGTTGAACATGAGATATACAAAACGTATCTGAGATCAACTAATTAAATAGGGCATGCATTGCTTGGGTGATCTAGCCGCGCTTGCGGCCAGGAACAGTTGTCCCAGCTGGTGCAGCTGCATTGTCGCAGTCGCGAAGTCGCCGGTCCTAAAGAGTGTGGGTAGGTCAACACACTCGTGTGGCCACCACTGTACCTCAGTTCACTCCAATTGATCAGCCTGTTGGTTGGAAATGGATGGAAATGGTTGGAGTTGAAATGTTTGCGCTATTCAACACTGGACCAATCTGGACCACCTTTTGGCGCGCAAATCATGCAGTCCCTTGTAAATGTATCAACCGAACAATCTGAACAACAAGCGAAACGTCGCACCAGCTGTGAGTAGTTGACCACTTCCCTTAAAATTAAGACTTCCGGGATGTGGCAAAAGCTGCCAGACCCAATATTATTTTTTAGTGTTTTTCTAGTGATTTTGGAGCGTTTCAGATTAGTGGTGTATAAGAGGGTTTCCTGGAGGTGGGAGAGTGGGAGTGGGCAGGGGAAAAGTAACCAGCAAAATTGTCAACTGTGGAGTGGCTTGAGACACTTTTTTTCATAAGAATGCTGTCCTTTTTGTGGAATCTCCTTTGAAGAGCCACTGCTTGAACCATTTTAGCTTGAAGCCTAAGCTACTAGTCACTAGTCACTACTATATAGTCCCTGATACCCCTCAACACCAACATCTTTCGCTCTCAACGGCTTGGCGAAATCCACGACAGCAATTTCAAGTTTTCGATCAAATCAAGCAAGCAAACCAAACGGAAAGACAAACAATGAATATTGTTATAATATATAGTGACTATATATAATATAGTGTAAATTGTATTGTCAGAATCATATATCGTATATATTACATTGTACAGCTGTTCCGGCTGCAAGGGGCCGGGGCGTGGCCTCAGGGTCACCTAGGTAGAGGCCTTCACGGGGCGGAGCGGACATGCAAAGGGTGGTTTGTAGCAAACATCTACCATGGCTTATGTGGCTTATTTTAGTGTCTTTTTGTCATGGGGTATCCACCCATACTACCCTTTATTTCTTTGGTTTGCAAAGCCGTCAATTCTTTCAACTTCACCCCAACATTCGGGGGATGAGACAAACTTCCAATCGAAGCCCATGGGAAACTCGTAATGGTCGCTCGGGTTTGTCACTGGCTGTGCTGGAGGAATTTCAGATGGCAAGTGGTGAGCCTTGCTCCCATCTTGAAGTGATTTCCTGCGATCGTCTCCATCAGAACTCCGAAGGCTTCTCCTTTGCCAACATCGCCACAGTCAAAGAACTGGCCTCCCTGCGAAGTCACGGAGCCCTTGTCTTGATTGTGAAGGGATATGCTAGGAAGAAAGTCCAAGCCCTGGCGTTTGAGCCTGGAAGAATTGTGGAGTGCATTATCTCAGTTCGAGATCCGTTGCAAACATCATATGAGTCAAGGGCATGTACGCTCGTCAATATGGCTTCTGATTCCTCCCTTTTCGTTGAGAAAGCTGAGGGTGAGCAGGAAATCCAGATCGACCAAAACCCAAAGATGACTATGTTTTGCGAAATCCGGCAAACAGATGCCACTGAACAGGACTGGCGCGCTTATGGATCCAGCCATGCCATTGATACATATGTGATGGAAGTGATTAAGTCACTAGAAAAGGACCAGCAGGTGGTGCTCCACAAAACCATGGAAAAACCAGGCTATGTGGCCAAGAAGTTGCAAGTTCCTGAAGAGTCGCGGGATGATTTGTACCGATTGTCTGGTAGATCATCGGTGCAATTTCGTCCGGCGCGCACTGCCTATGACCCAGCAGAAGATGGAATAGAGATTCTCCGCCTTCCCGCGCCTGACCTGAAGATTAAAGATGTCTTTGAGCAGGCCTCTCAGGGCAAGTTGGAAGGCTTCCTCGGTGTCTTTGCTTCCCAACATTCAGTGTATGCACGGGTTCATCCACAACACCTGGCCAAGGCAAGAAGATTCTGGATGCCTGGAGACACACGCTTCAATGAGCAGAATATCCACATGCAGTGCAAGTTACATTTCCGAGTTCAAGGTTTCCCAGCCGGAATCCACATCGACCAAGTCCACGAAGCCCTTCGCCAAGCCAAGTGGAATGTCATTGTGCAGCGAGTCTTGCACATGTCAGACTTGGCTGTGGCCTTCGTTGCCTCTGACTCGGCGCCGCCCTCACCGAGGATCTTGACATCAGTGGCTACGCTGCACATCGATGAGGCAGTGAGAAGGCCCCGTGCAATTTCCCAAAGTACTTCCACAGCGCAGGCCTCTACGCCACAGAGTTCTCAAGGATCCTCCTCAGCTAGCCCAGCTTTTCCAGCTGTGCCCAGATCCTTCCAGCCAAGCAAGTCGCAACCAGTACAAGGAAGCTTGATGACACCGATCGCGGCGAACATTTCCAGCCGAGTTGATAGCCTTGAGCAGCAGCTAGCGCGTGTCACCAATGAGTTGGAGACAGTTAAGACAGAGCAGAAGAACACATCTGCCCGGTTGGATGACATTGCGAAGAGCCAAGATCGAGGATTTAGCCAGCTCATGAACGCCATCATGGAGTTGAAGAATGAGAGTAGCTCTCCTGCGATCCCATCTCCGCCCCCTAAAGTACAGAAGCTGACCGGCAAGGGCAGCTGATGTCAGTGGGATGTGGAAGCACTTGCCGGCTCATAAGCATGAGGATATGCCTTGTTCATTTCTCCTTTTTGTGGTTGCCTTCTTTTGGCAGAAAAATTGTTGAAGTGCTGGCGGGTGGTTGCGAAGTCGTAGATCCACTCCAATTAATGGAGCTAGTGATGGCCATGGTAAAGCTTTGTTTGGCTTTTTCTCCAGTGGTTTGCATTTCATTGTCTTGGTTGGTTCACCTTCTGCCTTGTAAACTTTCAAAAGTTCTTCGCACTCATGGCAAAACAACTAGAAATCCTCTTAACCTTCGCATGTACCGTGGCAGAGCTTCCATTTGCCGTGGCCTACGGGTAGTGGCTTTCTGCGCGACCATAGTGAGTCCAAGCAGTCCAAGCATACATTTTAGTTTGCGCTATGGAAATTTGCAGTCAGGACAGTTGAATTATTCGAGCCCTGGACCAGGCAGGCTCGTGCATGAACCTAATTCGAGAGTTTTGCATCACTCAATTGATGAAGTGTTCCACTCCTGCTTTCATGTTTGGGCCCTTGGAGTGCAGTTCTCTTTGTCTCAACTTTTCTATCCTTGCCTTGGGTATCCTGGAGAGGGTCCTCTTGGTCTTGTGTCTCTCAACATCACTTCTCTAGTTAAGAATCTTTCCTTTGTCGTCGGGATCTCTGATTTCTGTCCGTCACCTGTTCATGTTGTTGCTTTACAGGAAACCCGAATCCCCCCTGACAAATCTGATTTCATTTCAGGGCATTTGTCACGACACGGATGGCACATTGTTTTTGGACATCAGCCAGAAATCAAGCCTACAATAGGCAAAAAGAATGGCTTCCGTCAGACGCATGGTGGGACAGCTTTTTTGATCAAGTCCGATATCCAATGTCAAAAAATTGACATTCCAGAACCGTGGTCCCACGTGTCTGCATCAACGACCATTTTATGGGTTAATTGCGCAACCACTGGGGCAAACCAGAGATGCTCTTCAGGCATCTACATAGTCAATTCTTACCTTCCTACTGGCCGCCAAAACAAAGAAGAAAGGGAGAGGGTTGCTGAGGGTATCCTTTCCTTTCTGTCAACTTTGGAACCGCACCCTGTTTTTTGGGCGGGGGATTTCCAAGAACTCCCCGAAGAGAACCGGGCGATTATCCACGGAATGTTGGCCAATTTATGGTTTGATGCATATGCCCTTGTAAGTTCCACTAAGTCATCGGAATGTGAAGCTACGTTTTCAACTTTGGGATGGAAAGATTTTGGTGTCAAACCAGGACAAACACGCATTGACCATTTCCTTTGCAATTATTCGGCCATGAGCATGGTGGGTGATTGTGTGGTTATTAAGGGGTCCCCCTTCAAAGGACACCGCCCTGTGTTTCTGACGATCCGGCCGGAAGTGATACATGAACCTTATTACGTAGTTACCCCCCATGATCAATGGGAATTGCCCCCCAAACCAAGAAATGACTCCGAATGGGACATCAGGGAGGCTTCACGTCGTCCAATTTTAGATAAGTATGTTCCCGAATTAATCCAAGCATCTTCAACTGGTGATGCTGAGCAGGTATGGTCGGTTGCTTGTCAAATTGCGTCTGATATGTTGGATTCCCTTGCTTCTACGAAAACTAGACACACCAGGGGCACCATTCCCAAATTCAAACTGTTTTCCTCAGTTTCAAAAAATCCCACAACATGGCTTACCAAGACACTAGCCAGAATTACAGAGATTGAATCCATCATGTCCGGAAGTATTTACAGTTGCCACAGTAGCAATGGTTCAAGGGGCGTTCCACTATCCCAACCAAAGATTCTGGAAATAACCAATTTGGAAAAGAAAGTACAATGTTGGTTCAACAAGTTTTGCCCCGACTTCCATTTTCGTTGTTTTCCAGTTCATGATTTTCCGCATGTCGCTTCCGAAGCCAGAAATAAGATTCAAGAAACCCAGGCTCATGAAGAGGAAAAACGGCGAATTTTCGCCGTGAAACAATGGAAAAAGAAAATCCAGATATCCAGCCAGACTGACAAGAAATTCGTCTTCTCATGGCTTAAAGGGAAGCATGCTGGCCCCCCAAAGTGTTTTTTGAAAGAGGATAACGAACTCACGGCTTCCCCAAATGAAATGCTGGATATGCTTAGCGACCACATGGAAGATATATACAACGAACACGCGGGGGTCGATCCCCAGAATATGTTGAATAGTGCTTTACGCACATATTCTGGTGCCATTGATCAACTTCATCACCCTGCAAATATCCCAGATATTGATCATCATGATGTTTTTAAGCTGTTTCAGAGAAAAAGTGAATGTAAGGCCGGCGGATTCGATGGGTGGAAAACTAAGGAACTCCAGGCATTACCCCCATGTGGTTGGGTTGGGTTTACTTTTGTCATGCGACTTGCTGAAGCCTATGGAGTTTGGCCTAAGGTTTTAAGGATGGTTGCTGTCACCGCTATTTCCAAAGGAGCACCCATTTCCTCCCCCCAAAATGTGCGAGCAATCGGGGTATCTTCTGCCATTTATGGAATTTGGAGTTCGTTGAGGTTCCGACAACTTGCCCCATGGATGGCACAAGTTTTCCCCAACAACTTATTAGGAGGAATTCCGAATAGGCAGGCCTTCGAATCTGAATTGTCATTATCATTGGACTTCCACGAAAATAATTTCCGGGATGACCCCATTGCAGTCTTTATTGATCGAACCAAATGCGTTGACCTTATTTTACCAGAATTAGCCATGGGTTTGGCCTCTTCTCTGGGTATCCCTGACCAAATCTTTCGGGCCACCCTCGCATTTTATCACCACCAGGTAAAAATCTTCAAACTTGGGAATGCCTATGGTAGAAAAGTAATGGGAACAAATGCTGCTGTGCAAGGCTGTTCTATGAGCATCATTATGGTCAATTCAATGTATGCAATCCTTTCAGCGCATCTTCAGCGATTGTACCCCAAAGTTTCATCAGCATGCTTTATTGATGATGTGAAAATTTGGGCTAGGGGTTTGTTTTCCTTCGATCTTGAAAAGGCATTCAATGAACTTGTTGCTTATGACACCGCAGTAGGACAAAAAGTAAACTTCGATAAAACATTCTTGCTAGCCAGAAAAACAAAGAAAGCAGAAGAATTCTTGCGGCGTGTCCGGGTCAAAGTATCAAGGAAGACAGTTGCGAAATCACTTGGGTTTACCCACCGTGTTGACCGATTAAAATCCGCAGCATTCCAAAATTCTCGGGTAGAATCAGCTTTTCGTTCCCTGAAGAAACTGTCTTGTTTACCATGTAATGAACATGACATGACGGGGTTCATCCATTCTGTTGCCCATTCTAAGTGGTTGCACGGTGTTGAATGCCAATTACCAAACAATACGAAGCTTGACAAATTGAGAAAGGCAGTGGTTAAGGCGTTGTCAAAAGGCTTAAAAACCAATAGGTCCCCTTATCTTATTTTGGCCACTGGTCATGACCCTTTTGTTGATCCTGAAGCTGCCGCTTTCAAACGAATTTTATCTAGACTAAGGGACCTGGCCTTTAAGGATCCCGCAGCTGCTGCTCGGCTCGTGAGCAGCGCCAAAGAGAAACGTCAGACCTGCTCAGCAAATTCCAATGGAGCGGCCAATGTTCTGGCTGTCGTCTTCAGCCGGCTCAAGTGGTCGTCCCGTGAAGACGAAAGCATGACGTTTTCCCGGCCAGGTGACACCCCGATTGATTTACTCTACGGATCAAAAAAGAATTTTCACGAGGAACTTGCAAGATCAGTTCGTGTAATGTTGTTGGCCCGTGTCCCAGCTAGGCACGACTGGCAAGGCGAACTTGATCTCCACATCGATATAGCCAAAACACGCATTCTCGAAGACGCTTCTTTGGCGTCTTTTTCTGACAGACAACTTGCGCAGGATGCAATTCAATTCTTGCCAAAGAATCATGCCTACACGAAGTCCCTACTGCGGGCCCTGAGGACTGGCAGTGTTCTTACTAGAGCACGATGCAAAGCCGCAGGGATTACTACGGATGATAAGTGTCATGGTTGCGACCAAAGAGAAGACCACCTTCATTTATTCAAATCGTGTGGTCTCTACGAAAGGAATCGACCTTCAAGTTTCTTCCATGACACAACGTGGTGTACAGGCATTTTCCCAGAAGGTGAACTAATCACCCAGTGGCGGCAGGAAGTTGTCTCTAGGCCCGTTCTTCCCATGGAGGATTTTCAAGCTTTTGAGCCTGAAAGTCCAATTTTTGTTGATGGCTCTTGTTTTCATCACTCTTGGGCACCTATGAGATCTGCTGCAGCAGCCGTTGTTTCGAAGTGTGGATGCTCAAAAGCTTATCTCCTACCAGGCCTTGATCAAACAAGCCAACGGGCTGAGATATTTGCAGTCATCGCAGCTTTGTGGCACTGCGCCGGAAATATCACAATTTATTCCGATTGTGCAAATGTGGTCAACATTGTCAATTTCTTACGACGCTGTGGCTTCTCAAATAAATGTATCACCAATCTTGACAATCGGGATCTGTGGGTTTTGTTCAATTTTGTGGCCAACAAGCGAAGCCAGCCTTTCGCGATGTATAAAGTAAAAGCCCACTGTGGTAAACACGACCTTTGTCAAGATCCTTTTCTCACCGAAGGTAATTCTTGTGCTGACAAGTTAGCAAAAGATACTGCCTGGGCTTTCCTCGAAGCCCGCCAACAAACGGCCTGCGAAGAACTTGCATTGGCCATGTCATTGCAGGCCCATTTGGTCCATACGTTGGCCACACGTAGTTCGCTCTTCAAAATGTTACCAGCGGAGATACCAGCGGGGCAAGATTTTTTTCCCCATTACAAGGTGTTGACTTCATCATTTGTATGCTCCTGCGCCCCCAAAACTCGGATTTTTTCTAAGGGCTCTGTTTGTTCTGGGACGTGTCGCCCACTGGTAATCCGTGCCGGTGATGCCGAAAACATGTTCATCTCTTGTGTTAAACGAGGCGAACCAATTAGTCCTTTTATCAGAACTAGAGTATCTTCTCACCATAACAGGTATATCGCCATCGCTTATCCCCAAGAAATGTGGCAGCCATTAGTCACAAGTCCAGATCCTGCATTTTTGGCTGCCGGACCCATGCGGCTTAGCCCCAGCGCAGCTGGCGCTATTTGTGAATTTTTCTCCCAATCGGCATGGGTCGTTGGATCGCATAGATCCATCCATAGAACGTCGTGGGTTGAAATCATGGCAGATTTTGTTTTCCAGTTTGGATACTTTCCGGGTTTCATAAATCAATCCATGACTTTGAAAGTGCTTGTCCAAAGGTTCAAGCGAGCTGCCATGCGACTGTTCCAATCCCACCAGCTGTCCATTAATGCCCTGAGATCTACACATTTGTTGAGTTTTGGATTTTGCCACGTAGCTTCCCTGCACATTTCTCGTTCATTCCATTTTCCGGATCATATCTTCGCTTTCTTGATGGGGTGTGCCTCCAGATTTGCTGCAAAAAATAATCCGCTCAATTTTGTGCCACCTTTACATGAGTTCTTTTGATTGAGTGATGCTTGCATTCAAATTAAATGGCATTCGCCTACGCCGTCTTCGCCCAGTTTCTTAGCTTGGAGGTGGCTGCGTTGTTGGAGAAAAAAAAAGTATATATTACATTGTACATACTTTGGAAATATCGTTCCTCTCTAACAGGACACACTAAGACATAGAGGAATAGCACCATCAATCAGGTACAGAGATACCAAAATAAGTTGAACAGACAGATTTTCTTTCACCAACTGAAACCAGACAACTCAAATTTACAATCTACAAGTTGCTTGGCCTGCTGCGATCCAAAAAGAGTAGCTAAATCAGAGACTTCATGAACCCTTTTGGAAACATGCTATTTCGAAACGCTATTTCAAAACGCTAGAAAAACGCTAGAAAAACACTAAAACTCGAGGTTTTAGCGTTTTTCTAGCGTTTTTGGAGCAAATAACCTAGGACCCCGAGAAAAACGCTATTTCGAAACGCTAGAAAACGCTAGAAAAACACTAAAACTCGAGGTTTTAGCGGTTTTCTAGCGTTTTTGGAGCAAATTACCTTAGCAGCCCGAAAAACGAACAACGCTAAAAAAACGCAAAAAAAACACTAAAACTCGAGGTTTTAGCGTTTTTCTAGCGTTTTTGGAGCAAATTACCTCAGGAGCCCGAAAAACGCTAGAAAAACGCTAAAAAAACGCTAAAAAAACACTAAAACTCGAGGCTTTAGCGTTTTTCTAGCGTTTTTGGAGCAAATAACCTAGGACCCCGAGAAAACGCTAGAAAAACGCTAAAAAAACACTAAAACTCGAGGTTTTAGCATTTTTCTAGCGTTTTTGGAGCAAATTTACCTTAGGAACCCGAAAAACGCTAGAAAAACGCTAAAACTTCGAGTTTTAGTGTTTTTTAAGCGTTTTTTTAGTGTTTTTCTAGCGTTTTTCGGGCTCCTAAGGTAATTTGCTCCAAAAACGCTAGAAAAACGCTAAAACCTCGAGTTTTAGTGTTTTTTTAGCGTTTTTTTTTAGCGTTGTTCGTTTTTCGGGCTGCTAAGGTAATTTGCTCCAAAAACGCTAGAAAAACGCTAAAACCTCGAGTTTTAGTGTTTTTCTAGCGTTTTTCTAGCGTTTTTCGGGCTCCTGAGGTAATTTGCTCCAAAAACGCTAGAAAAACGCTAAAACCTCGAGTTTTAGTGTTTTTTTAGCGTTTTTTCTAGCGTTTCGAAATAGCGTTTTTCTCGGGGTCCTAGGTTATTTGCTCCAAAAACGCTAGAAAAACGCTAAAACCTCGAGTTTTAGTGTTTTTCTAGCGTTTTTCTAGCGTTTTTCTAGCGTTTCGAAATAGCGTTTCGAAATAGCGTTTGCGTGGGCTTTTCGAATCGTGATGCTGTTTGTTCAGGCGGCATTCGGCTTTTCTGAAATTCTCACAATCACGAACCAATCCTTTTGGTTTCACAGTGGTTCCTGTTCCTTGTTATTGATGATGCATCCAAGTTGCACATCAGTCAGAAACAGAGTCAGTACCATCATGATTGGTTGACCAGCCCAGCAATTGTTTCATCCAGTAGCAGTTCAGTAGTGGCAATGCAGCAATGACTCAAGTTCAGTAACAGAACACCTTTCATTCTAAATATCCTAACTAAGAGTTACAGATTCTAAAGTTGTCACATTTTCTAAAACATTTGGGATACAGTCTAGAGTCTAGAGTCTAGAGGGTTCCAGATATCGAACAACATAGATATTGAAGCTTGGCTAAGCAGACGAATAGTATTTACTGACCATCCTTTCTTGACTTAAACTTAAACTCACGCATTGTCATACATTCCAACAGTGCCCCTTGCCTGAACTGTGAACTTAGAAATCTATATTTTCCTTTCAATATTGAAGTACTTTCTATGATGGGTTCCAGTATGAGTAGGGTAGTTCCAATATTTGTCAGAACCCACACCCAAAGATTGACAAGAAGTTTTCTTTCAGCGTTCCCCAAGCAACTTGCCTCTGCTTGTGAGCAAAACGGTGGACACAACACAAGGAACTGAGCAAACCAAACCGCAATCACCTTGAATCTGTGGACAAAAGAATGGAAAGCCAAAACATTAACAAAATAAACGCTAATCAGAAACGCTAGAGAAATACTAAATAATCACTAAAAAATAAATTTTGATACCCAACAGTGTTTCCCACTTCTGGGAGTCTTAACCTTAAAAGAAACAAGACACTGGACGCTGATGTCGTAGTTCCAGTGCTGAAGTTGGGACTTGTCTTCTTTACCTGACACTCCATGCCATTGCGGCATGTGTCTGCCATCATTCTCCAGCGTGCACCCAATATTTGGCATTATTTGCTGTCATTTGCTGGCCCATCGTGACCCATACGTATAAGAGTGGGTCACGGGTATTGTCTCGTTGCTGGCCGGCTAACTTCTGAAAAAAAAATCGGGTCAAGCTTTACAAACGCACAACCAGTTTTCATGGCCGCGCCTGTGTACAGGAAAGCACGCTCAAATAGCCAAGGACATTCTGGTGGGCAATGGTACACAGGCAAAAGCGGCACCTGGACAAACAAAAATGGTCAATGTATGGTCAATGTGTTGTATTCAACCTGAAATAACCTGAACCACTCCCAAGAATCGCAAACCAATTCTCAGCAATGCAGATTTGGATCCAATTGAAGATCATTGTGAGTTTCGCCGCAGCATGCCCAATGTTTCACTTTAGTAGGAAACATTGCAGAGAAAAAAGGCACCCAACAGGTGGGTTGTCCAACAAACCTCGAGATGCTTTGAGCCTTCTCGGGCGGATCCTCTTTGGCATCTGAGCACTCAGGAAGGAAAATCTCCTGCACTTTGCCAAGGCTTCTGTGCGTGTGCCTTCCAGTTATAGAATCTGTCGATGGAATCCTTGCACCTCTGAAATGCTGAACCCCGAAAACGAAATGAGAGAGCGCATGCCTGCAGTGACAGCAAGCTTTCGATTGTAGCGGTGGTGGTTGGAAGCTTTTTATATGCTACACAATTTCTTGTTCAGTGGTGTTACATAGAAACAAGCAAGAGGTTGCTCTGGTCGGCGATTTCAACCCATCCCATGTTCCCCAAGTGAAAGACATAATGAATATGTTTATGAATGAAAAAATAGGCCACCAACCAATCACCTCTGCATCCAGCCACCATGGTGACCCAACAGCACCCGCTCCAGCTCGTTGATCACGGAAACGGCTTCAGCACCACTCACCCAGCAACGGAGGACGACGAAAGGTCCCATGACCTGGCACAAGCTGGGGGCCCATTGACAACCGGAGCCACTAATATCCATTAACATCATTTAACATCCACTCACATCAATTGACCCGCCCCAAAATCATAGAAAATGGCTGAAAATGGCTGATGGTTTGGAGGTGCATAGTTTCAATCTCTCTGGAGAAAAAAGCCGTTTGTGCTAAGGGGATCTTCATCCCAAAGAGGAAAATATTGTTGAAACCTCCTACAAAAATTAAGGCTTTGGGCACTGCAATTCTCATGTTCTCATGGCTAAAGTTGGATACCCCATTGATGGCAGGAGACGATTTTAGGATGAGGGTGATGAGCTTTTCTGGCAGAAAACTCACCCAATGAAGCTGGAAGGCAGCACGATTTACCCATAAATACCTGGGTTTCATGACGCACAACCCCCCGAAAATCATCCAAAGTCAATAACAGTCTTCCGATTTTTAACAGTGATTTAAGTGGATCTTAAGCTGTGTCACAGTTCCGATCCGCCGGTCGAAACACACTTTTTGGATCTTTTTGGAGCGTGCCATGTGCCAGTTTCATCTGACTGTATTACACAAACTCCGAGTCCAATGGGGGCAGTGAGGCATCTTTTCATGAATTCACTCACCAGTGGACCTAAGCTTTAAACATAATGAAGGGTGGCCATGGATCTTGGTTCTTGGCCTGATACGTTCGCTTCAAAATGTCTTCTTGGCTTCGAAGGCGCATGTGATTTCAAAACATTTCCAATATTTTCCAATATACGTTGAGCCTGCTGGGCCCTGCAATTTGGCTGACCTTCCTCCCTGTGGGGGTGCGGCGCCCGTTTTTCACCACTTATCAACACACCTCCAAATTAAATATATACTTTCAAAGTCCCGCCGAATCTGAAGCCAAGTTCTGCAGACTGCCCGACATGGCCACGATGACATTGTGGCACATACACGGCAAGACTAGCTGTAGTCTTAGAGCCGTGAGTCGGTCGCAGTGGCAACCGGATGACAGACCACTAGACAAGCAAGGACGAACGTACAAAAACATCATCGTGCTACGGCTGGTTTCAAATCAGTTTCAACTTGCTTCATCTGGATGGCTTCCTGCAGTCTTGAAACAGAAATTTCGCTTGGAGGACCGAGAGATTTCTGCAGAGTATATTCATACATATTGATAAGCAAATAACTACATACCTTGTATGAAGTCCACGAGATTGCTCTCCTCTCTCTTGTACTTGAGAATGTCGGACACTAGGCCCTCGAGCCCTCCAAGCAAAGATAGTCTACACCTATCTAAATCTAGGACAACACAAACATCAGCTTTTGCTGCGCGCTGTGCTCTCCACGACTCCCTGAGAAAAACCTGTCTTCAACAAAGAAAATCATAATTAATCATTAATAAGATTTAGTATGATTTGATGATAATAAGTTATAAGCAAACATCCACACACGTCAAAATGTTGTAATCTCATCATCTCATCAAAGAAACTCACAATAAAACAGGTAAAGAGGGCACGATGATGTCCTTCTGGAAAAACCAAAATGCCCAATCGACTAATCGGTGTGGAAAAGGACATCTATGGCTGACGATCCATTTCTTCGCACCAGTCTGGCTCAGCGCTGCATCTGCTTTCGGATCTTTCGGTCTCCACAAGCGGAAGCCTCTCAGCTGCAAGCCCTTGAGGCCCTTGAGCCTGTGGAGTCTGGGCATCCCGGGCATCCCGGGCATCCAAACCCTGGCGACCCTGGCGACCCTGGCGACCCTGGCGACCCTGGCGACCCTGGCGGAGTGGCAAGGCCGCTAGGCCCATCGCATGGACTGCACGGAGGGCATCTGGAAATCGGCGCAAGAGAACGGCATTTGGAGGCTCCAAAGCCAAGGCTTGGATTGAGAGCGACAGTGCATCCATGTCGATTTGCAGTGAATCCAGCTTTGCTGAGCTCAAATTGCGCCAAATGGATCTCTTTTGAGCATGAAAAGCTGTGCCAGGTACCAGAAAAGGCAACTATTCTGCAGAACACATGGAAGCCCCAAAACATAGGTTTTTGGAATATGATTCTCCTCTCTTGGATGCATGGGCATGACAAATTGGGAAGCTACCAGGACTGCTGTTTTTGCTTAAGGTTGCTTGGTGTTGAAGCTCTCTGAAGAGTGAGCAGCACGGCTTGATGAAGTCGCTCAGTCAGGTCATACCAAAACACCTAAAGAAGAAAAAGAAGAAGAAGAAGACACTTGGAATATCAACAAGCAAGTCAATCTTGTAGGTGTAAGAAGACGTGTCAGGGAACTTCAAAAGGTGTATAATGCTAGCATCTACAATCTGAGATCGGCATCGATCTGCCACAATCTACCCAAATAGTAGGGGGACCAGCACTGCCACTAGCTAGCACGGCTCCCAACACCCATACGACCCATACGACCCATACGACCCATACGACCCATACGACCCGAGCCCACTGCCTGGACTCCCAAGACGTGCTTTGGGTTCGGGTGCGTAGCATCAGCCAACAGCTGGACATCATCGTAAGAAACGGCGCAGGCCTTCAAACTGCGGGGATGGCCATCATTGAATCATGCCCTGATTTTGCGGCTCCTGGTGCCACTCTAAGATCTATAAGTCAATAGAATCAATAGAAAACAACCAAGTATCAGCCATGAATCTGCAGTATGATGGATCTCCATCCATCTCTTGGGTTTGACATTCTCCATAAATCGACAGACAGAAATCCAATGCTTCATCATGTTCATCCAATTTATGAAATTATAATTATATGGAAGTCTCCTAAATGGAGGGTTCCCCCCAAATCATTCATTTAGATAGGTAGGATTTTCCATTATAAACCATCCATTTTGTGGTATATTTATGGAAACCTCCATATAGCAAGTTTGCGGGTATACATCCCCTCATCCCCCTGCCTCAGGCACATCGTCCAAGAGCTGCAATTGAAAGTCCATCTCTTCAGCCACGGCTTTCATGGGCCCGACGATTTCAGGCCCTTTGAGCCACAAGAAATTTCTACCGACGGCAAATCCTGATGGCCCAACAGGAGCCTAGAACCTCTGTGACATGTGTTGACTTTATATTGGTATTGGGATGGATGGGGATGCATGTGGGAACCCACGCTGCTGCGTTGCATTGCGACGACATCCCTGTCTTCACACTCTCTGAAAATTCAGCCGTGTTGTGCGCTGCTTAGACTAGCACTCACATGAACCAAATGTATCAATGTCATACTGCTGGTTTCATCCCGGCTTGTCATCTCTATGGGGGTTTTCTGGTCTGTGATCACTGTGATCTTAAAAATTCTGAAAATGACAAGCTTTTTCTGGGCTTCTCCAATCGCTCGACCCATATCCGACCTCATCGAAGGGATGGCCGCTGCCAGCCTCTCATTTGGACGAACTAATCACATCCATCAACCACCCGAACGATTGGCCCCCGAAGTGCGCATTGCTATGTGTCTATGGTATACATATGATATACATATAATATACACAACATTGTATTATATTAATACCCATGTTCATTCACCCCAAATGGTTTATCCGCACTTTCTTTTTAGCGTGGACCACGGCCTCCCAGTTGAGTTCCGGCCCCAAAGATATGTTTCTATCTTGTGGCAACCCCCCCAACATCTTAAGGGGGTATACACCGCCCCTGGGGAGGGAGTGGCAGGGAACAAAAATTCCTCTGCCAAGGGGGGCCTGAACCTAAAACCATGACGGGGTTACATAAACACTGACATGACACGTCATGAGCGCGTTCACTCACCCCAAATGTTTTATCCGCACTTTCTTTTTAGCGTTGACCACGGCCTCCCAGGTGAGTGCCGGCCCCAAAGATATGCTTCTATTTTGGGGCAACTCCCTGATTCAGCCACTCACCATTTGGAGAGGACTTTCACGGGTCTCTGGCAAGCTTTACCAAATTTTCCGTCTTTCTTTTCTCTAGAGCGCTGCTCCTTCAAAGCTTGGATCTCCTTGTAGAGCGACAACAGAGGTAACGCCTTTGCAGTCCTGAAAGCCATGAGCACGAAGTTCCCCCTCACTTTGCTGCTAATGGAATTGACTGAGGGGCTTAGATTCAGAGACTTGAAGCTGTATCTGGAATGGATAAGGAGAGAAGATAACATTGAGGCTGATGCTCTCAGCAATGAGGATTGGGGTGACTTCAATGAGGAGTTGAGAGAGATAAGGAGACCTGAGAGGATAGGATGGAAAGTTTTGGATAAACTCAAGGTAAGAGGTGAAGAGGTGAAAGCTTTCGCCCTTGCTTCTACTGCCATCACCCCCCCATAGCTTGACAGCCACAATCGTAGCCAGTAGTTCCAAGGCGGCTATCATCCTTTTTGGGCTGCCTCCTCTCTTTTTGAGCCATGCGGGCAATCACCTCATCAACCTTGAAACTAAACCAAGGGCATTCTTTCATGTCTTATGAAAGTGCCAGGTAACCACCTATGCACGCATCCTCATCTGACGCCCTAGCGTCCGTGTAAAAGGTGATCACCCTTTGTCCTCCTCCCCTTTGATCACCTCCATCCGGCCGCCCTCCCCAAGCCTGCCTGCAACCCAACCAAACATGGATAGTATTGCCCAGGGGATCAGGACTTCTCCTCTTTGGTCTCTGATTGCGGCTGCCCAAACAGATAGCGGCCTTCTCCATCCAAGCCAAGCCCCCCCAAAGTCTCGGGGTGGCACCAGCCATACAGACCTATTTTCTGGCCCAAAGAGTGCCTCCCAAAATCAATGGTCAGCTCGATCTACCCAGTGACCATTCCTCCTCTCTGCTTCTTCCACTTGAACGGTGAGCCCAGTACCGCAAGCAACACAAAGAGCAAGACCTGCCCCTTTCTCCCTTCTTTCCCAATGCCCATCGTTTCCAATCATCGTTTCCAATCATCTGCATGCAACAACGCCTTGATGGGAACAGAAGGAGGCAGTGGCCTAGGGCCCCTGACAGCCTTGACCACCAGTACGGAGTGGACGTGATGCCGAAAGTGCCAACCCTGTTGGCATATATCACGTCCTTATCTTCTGCCACTTTGCATGCCAAATACCCATGCTCATCCCCTCTGTACTTGAAGCATCTGTGGGCCTTTCCAAATCCCCTATCAGGGAAAAGGCTATATCTTCTCTCTTCTTCCAGGCATGCGCAACTTGTCTAGGCAGCGAATCCTTGGTTCACTTTCACACCATGTGAACCGTCGTGCACGACCCGCTTTTTCCTAGCGGCCTCGTCCTCCACTAGGACCGGAAAAGCTGCCACAGCCCTTTCTTCTCCAAACTTCTCCTCAAATGCCCTCCGTGACATCTTGTCAATAAGCCCTTCCTTCACTTCCTCCTCGAGGTGTTGCCTGACATGATCCTCATGCTCTTTGGCCAACGGATAATGGGGCTTCTCCGTCATGTATACCTCATGTGGACCGAACTTCGGCGCGCATTCCACCTGTCTCTAAAAAGCTACTGGAGTACACGGGAGCGGGTGCTTCACCCCTAGTGGCCGGCCACTCTCGGCCAGAGTGAGAACTCATAGTCCTTGTCTCCCGCCATCTCCAACAGCCTTCCCATCAACTTCAGCCTAAATGGCTGGCCTTCTGCTACCGAAAGGACTCCTCCTCCCTTATCCCCACAGAACTCTGCCATGGCCTGCAAGAGCCTCTCTTACAAACCCTTGTTCTGCACAAGCCTGCAGCCGTTTTCTCCTCTCGCCATGGCAAAAAAACATTCCCTCTCAAGTGCTGATTCGCCTCCTGCTTCCTCCACTACCAGCCTCCTGAGCTTGGCTCTGAGCCCTATCTTTTCTGCAGAGCTCGGAAACTCCGGTGACATCAGGCATCCCCCATCATGAAAAGGGACCTTGGCACCCTTCCAGACGCAACATCTTGGGGGGCCTTCTCCTCCCTTCCCTGGGTCAAAAGGGTCTGTATCCTGCTGCCACTCCCTGCAGCTCTCTTCTTTTCTGGATTTTCTGAACCTTCGTCCTCCTCAAAGGTCCTTTTCTTACTCTTTGTCTCCTGGCTGCCCCCTTTCTCACTGTTCTGCCCGAACGAGGCCAGGATCTGGATAGCGACCCACTCACAGAGCGCTGGTGGCCATGCTGCTGCTGTTGTGCTGCTGTTGTCAGGGGTTGGCGGTTGGCCTGCCTTCTTGGGAAGGGGCCCCAGGTACCACTCCTGGGCTTAACCCTGGGCATCAAATTGTGGGAGGCCTTTCATACATCTCCGGGTGAAAGGGTCCCTGCGTTCTCATCAGGAACATGGTTGGCTTGACGCTGGGGGATCCGAAATCAAGTTGGGCAAAGGCTACGCTCTGCACCCCGGGCAACCTCAAAATCCCCTCAGGGCGATGTCCGGGTATCCTGTCCTTCTTTGTCTTACCCAATCTTCCGCTTGTTCCATAAAGGCTACCTTTCCGCGTCTCCTCCGGAATTGTCTCTTCATGGCCTCAAAAGAAAAATCTGCCAGGATGTTTCCCAGCATGGCCTTTCGACTCCTCTTTTTGAAGTTCCATGTGAAACCTCTCAAGCACTCTGAAGGTCTCAGAGGGAACGGTCCCTCTTCATTTGCCCAAGGCACTCTACTGAAAGTAGAACATGGCGGGGTAATGATCAAGGCGTCCATCAGCCCTGCATCTATAAGCTGCAACCATTTGCGCTGTACTTCTGGTTGCGAGCAATCCGCTTTCCGACTATGCCGGGGGTCAACCTCGATCACTTCCAGCACATAGCGAAACTTCTTTGCAAGCTGCCTGATAAACCAAACCAGCGAATTCTTTCTCTTCTTTCCCGAGAAGAGGTACAGCACCATGAACTTCTTTCAGGTTGCTTCCCTTTCCCCGGCCTTTGTCTTTGCCACCCTTTGCCTCAAATCTCTGTTCCTTTGCTTCTCCATACTCTCCCTGGCCTGGTGGTTGGACTCCACTGGGCCTCTTGGCAAATAAGGCCAGCGGGGTGGTGAAGTGCCTGTCCTTGGCTGTCGGGTCTCTCCACGCCAGGCGAAGCGCTGTAGGGAACGCGGTTCCGTCTTGATTCATCCTCTTGGCTGCCTCCTTCCGTATGGCCCGCTCATTTGAGAGCACCAACCTGCATGCTATCCGCGTCCTTGGCATACAACCCAAAGACATGCTCACCAAGCAGGTAGTCTTTGAAGTCCTCAAAAACTTTCACATATTCGCCCTGCAGCTCAGGGCGGTTGGTATGGCGGGGCGCCACCATCTGGTATGCATTGCGCATGCCTGTGAGGCGCTGCCTGAGGGACTCTGGGTTCTCTGCTCCTTCGCCTTTGTTGAACCTCTCCTCACCATCAGGTTTCCTTTCGAGTCCCACCGGGGGAGCAGGCTATCTGGATCCACCTCGTCTCTGCTCACCACTTCCGACAGCTCCTCCGCTCTGTAGTCTCCTGACTCCACTTCCTGGAGCTTCTTTTTCACGTACTCCTTCGCTGGCATCAGCTTCTCATCAAGCGTCCCCACAATCTTCTCCAGGCCAGCCTTATTGCCAACCACTCAGGAAGTCCCTACCGGCTTCCTCCACTCCTTGGTGTCCAGCTCCGATTCCATCTCAGCAGCCCTTGGATCCTTGTCTATGCCGAGGTGGTCCTTCAACACCTCCACCAAGTCAACAGTTGGCAGGATTGAGCCAGAGCGTCCCGGAAAATCAGCGCATGTGTGTTGGAGTGCACGGGAATCCCATGGAGCCCATGGGAAGGTTAGGTTTCTCCTCAAGGGGGGATAGGGTTCTGTAGAGAGATCATGGTAGGCCAAGGGCCAAACGGCGGCCAAACGCAGTTCGGGCTCAAAGGGTGCACAAGACTGATGAGTAGAAGGAAGCTGCCCTTAAGAAGGGCAACGCGGATTTGCCTATTTGAGAGGAACGAGGTGCCGGGAGATGTGATAGCGAAGTGGTTCCACGCTGGGGTCACAACGCTGGAAAAATTTGCTAACACAGCAAAGGATGTGAACTCAGGCCAGCACAGCCGGCATCTCGTTGTACTCACCCACATCCGGCTCAACCTCGTACGGGGTGCACGGAGGTGACGTAGGAGTTGAGAGACCGAAAAGGGGAGCTCCTAATTCCCCATGGGTGGGAACGGTTCTGGACAGAACATAGTGGGCGTGTGTGGGCGTGCCACGCTACCGAGTGGGCTGGCAGCTTTGGGTGTTCCAAAGTCAGATCGCAAATTGTTGGGGAGGTGGATTCAGAAGGGTCTGACCAGCACGTTAGGACGTACAACGCAGTGGTCATCCGGATGCAGGCAAAATTTGCCGACCCAGTCAAAGGCAGGAAAGGGCTACTTAGCCTTTGACGAGGGCTCCATCCTGGAAGGCCTCAAGGTCTGGCTATGCGAGAAATGGGCTGTGGAGCAGAGAGAAGCTAATGCCGCGGTGGATGAATGGAAGACAAAGCTGAGGCCAGCGACGAGCTTCAGGGGCATGGTGGGCAAGTAATTAAACCACCAGCAGGAGGAGATCTATGACAAGCGGGTATGGCCGGCTGGGTCTTCAAGCTCATCAAGCGACAGCGCCACCACAAGCCGTGGAACTGTCAGCGCAAAGAGAAAGAAGGTTGAGAAGTTGGACTCAGAGAGAGAGATGAAGGCTTCATCGTAGTCTTCAACCGGATTGACCGGGGGAGATCGCATAGAGCTGGCAAGCATGGGTGCTGGATGGCCAGGAGGAGGAAGTTCAAAAGGGCCTCCACGACATTGCCTCTTGGTAGGTCATCACATAGTTTCCCGTGGCCGATCCCTGGCTGGTGCCCGCCGGGACCACTAAGCAGAGACTTTCTTGTCGTATGACCTGATCATATCCATCCTCACATGCGCTGCGTCGTCGAACCTCAGCGATGCCCAGATCTTCAGAAGCTTCACGAAGGCCCCTGCTCTGAGCCGATGCCCCTTCGTGTCATCCATCACTCGCCTCTCGCAAACTTCTCGAACTAACACCTTTGCCCACTGACAGCGGGACTGATGCCCCCATGCCATCTTCTTCCCAGGCAAGAAGGTAGTCCACCAACTGCGCTCCCCTTGACACGGGGGCCTCCCATAGGTGGCCACGACCCATTTCCGGAAGCCTTGCCAGTACGCTGGGTAGCGCTTCACCGTGGGCGCTCTGAACTTCCCCAGCAACGCCTTCCTAGTCCTGTCCGGGCTGGCTGTTGCCGTAATCTGTGCTACGGTAGGAGCTCCCATGAACTCCAGCTCCTCTTCCGCCTCTCCCATGTCCCTGGTGGGGATCAACATATGCGGGAGCTTCTTCAACTGCCCTCTCCTTGGCACCTGTACACGCCTATGCTGCGCCGCAACCCCAGGATAGCCCCAGGATCTTCCGGGCTACTTAGGGCTGCACCATCTTGCAGTGCCCCTTCCATACAACAAAAATTCCTCTGCCAAGAGGGGCCTGAACCTAAAACCATAACGGGGTTACGCAAACACTGACATGACACGTCATGAGCGCAATAACAGCACTATGAAATAATTAATTGCGAGTGGTAAATCATTGTGAATCTGGGGCTGTGTTTTCTTGGGAGAAGGGATGACCTCCCGACATTCATCTTGCACCGCAACTTTTCCTCGCTGCAGGCCTAACACTGTTGAACCTGTGTCAAAAATATCCCCCGCGCGAGCGCAATACAACGCCGGCACCTTTTCCATGGTGTTCCCTTCGACCACAAATCGCCAAAACAGATCAAAACAGTTCGTCTCAAGGCTGTAGCTTGCGCTAGTAGGTCTGCAAGAAAGCTTTTTCCCGTGTTACTGCTTCAAGGGGATACATCATGATACATCTTCTAGCAACGACTCGCTCTGCCTTTCTTCTTCTTAGTACCTTTTGCCGCCAACAAATGAGTCTGGCGTGGGGGTCAGAACGACTACTGTACCAAAATAAGCGACATAAGAAGCAGTGCTCAACTGTTTTTGGGTTACAAATGATCCCACATCCACCCAGCTTTTTGGTATGTACCATTTAAAAACAACGCACAGGTTATCTTTTAAAACAATCCAGTCACGTTTGACATGATTTGACAACAAATGCAGGTCTTCAACACCAAAACCTATCACCTTTGTGATCGCAGAGTGCTTCCTGGGATTCATGTGCACAACTCTTGGAGTAGAGTTTGACATGTCATGATGGACACCTGGAATCAAGTGAACTCTCGGCATATGAAGGGCTCGTGTGATGTCAGACACCGTCAAACCAAACATGGGAACAAAATCTGACCATATAGATCTTCATAGATCTTCATAGATCTTCATAGCTTCATGACTGCCAAGCAAACACAGGAATTTCACACGGAGAAGTTATTGCTGGGTTGGCAGAGCCTGTCGACTAGCTGACAGGCCCTCTTGATTCCAGGTGTTTTGTGCTCGTCCGGCACTTCCAGCATCTTCTCAGGCATCGTCCACTGGAATTATCCCCGATCTAAATATGGATCTTTATGGAATCGCCTTGCCACGGGAAGCATATGGACACATCATCCTAGAATAAGATGCTAAATATAAATGTATATATATATATATTTAAAAAAAAAAGATCTGAAATGGAAATGCCTGGAGAGTGGAAAGACTTGCTACCGCCGGAGTCACCTACACTACTGTCGTCGAGTTCAGCTGCTGCGGTCCCAAACCTGAATACGCGCCAACAAGGGTTGATACAGCGACTATAGTGAATTTTACTTCCTTCTGCTTTGTCGATTCCGCTCCTGACTCTGGACCTTACCATCTTGGGGCGCTTGCTGCACCCGCTTGGTCTGTTCTCACTTCAAAATATCGACCAGGTATGCCAGTATGCCAGGTCTGATTTTGCAGTTGGACGGGATAGTGATGAGGATGAACAAATGAAAATTTGTGCATGCATCATTCGAAGCACCACAGCACCGAAATTGCCCCTGAACTCACATCTGCCAAAAGCGGCGGTGGCAAAAGTGGTGGCACATGGTGTCACTGAGAATGCCAAGTGACCCCATCCCAGTTTTCGGGCGGCGGCATTTCCAAATATGACGCACCTTAGGCAATGCGAAACCAAAGTCCGATCTTGACAGGTTCGAAAGAGGAGTCAGTCTGTTGCAACAGCTGAGAGCGTTTTGTTCAGTCAAGAGGCAGCGGTTCAGCATCAGAGCTGAAGCTGTGTCCTGGTTCAGCAAGCATCAACCATCAGAATAGCTGTAATTAAGGCTGCCCTGATCCTAGAACCTATGAACCTGGAAAAACCATGAAAAACCTGGATTTGGATCAAGCTACAGTGCCACAAAATCAAGTGAATCCTATGCAGATCTGTTATGGATTGCAGTCCTGTGTGCCGGTGAGTTTGTGCATGGCTTTGCCAGCAGTGGTGAAACAATCCTTCGCCTCAGGGAACGCATAACAGCTCAGCGGACCACAAACTAGAATTACCAGCCCGGAATCCCTCTAGGATGCGGAATTCAGGAAATATGTTTTTTACGATTTTAATATGGTTTTGAATACGATTTGACGATATGAATTTGATATGCTTTGAATTTGGGGTTGTGATTTCGATATGGTTTTGATACGATTTTGATACGATTTCGATACGATTTTGATACGATGTTGATATGATTTTGATATGGTTCCAGTGAGTTAGCTTCAAAAAAAGAAACAGAAACAGCCCAGGGACTGGTTTTTGGTCGATTTGTCGAAGGTTTTTGTGGTTTTGATATGTTTTGATATGATTTTGATACGATTTTGATACGCTTTTGATACGATTTTGATACGATTTTGATATGGTGTTGATACGATTTTGGAATATTTTGGATATGGTTCGGATGGGTTGGCTTCAAATCACAAGTTTGACCCACATCAAGAATCATAACTGAAAACATATCAAAATCATAACTGAAACCATATCAAAAACATAACAGCAAAACCAAGACATAAACAAATCATAACAACAAATCATATCTGAAAGTCTGAAACGTATCAAAATTATTTTAAAAACAAAAACAAAAACCTTCATCCTAGAGACTTCGGATGTGTTAAAACTAGAACAACACACTTGTCACACTATCGTTGCTGGTGGAGTCAGAATATGAACTGTCCAACGCGAAAATTGCAACTGAAAATATGTCCTGTTGATATTCACAATTACTCCCCAGTCAGTAAAAAATCATAAAAAATCATTGAGAATCCTTTTTTCAGAAAGGGATTTTCCATGATTTTCCATGGCTTTGATAATGTTTAAATTTATTTATATATATATAATTATATATAATACTTCCCAATTACTTGATGGCCTCTCGGCCAAGGCGGCCAAGGCACTTCTGAAAATCGTCTGTGCCTGTAATGTTGCATGCCCTCCGCATACATATCTGTCGCCTTTTCTTCCAGAGAAGCCTGAAACAGATGGCCAAATGCCAAAAAATGGGTCCCAACACGTTCCAATGAAATTATTTGATGGAAATTCTCCGAGAAACTATGATGTTTACATGTTCGTACCTCCCAAAAAAAGAGGGTTCCTGTGATTTGTTCAAACCACTTGATGGGACCAACGGTGAAGTTTTGTGAGGCAAATCATTCATAATCTTCATAGGTCTTACGGTATGGACATGTAGCGTGCCCCGAGACTTCGAATGCTGGTTGTATCTTTCATGGCCACATATGGTCATCGAGATCCTGACCTTTGATGGCTTCTTGTTGCTCTTCCAAACCTCGAAAATCCTCAGAGCCAGGCAGTATTACGGCAGTATATTGATGATCGGACACATTTCATCATACTTCTCCGGGAGAAACTTGAATGTTAGAGTGACATCATTCCATGCAATGATGTCCTGCAAATATGAAACAGAGATGAACCAATTTTGCAAACTTTAATGGATAACCTGATAACGCATTGGAGTTAAAAATTGGAGGGGTGCAACTCTACTGTATACTGAATCAACCAGCCTGTGGGAAAAGAATATGTCTGACTTCATGTTGAGTTCTGCTTTGGTCGTTGCACAGCTTTGCTCCGCTTCTCTCCAAGCTTCTGTTGACTCTCCCTTTCCTGAGCGGATTCACTTGGGCGGATGAAGTCCTTAGTCTCGCAAGCGTATCAACGTTCTGGCCAGTCAAGCGGTCAGAATATGTCATCACACAGAGTCAAGCAGCTTGTCACGTTTCAAATGAGTGCGATGCCAAGCCACGATGGGTCGAGAAACGAATCCTTCGATTTCCATCTCGCTATGTGTGGACTCTGAGACCAGCAGCCTCGAGCAATGGTTGCGAGAACCTTTCGAGAACGGTCTTGAACCTGCTTACCCCCGGCTAGCATCGGCTAGCAATAGAGGGACACCACTGATCAAATGCTAGACTTGCTGAGCAATTCTGAAGATTAGCTTGGACAAGTAACTCTTGGAAGCAGGCATGTGAAGGTGCATCTGTCAATATATGCATATGATTGCATATGACAGTAGATATGTCATGATATGATGTGATATTATATTATGATATGATATGATATGATACGATATGATACGATATGTCTGTGTTGGTCTATGTGCTTTTGAACGAAAACGACCACATGCTTCGTGTCTGCAACTTTTCAGCCATGGCTCTGAGTGCCATAGGTCTTGTTCAACTCTTCTAGTCTCCCTGGCATGCTCGTTTCGTCCCCCACCTTGGAAAGAGCCAGAAAGGTTGCAACTAAGGAAGATCTGGCTACTGAATGCTAATATGCTGCTAATAAGAGCAATCAGCAAGGCATGGCCAAACGACTTCCATCCAGTGAGCCAGTGGAGTGGCTCTGCCATTGCCAAGTTGCTATGCCATACTTTATCCGGTATTGCATGCCTCAGCTCCACTGGGCAAATTTCAGATCCACGCAGGGAGTCAACACTACTGCATGCCCCAATTATATCCAATTATCATTTATATATATTTATATAATATATACAGTATGTGGAATTATAATGACCCAACTGCAGCCATTCTGGGATCGCTGGTCCTGGTCTTAGAAATTGGCTGAAATTTGATGGGACTCGTCGGGAATGGTTTTCTTGTTTGGGGCAGGCGGTTGATACGGCGCCCTGTGAGGGTGTGTCGATTTTTTGATATCTGATATCTATTGATATCTTGGGTATCCACGTTGGTCATGCAGTCGTGATACGACTGCCTACTGGGGTGGGGTGGGCTAATAACGTTCATGTACACTTGCGTACTTGCTACTGCTACGCTATGATGTGTTGACGTACACTTGCGTACCCATGGAGTGCTACGCTGTGATACGTTCATGTACACTTGCGTACTTATACTGAATACAGCTAGACTCCACGTGGCGTCACTTGAAGAGGTGGCGTCCTCAAAGTTTGCAACAAAAAGTGAATTTGTCAGTAATTACATACCATGCAGTACACATGCGCATACTCCTATGTGTGGAGGCACAATGCCAAGTGTGAGAACAACCTGACTTTGAGGAGCCTGAACAAAATCCTGTGGCGCTGATGTTGAGAAAGAATTTTCTGAAGTGGCTGCTCATATCATTTAAATTAAACCACACAAATTCTATATACTGTATATAATGTTTTTTCTCAGCCCCTCGATCACAAATTAGTATTTCGCTGTGGCGAAATACTCATTTTCACTATCAAGTCACGCGCCTGTCATCGAAATAACAACATGAATGTTCATCGGCATTTCCAAAAATGCCACAAATACAACGTTTTCGGCGACATCGCAAAGAACAAGTGCAATGAAATCGACAACCCTTGATAGGGCGCAGAATCAACTGCACTGTTCTTGGGCTCCTTTCTACACGGTATTTCCAGCCTTCTGGGGCTAAAGACTCTCATTGATGTGTTTGGAGAATTTTGGCATTGGAACCTCATGTTCATGGCCTTTGCAGCATGTTGGAACTAGACTTTACATTTGTATCGTTTTTTGCGGCATTTGAGAATGTTATTCCCATGGTGTTTCAGCATTTTGGAGCTGCATTCCTCGATGGTTGTGGCTTGGGGTAGTGCAGTTGAACTACAGTTGTTTTAAGCACGAACCTGGCATGTGCAGTGTAGCTATTGAACCGATAGAGCCAAAGCTTATTTGCAGAGGATGTTATTTTTAATTGCTATGTTCATGATGCACGCTTATGTTTCCACAGCTGTGTTGGAACCTGTGGATGGTTGTCTTTTTTTGTCGCTGTTGTTGCTGTTGCTGTTGCTGTTGCTGTTGCCGTTGCTGTTGTTGCCATTGTTGCTCTTCATCTGGATATTTGATGTGACTCCTACAGTTTTACGTGTTTCTAGTTTGGTGTAGCTGTGGATGCTGCTGTTTTTGTCTTTGGTGGTGGCTACCTGGCCCTACTTACGAGATTTACGAGATCTTACAAGTGGCTGCAGATTGGCTAAATGGGGGATTCTGATCCAAGTGGCCCATGTTGCCTACCAAGACCTCGCCGGTGTGAATCCCGCAGCGAATGGAAATCCTTGGTCACACAGAGGGCTTTCGTCATGCTCATCCATGTTTAAAAAGTTTTTTTTCTAGGGGTTGCTGCTGAAGAATTGAAGGCGTAAAAGTTGGAGATGTTCACCTGATGTACGCATGGTTGATTGGGGGCAGTATGGCGTATCTGAAATATTGCATCCATGCGGCGTTGGCAAGCCTCGCCGATGTAGCCACTGATTGATCCCGGTCATCGCGGCAAGCATCTCCACCTAAAAAAATTGAGTCATCAAGAGATCCGAACCGGACTTTGCCGTGCCCTGAAACCAATCATTTCAAATTTTGGAAATATGTTCTATCCCCTGGAAGAAGAAGTGAAGGGCCAGAGCTCAACCCCAACAGACCCTCCATAAAAACTGGAGCAGCCCCAGGCACTGCCGCCATCACAGCAACAGTTGGATGTTTGTCGTTCACCACCGGTGCCCCATAGATGCAAAGGATGGCATCGCCTGGCAGTGTACATTAAATTGTTGTCACTGGAATCTCCTGGGTCTGGGTTTCCATGTTGAAGGCCCATGATCTTTGAAGCTTTGGGCACCACAACCACTAAGTTTTCGGCGCTTTGTGGGACATGGTGGGACTGCTTTTGAAATTTTGATAAATTTTGGCAGGAAGCACGGTTGCTGCTTACTTCCTTAGCGTAGCTATGCGTAGCTACTGTTGTCAGAATCATCCTATAATATCCACAGATATCCTATGATATCCTATGATATCCTATATAATCGCAGGCGGTTGGATCCTACCAGTCCTACCACATTCCCACATTCGTCCGCCGTGCAGCACAAGACACCTATGAACTCCACCACGATTCCGCCATGTTGATCCACAATTTTGGACATCTCCTGCCGCAGAGCTTGGTCAGGATGGTTTTGAGCACATCCTCTGGTCATGGTTTAGTAACTTTGGTAATCTGCATGTCCTTATCTGCAGTGTCATGTTATGTCACAATGCTTCAGGTGTTTCTGGGTGGACAGTGGGCATGTTTGGGATTGTTAACATCTCCTCTTTGAGATCCATGATGCTGACTAGGTCCCAGCGCACCTGAAAATAGCGGCTCAGCAGAAGCAATGATTTTTGTGGTGGCATGCTCTCGACGATGGTCGTAAAACTCGCGATGTCAGAGAAGAACATGGTCACCTGCCAGCTGTAGAGATCTAGTATCAACTAGCTAGAGCTACAGCTTGCCGTTGCTTGTTCCGGCATTCTGGGTACATAAGATTTAGCGCAGTGCATTTCACTCTCGTCCATAGTTGTCAATTGCAAGACATACAGAATGGGTAGAATGGGGAATGTTCATTTGATGTTTCAAGCTGCAATCAACGAGGCCTGTGTGGACCAAAGGCAACAAGCTTCCAATTCATAGTCATCTTGAAGGCTTCATTCAAGATCACCGACTTTCAATGGAATATGCTTAATTCATTTTAATTCCCTATCTAAACATCAAAATCAAAGATGTGTTGTGTGCGAAACTCCATCTGAGATTTGCCTTTCTTTCGGAGACTTCGATGTTGGCTTCTGCATCCTTTCGCATCATCAGCTGGACTACTGGCCTCAAGGTGCTGAAGCTTCAAAACATAAAACCGGCCATCCTCTTCTCTTCTAAGCATCCTCCTTTGATGGCGCGCTGTGTTCGTGTGCGTATGTCCATCTCATCTGTATATAAGTGAAAAATGCAGTCATGTATGCATGCATAATGCTCATATTCACTATTGGTTGCTTATTTGACTGTTTGTTCCTTTACTCTGTAGGTCGCGTAAAGATGTATGAGTGTGTGTGTGTGTGTAACATCTGAATAGATGTAAAACTTCTCTCTTTTTCTTCCTTCTGTCCTCTCCCTTTTTAAACCTAATGCAGGGGGCCTGAGGCTTCTCAACAGGACTCAGGCCAACGAAGACGCCTGTTGAGAAGTGTGAAATCATTCTGGGACGCCAGGATGACGTACCTGCATTTTCTGACATAGCAAGGGGCCAAGCTCAGAACCCCAAACACTATAGTTTTATTTCTTCACGGTTGCCACAATCTGTTTTGGATGCATCAGAACCTTCCTCAGTATTTTCGCCGAGATCATGTCGCCGATTGTATTTTCGATTATTTGGATTATTTCGCCGATTGTATTTTCGATTATTTGGATTATTTCGCCGACTATGTCGCCGATGTATTTGGAATATTTTGCTGAAGATCGTGGACGTGGAAACTATTCAGGATCAGATTTGCATGTTTCAGGATTCAGTTCCTGCCGGATCATATAATGATCCATTCTTGTCTAGTGTGATTTCCACGGTGGCTCCGACATGGTGCCATGGAGCCATTTGAGGCAACCCTCTTTAGGGTGAGTGATGACTGTCCTGACTGCCGAATTAACACATTTTAAGTTGGTAATTCGTTTAAGTAAAGTGCAACAGCTGGCCTTTCCGTTTTGCACCGCTTTCTGAGTGTCCCGCTGATCCTGCGGTCCCTTGTGAAACCTCGTGGAATACACCTCTGTGACTGTGAAGCCGTGCTGAACATTCAGAAACCTCCTTTTTTGCAGCAATGTCACAGCGACACAGCATCATGCCATGACAAAGGAACCAGGCAGGCACACGACTTCCAGGTGTGGTCCTCTTTCTTTTGATGGTTATCTGGTGAGGTGAAACATATCGTGCACCTAATTCGCTGGAACTTGAAAGCCGTTATATGCCCTTGTGGCTGACTTGAACACGGGCCTGGATTGGCACAACGCACGACCTTTAGGTTTAGGAACTGAATCCTGTTTTTAATTAATTGTTTTGGTTTTCCTGTCTGTCATCAACTAGTCCCCCATTTGGTCCCTAATTTCCCCGCGTGCCTCTCCGTAATGTGTCGTGGGGTTTAGGTGTGTGCGCTGTTTTGGTCAGGTCCGTTTCGCCGTGTAGGTTGGTTCCGGAGGTCCGTCTGTTCCCCTCCCCCCCTGCGCTGTTTTTGGCCTTTTGCCCTTCGTGTGTCCGCTTTTTTCTTCCTCTTGCCTTTCAGGGTTGACCCGGCTCTGGCCGGGTGTGTGTGTGTAACATCTGAATAGATGTAAAACTTCTCTCTTTTTCTTCCTTCTGTCCTCTCCCTTTTTAAACCTAATGCAGGGGGCCTGAGGCTTCTCAACAGGACTCAGGCCAACGAAGACGCCTGTTGAGAAGTGTGAAATCATTCTGGGACGCCAGGATGACGTACCTGCATTTTCTGACATAGCAAGGGGCCAAGCTCAGAACCCCAAACACTATAGTTTTATTTCTTCACGGTTGCCACAATCTGTTTTTGATGCATCAGAACCTTCCTCAGTATTTTCGCCGAGATCATGTCGCCGATTGTATTTTCGATTATTTGGATTATTTCGCCGATTGTATTTTCGATTATTTGGATTATTTCGCCGACTATGTCGCCGATGTATTTGGAATATTTTGCTGAAGATCGTGGACGTGGAAACTATTCAGGATCAGATTTGCATGTTTCAGGATTCAGTTCCTGCCGGATCATATAATGATCCATTCTTGTCTAGTGTGATTTCCACGGTGGCTCCGACATGGTGCCATGGAGCCATTTGAGGCAACCCTCTTTAGGGTGAGTGATGACTGTCCTGACTGCCGAATTAACACATTTTAAGTTGGTAATTCGTTTAAGTGCAACAGCTGGCCTTTCCGTTTTGCACCGCTTTCTGAGTGTCCCGCTGATCCTGCGGTCCCTTGTGAAACCTCGTGGAATACACCTCTGTGACTGTGAAGCCGTGCTGAACATTCAGAAACCTCCTTTTTTGCAGCAATGTCACAGCGACACAGCATCATGCCATGACAAAGGAACCAGGCAGGCACACGACTTCCAGGTGTGGTCCTCTTTCTTTTGATGGTTGTCTGGTGAGGTGAAACATATCGTGCACCTAATTCGCTGGAACTTGAAAGCCGTTATATGCCCTTGTGGCTGACTTGAACACGGGCCTGGATTGGCACAACGCACGACCTTTAGGTTTAGGAACTGAATCCTGTTTTTAATTAATTGTTTTGGTTTTCCTGTCTGTCATCAACTAGTCCCCCATTTGGTCCCTAATTTCCCCGCGTGCCTCTCCGTAATGTGTCGTGGGGTTTAGGTGTGTGCGCTGTTTTGGTCAGGTCCGTTTCGCCGTGTAGGTTGGTTCCGGAGGTCCGTCTGTTCCCCTCCCCCCCCTGCGCTGTTTTTGGCCTTTTGCCCTTCGTGTGTCCGCTTTTTTCTTCCTCTTGCCTTTCAGGGTTGACCCGGCTCTGGCCGGGTGTGTGTGTGTAACATCTGAATAGATGTAAAACTTCTCTCTTTTTCTTCCTTCTGTCCTCTCCCTTTTTAAACCTAATGCAGGGGGCCTGAGGCTTCTCAACAGGACTCAGGCCAACGAAGACGCCTGTTGAGAAGTGTGAAATCATTCTGGGACGCCAGGATGACGTACCTGCATTTTCTGACATAGCAAGGGGCCAAGCTCAGAACCCCAAACACTATAGTTTTATTTCTTCACGGTTGCCACAATCTGTTTTGGATGCATCAGAACCTTCCTCAGTTTTTTCGCCGAGATCATGTCGCCGATTGTATTTTCGATTATTTGGATTATTTCGCCGATTGTATTTTCGATTATTTGGATTATTTCGCCGACTATGTCGCCGATGTATTTGGAATATTTTGCTGAAGATCGTGGACGTGGAAACTATTCAGGATCAGATTTGCATGTTTCAGGATTCAGTTCCTGCCGGATCATATAATGATCCATTCTTGTCTAGTGTGTGTGCGTGTCCAAAATATGATAAAACAAATGTTTTTAGAGCCATATGATGTATATATATATATGTATATGTATGTATGTACATGTGTGCGTGTGCGTCTGCGTTTGCGTCTGCATCTTCATCTGCGTCTGCGTCTGATGTCTCTCTCTCTCTCTCTCTCCATCGGCATCGCCATCTAGTCAGTGTGCGTGTGTGTTGCTTTATTTATTCATCTGCTGGTCATTATTTGGCTATTGGTTATATATGTGTATATATGTATATATACAAGAATGTGCCTATCTATCTATCTATCTATCTATCTATCTATCTATCTCTTGGCTTATTCACCTCTTATATATTCTTATGTTATATATACACATGCTTGCATCTTTTCATGCACAAAATGCCGGCAGCCCCTCGTTCATGTTCCGCGCATTCCTTATCATTGACCCTATGAACTCACAGTTCTGAAGGCCTTTTGTGGCATTTCTCCCAGCCTTATCGCCTGGTGAAACCACCAAGGATCCCCAGCTGGATCCTTTCAGCAGGGTTTCAGCCACAGCTTTCGGCTAAGGCCAAGCCACCATGGCACATATTTTCCCCACGATCGGATGGCCGTCTTCATGTTGTCAAAGCGACGCCGCAACAGCCTATCACGGGCATGGCGTTTTAAGCAAGACAATATCAAGACAATATCAAGTATCGCCATGGAATCTCCCCCTCATAATATGTCATAGTCCCTCATACTTATCATACTTGGGAGTGTCTGATGTATGCAGGTCTTGCAGAGCTACATTGGGGACCCATCATGGCTGAATCATCTGGCTCATGGCTCCACCATGTCGGATGTGCACTGCTGGACAGCCTGATCTCACTGGTCACTGCCGGCTGATTCTCGTCATGGGTATTTGTCGTGGCCGCCAGCTGCAAGCGGGTGATACTTTCCTTGGGCTGAGACTATCAAACAGCCATGGCCAGCAGCCAGCTATGAGAGATAGGAATCAAATGGGTTCTTTAGAGTTCTATAGATTTCTGAGGTCCGTTCTTCATGTACCAGTCATTTCCTGTCCCTGTCTAGCATCAGGCCTTACAGCCTAAGAAAATGGTACAAGGATCGAGCAGCAAAGCATTGAGAAGCCAAAGGGCGAGAGAGAGAGAGAGAGAGAGTGAGATCCACAGTATATATGAATAGAATAGATGCATACACATACACACTTGTATACATATGATTATATAATGATATAATATGATATAATTATGTAATTATATATATATATGTATGCTGCACATAAGAGGTAAAGGAACTGGAAGAAATCACAAAGGATGAGTCCCATACAAATGGCGAGTCAAGCTAGAAGCAAAAGCTCCTGATTGACAGAAGCTTTGGAACACAAAGAAATGCCACACGGCTCCAACAATAGGCACGGCTGAAAAGAGCCATCAAATCACTGGATCTGATGCATTGCTCCAAGTTTCAACTTCATCAGAAAGCTCCACCAATGGCTTCAGCAAATTCTTCGAGAGATAGTTGAGATCTCTGGTCAATAGGCTGATGCCGAAAATGATCAGGAATAGGACACCAACTGGGCAGGCGCATGTCATCCAATATCGGGATGTATATGGCACCGGCACACCGGATTCAGGCTCACCTTGAACCATTCCAACCATATCAACCATGTATAGATAGATGTTTGACATTTTGGCATCATTGAGAAGGGGCGGGTCCATCATTCCAAGTTGCGACCCAGCGGAACCGAAAGAAGGTCTGATACCGGATACAAATGCAAGGGGCAACGGTGGGCAACAGTGTAATTCCTTTCTTCCACCCCTAAACACTCCCAAGCCCATTCGATGCCTTGGAAGTTCTTTGGATTTTGCCAATTAAAAAAAAAAACGACTGACCACTACGCATATGAAATATATTGAAATATCATAAAATCAACTTAAAATCATGTGAACGTATATGAACCTAAGGATCCTAAGCATCCTAAGCTCCTGACATGTGGTGATGATAGAGTCCCGTGCACTGGCTTCAGTGTCCGCCCTGTTGAGGAAGAGAGCCACAGCTTCCGTCCTATTCTCCAGCTCTGAGGCACTGATGTCCACGTCCTCCCATGTGCCACAGATGAGTTTTCCATAGTTTTCCAGGAAAATCTCTACCATATCTCTACCATATGGGCCAGAATATGCCAGAATAATATGTCCAGATATGTCCAGTAAGAATCAGATTATCCTGAGATATCCTGAGAGTTTCTTGTCTTGGTGGCATCTTCAGAAACTGCGCAAGCTCCTGCTGCGAAAAGTCGGGCTCCCGCAGCAGGAGTAAATCATTTTGCCGATAGGGAGATTTCTCGAGATCTTGGTCCACTTCAACCAGGGTCCGCTTCCTGAGGAGCCAATGGACCCCATCACTGAAACACAGTGCCACTCATCTCCACTACTACAGTTTCTAAAGAATAAGATGAAATAACTAGGTTTGATGAAGGAGGACATGGACAAGTGATGGTACAATTCCACCCCACAACGAATCAAGATATAGTGCCATGACACGGTTGCCAACGCATGGGTTCAGAGAGCGGTAGTGAGCAGCTCGGCCCTTCCGGGCGAAGCGAATTGCAGTACACATGCCTGGCAGGGCTGCAATTCGAAAGTGATCAGCATGCCTCCAAAGAGGCTACAAGCAACTGATGATAACTGTTGTATAGTAATTACGCCAGTATGACTCAACGATGTGAAGCCTTTGGAGCTGGTCTATTCGCCCACATGTTTCGGATTGTAGAAGCATCGAGCAGACAATGCAGACAATGTTTGAATGTTTGATGATGTATCCAGGTAACCCGGAGATTGCGGACCTCTGCAAATCCAGATAAAGTAGCGGTCTGCTGGGCCGCGCCCATCCGTCTTGAACGCCCCAGGTTTGCACTTGCCTCGCAGGTGCCGTGAGGCTGAATCCATTGGGTGGCCCAACACAAGGGGCACAAACAGATGGTGGGAACAAAATGGAACAAGCTTAGAATGATCATCTCAGTCTCACTTAGAGTATGAGTCTGAGACTTCAATCAACTGAACACATAGGACCTCATGCAGGACATCGCGGGGGTTCATGCTACCCCCGCCCGATAAAAAAGGGAATCCTTCATCTCCAGCCTTCGAATTGCATCTGGGATTGTTGCGTTCAATTCCGGAGTGCCTAAGGTGGGCCGGCGAGCTTCCCTGCCATGGGTTCTTTCGCAATTGCCCTTCAGCCATGCCATGCCATGCCCATTTGGCATATCAATGCCCAACAGTTCAAATAATGTGGACATGTTCATACCTTGTCAGTTTCAGACTCCCCAAAAAATATATTTGCATGTCATTCTATGTCTATGGGTCTAAGGCCGGGTCTCTGCTGCTCACCCTAATTCATAGTTGGTAGTTGGTAGGATGCTCCTCTCCCCCTATTCCATCATAATTCACAGGTTTTCACAGGTGATTTGATCCATCCCCATTCAATCCCATATGTATATAGATATATATAGATATATATATAATAGATATAATATATATATAATATGAAATCCAGAATTTTCTGCCTAGAGGCCGGTCATTTTGAGATAGTTATTGAGGCTCTGAAACCCCCAAGACAGGGATGTGTCGATGGTCAAAAGCTCCACATAGCTCAGCACCAGGATGATGAGCCTCGCTGGTGCAAACCCTGTCTTTGGTAGATGAAAAAATGTAAAAAAGTTGGATAGTTCGATCAGTTGGATTCTTGTTGATCTATAAATATATTATAAATATATTATAAATATATATATATAAATATGATATAAATATGATATAAATATGATTAAATATGATTAAATATGATTAAATCCCAAAGACCAGCGAGCCCCACCCTACGTTTTCAACCCCGACATGAACAAACGCACCACATGTTAGATCATGTTAGTTCTTACTAGTAGGGGGAAGAGATGAGTCATTGAGATCAGTGCCTTACCCAACAAGCATAGGATTTGAAATGCAAATGCGAATGTGTTTAAAGCATCTTAAAACCAGCAACTAGTAACTAGTATCATTCTTCCGGAAGTTCTGTGTGAGAAGTCTGATACTGACGGGTGCACATGTCTAAGCAAAACAGCTTCGCATGACTTCATGGTCCACAAGTATGTGGCATGGATGGTGCAAAGCCCCATGCAAAAAGACTGAAAGGCCCAGGGGCTGGCAAAAACATGCATGAACTACTTTACTTTGCTATGAAAATCTATGAAGCTTTACGGCTGCACCTTTGCCATGTGCTCCGACCATATGCGCGTTGCATGTGGAGATACATCGCAACCCTTCCCCTCACCCGCCGCCCACTCTGCGACTCAGACACAGGATGGCCATAGCGACCTTAACGCCAATGTATTCAGCATTCCTCTGGCGAAGCGCTTGCATGTTGTTCCCTCGCCTCAGAGCCAGAGACTCCGATTCCCATGGATAGTTCCCACTGCAGAAAGGCAAGAACTGCGAAACACGAAACAAAACTTACGTAAAAGTTGCAGCACCCGAGACTTGCCTAAAGGGCCTAAAGCGCACTCACAGGTGATCAAAGGATCTTGATACTAATTGAGACTCTGCAAAGGCAAGGCGCTTCAGCTGTCTCACCACAGAGTTCTTCAGCCACTCGTAGAGTGGAGGCTCATTCCTGTAGCGGCCAAGGGACGGAATATCATTGAAGTGAAGCCCTCTCAGCGACTAAATGGAGCTGGGGAACTCACAATACAGTGCTCTAACAAACAGATACAAACAGTTAGTCAAACAGTTAGTCAAACAGTTAGTTCAGGTGATCTGTGCCTCCAGTTTTGCCAAGTTTCGGGCAATCATTGAGCGGCAAACTAGCGGATTGTTGGATCAGAAGTAGCCAGAGGTTTTGAGGGGAGCTGGTCGTTCTCACTCCCAATTCATCAACGGCAGCTAAACACCAAAAACATCCCACAAAACTCGAACAGTGAAATGTAAAATAAACATGGATAAACGGTTATAAACGCTACAAATCTGGCCATCGAGGTACATGATGGAGTCCCTGAACTCAATGTATTCCACTTGGTCCGGGAACGGCTTGTCTGGACCTGGGGCCCAAGTGACCCCACCAGCCAGCGACAAATGGCGAAAGCATCACTTCCAAGACGGTGCACTTTGGTGCACAGCGCTTCCCACATGTTTGATTCAGTTTATTTCTACTGGATCATAATCAGATAATCAAAGTCTAGTTTAGCAGGAAATGATCTTTGGATGGCAAGTTTTTCATTGTTTTTCACAAGCATTCCAGGAATTCCTCAGGAGCTTACGTGACGCAACGGACTTGGTCTCGCTAGGGATGGCCAACGCTAGGTGGGTCTCCTGCAAGATCACATCAGATCTCTGAAACCAATAACCCAATAGCCCAACAATGTCTATCTATGTCTATCTTGGGTGTTATTCTTGTCTCTTGTGATAAACCCAATCATAAACCGACCATTCGGGGGACTATGTTTATACAATTGCCACCGATTTGTAGCAATATGTAGCAATAGAATGCAATAGCCATCAATAGCTGTTCATTGGGTTTATCACCATAAAATGAATCTACTCAAAGCGGCTACCGCCGTCCTGCTTTGCTGGTGCAGCAGAAGAGGGTGTCGGCGGCGCCGGCTCTGGCTTTGCATCTTGCCTTAGCCCAAGAGTTCAAGGTCAAAGAAAAAGTATATAAAATTAAGGTACCAAGACTTTCAAGAGCCACTCAAAATGAAGGGTGACCGACTCACACATGTCCCTTCAAGTCTGCAGCTCGTGCTAACAATTAGAAACTGCTCACAACCGGTGACAACTAGTGCTCGGAAAAGTGCAGGCAAATCCTCTTGTCTGCCAGTATCTGCGCGCTCACATGAGCATCAACCCAGCAAGCACAATGCAAGCACCACATTGGAAGGCACAATGTTTAACATGCACGTCACATTGGAAATCTCCACTGACATCTTGTGCTGCTAAGTTTCACTGTGGATTCACTCATGTTCAGGGGGTGCGAGCTCCCCAAAGGCGTTTGCCCTCCGATGCTGTTCTCTGTGGTCTGTCGCCCCTCAGGCTGAGTATGTGCAGCCCTATCTGCAAACTTCTTGGCCCATACTGTAAATGGAATGTTTCTTGCTGGGCACGCCTTTACCAAAGAAGACTTAGGACTTTGGATGTTCAAATTCAAACCTTCAAACTTCGAACTATTTAAGACATAATGACATAGGTTGGACTGAAAATCACTCTTGACATCTCTTGACATCTCTTGACCCAAACCTATGTCACAGCGAACTCCTCAGCTGGTCGCTGTCCACGCCCGCTGAGCTACCAACCCGAGAGCCAGTCGCGGCAGAGGCAGCGTTGGCCAGCATCCGCAACTTTGACGTCCATTCCGGTTTCTTCCTTCACACAAGCGGGGCATGGTGGAGCCATCGATTGAATTGTTCCAGAAAACCATAAATGGACCGCCAAATTATCTAGAGATGAATCTGCAAAAGCACGCATAGATACAAAGTAGATGCAGAATGATGCGGGTATAAATGCGTATATTCATATATTTATGTAGTATGTATATATACATATATATACATATCTGTGTGTGTGTGTCTTCATGGTCGGATAGATATGGAGGTAACATGTTCATAGATATGTTTGGACTATGTCATACGTCAGGTTCACAGGTCCAACACACACACACATATATTTGTATAATATATATATGTATATACATACAGAATATAATATAATATTAAATATATATATATATACATATCGCTAAGGAGGTGACGTTTGCCCGCAACCCATGGAATTCCATGCGGGACTGCAATCTGCTGGGTTGTTTCCGTGCGTGTTCTTCGCACATTGTGAGCATGCAAAATATTCATATTACCTTCGTTTCATGGCATTTTTGCGCTTAGCTAAGAAAGTGCCAAAATCACCTTTTGAAGCATATCTTACTGATATCCTCCGTAATTTGCATTGTTTCGAGCCGTTGACTGAAACCTCAACAAATCGCAAGACTTTGAAAGAACACCAAAATAACCTAACCCAAATAAACCCTAAACCAACCCTAAATCAACCATAAATGACCCTAAATAGACTCTAAAACAACCGTGAGCAAACCCTAAAACAACCCTAAATAGCACAAAAAGTAACTAAAAGAACCTTAAATAAATCCAACCCTAAGCAAACCCTAAAACAATCTGAAATATATCATGAACAAATCATAACGTAACTAAACCAATGAAACGTTGGGCGAATACGTCCACCCCGGAGGCATGTGTGTGTGTGTGTGATTGTGTGTGTGTGTGTTGTATATTTATCTATTTATATATATATATAGTTATCTCATATATATATGCATGTATGTAGAAAACATTCATATATAATGATTATTATTATATGGTCTAATATCTTCCCCCAGGACCAATTAGCTGCATCGCTGCTCAGCTTCGTCTTCTCGATGAGCGCCAGGTCGAAGAGCTTGTCTCGACAGATTATGAGGGATGATTTCGAGATGTAACCTGAACTCACCACAGTGCTATGGGATGCTGGATTCACAACGGAGAAAACAAGGGTGGTCCAACATGTACCAATCATCCACAGGTTGATCTATGTTGATCTATGTTGATCTTACATGACCGGGCCGATACTGCAAAACACTTGCAAAATCTTGCAAACGTGTCCAAACATCTAACGCGCAGAAGCTTGAAATCGTGAATCGGTGGCTTCCCGCTTTGCGATGTTTTGAGGCCAGGACTGTCCATGTCCTCGTCCAGAAAGCAGAAAATTCGATAGATCTTCTTCTCCAGAACACGCCTCATGGCACAGTCAAACTCTGGCGTCAATAAATTTCTTACAATATCACGAAACATATTGTCTTGTAATGTCTTGTACATGCCTTTTATCAAACGTACTTGGGGCTTCTTTCAACCTACTTCTCCACCTCCATACACGCGTTGGACACAGTGGATCCAAGTTGCGTGGCATCTGCATCTTCCACATTGTTGACCCAGTAGCGTTGAAGCTCCTGGATCTTCGGCATCAAGGCCTTGATGCAGCCATCGCACCATGGCAGCCCAGCTCCAAAGTCTATCTGAGCCTATCTATGAAAGGGCCAGATGTTATATGACTGGGAAAATTTAGCATTATATTATATATATTTATATATGTGCATAAGATATATAAGGTTGACAAGGATTTCAACCTATCATCGCAACTCACAAGATGGCACAAGAGTATGTTTCACTTGCAGCCTCAGTCAGAACTTTGCAGCCCTTTCCATCACTGTCACAAGTTGGTTTTCGCCAAAAAGAAGCTGCCCCACAATCCAATGGTTTCTCATCGTTTCCATATTGCAATCCATCGCAGTAGAATTGACATAAAATTGGGGCATATATCGGTGATATCCCATTGTATGCTTATAAAATGATTGGTTTAAGCCCCATTCAAATTGCCATATTGTCATATATATATGTGTGTGTGTGTGAGATCGTGGTATTTCGTGGTAAAGTTTCCATATTTTTCCATACCTTGACACAGCCCCGAACTCCATTCCGAGGCACAGCAATGCGGGCGATGCGCCCAAAGCGGTTCAGCCGCGCGGCCCGTGCCGAGCGACCAAAGAGACGCAGCATGCGCGTCAGCCTGGCTGAAGCGCCAAAAAAAAAAACGCTGGGAAAATGTGGGAAATATTGATAATATTGAGAAATCATTGAGAACAAATGGCAATTAACATCTGGTAAATTAACATAGACCCTGGCAAATAGGGGTTGGAAGATTAGTTTCCATTATATAGAACTAGGCTATTTTCGGGGTCTATGTTAATTTACAAGAGGGTATTAAAATCATTGCATATTTCACTTCCCAATATCTCTTAATGTGGTGAGGCTCCCCTGCACAATCGCTGATTGATTTTTTCTTTCACCGTTGGTCAGTTTCTCGACGCGGATCAGGCTACCTGAGGTCCCATCTCTCCTAGTCAGGGTCCTGATATTGGTGGGGACGAAACGGTTCAAAATAGAGCACCTTGATCAATGGTGGGTAATGGTGGGTAGATGGATGGTTTTTGTATGTTTTTGTAATGACTACTCAAAAGACCACCATCAGTAGGTTTGGGATCCAAAACTTTGACCATTACTAATCATTCCCTTTCACTCGCAGCTGCAGCGAAGATCACACAGGGTGGAACCTCAAACGGTCTAGTCACACCACTGGCTACTGCTTGGCTTATTTGGAGGCTACTTATGGGCCTCTCTTTCTCCAAGCATTGTGACGAGCAAGCTGGGCCAAACATAAATATTCATGAGCCCTGCTGCCTAGCGTCATCATGCATCCGGCTTCAAAAGTTTCAGCCAGGTGTAAGCCTCCTTTTTCTTTAACGTGAGGGTGATCCGCTTGGACTGACTCACTCTGAACTTGCACTCATCTGGCGCGATCTCATAGTACAGAGGATTCAGGTCAAGGACCCAGTCCAGCTTCTCTGCGTGAATTCGCAGCTCGCAAGACCTGGGAGAAAACGACACTTTGACTTGATCCGCTTTACCATCTCCTGCAGCTTCTAATGCTTGTGGCTCTGCTTCTGCGGACACATAAATCTTCACACTGTCTTTCTCATCTCCCCAGGCATAGTTCAAGATGGCCCGTTCGGGACGCACCTGATCACTGGCGAGCTTCATCGCCGAAATGGGTTCGGCCAAGGCTGCTCCTTCGCCCAATTTCTGAGGCGAACCACCAGAGACAATGCGATGTTCTTCGGGCACATCCGCCTTCCTGGAGTGTGCGAAGTAGTAGCTGTTTTCTCCCTTCGCAGCAATGGAATTCTCCACTGCCGTGTCTGGAAGCTCCTCATCTGTGTAGTTCTGACCTCCGCTTGTCCCATGCACACCCACCGTGAGCACGGCAGAATCTTCGATTCCTTCCAGAGTGTCATCATCTCGCAACCACTTCTGCGAACCGTCGCGAGTCACAAAAATTTCCATGTCTTCTGCCGGGACATTGGAAAGTTTCTCTATCTTTCTCTTGACATCCATGCCATTCTCCTTCCGGTCAGCAGTGAGTTCCAACTCTTTGCATTGGCCCCCACCGCTCGGAACGATGGCATTTAGTGTGATAGGAGCGGGATCCGACATCTTTGAAGAAAATTGCTACAGCACAAACACTTACGCCCCACAGAAATTGACAAACCATCCATTCCCCCAAAACAGACCAGACCATTAACTGCCTGATTTTGGAGCCCCAATTTTAACATACCAGAATTGGTCCCAAACAGGACAGTGGCCTGCATCCACTGTCACACAGGCAAGCACTTATCCGCAACCAAAGTCTGAGGCATGCTTTTCATATCTTTTCATTGTCTTTCCACATTCCGAACCTCCACGACCCTGCGGCCTGCTAGATCGGCCAGCTACAAATGAATTGTCATCATTGGCAAGCTGGACGATGATGGTATCCTGTGGTCAGCAGCAATTGAAACACATCATCACATTGATGTTGTGTGAACTTGGAGAAGCCTCTCCCGAGAAAAAACAACAGGTCTACTCTTCAAAGTGTAGCACATGAACAGATCATGCCATATTATGGTATCATCTTAGGGATGAATGTCGCTCTGAAGCCAAATCCAGGGTGTGATCTAGGGCCAAGGTACAGGAATCAAGGAGAGGAAGGCCACCAAGTCCAAAATGAAAAATGCACTGTAGATATAGCCCTCTTTGCCTTGGTCAATGTCGATGGCCATTACGGCGGCATGCCATGACCCACGGATCTGGACCGTTTTGGATGCTAAGCATCGATCTCAAAGTTTGGCCCAGTACCTCCCTTACCCAAGTGTATTCCGCTTAATGCAAAAGCGTGCATCCAGAATCAAGCGTGGAAAAAAACTAGTGCAACTAATCCACAGCAAACACAGCAGAAAACTGGTTCTTTGTGTCCAAACGAGGTGCCAAGACCGTGGACAATGAGCTCAACTAAAAATGCCACTGCCACAAAGGTTGTACAAACGGCAATGCCGACCCTGGAAGACCTTGGGACCGCTGGAGCACATCTCTGACTGAAAGCAGTGTTGTCGCTTGGGGGGTGCACGAAAGCTAACGTTCATATGACTTGGAAAATCTTGGAAACATGATGGGGCTTTGATATGGTTAGGACAGATTGTCCAGAGCTCAGCACGCCCCTGGGAAGATTTGAGCCGCTTCCAAGACCGCTCCAAAATGCCCCGGGAGCGTTCCGATGAAAAATCACTGTGTTGGAGTCAGAGCTGCCCCTTGCTGAAGCAAGAGTAAACTCCAGCTAGCTACCGCTAGCTTTCGTGAAACGGATTCAGAGCCACGAAAACATCCCTCCTCAAAGTAAATGTAGAGCTCCCGGCAACTGGCCGGCACCTTTAGATTTGGATACTGTAAGAGAAATGGTTTTGTGAGGACAGCAGGACCAGATCATGCCCTCGCAAAAAAAAAAAGAAGAAGTGTCACACCTTCGTTTTCCCAAATTCACCCCAACGGCATACTGACAGGTTAACCAGTACCAGTACTCAGTGTGACTGATCAGGAAGCCATGGCCCAAAGTTCCAAAAATGAGTGCATATATATATATGTGTGTGTGTATTTATCTATTTATTTTTATTTTTATTTATCTATAATTTATCTATATTTATCTATATTTATCTATTCATTTATTTACTTATTTATTTGTTTGTTTATTTGTTTATTTATTTTTATTTATTTATTTATTTTTTCAATTTATTTAATTAATTTATTTATTTATTGATTTATTGATTTATCTATTTATTTATTTCTTCATTTATTTGTTTATTTACTTATTATTTATTTATTTATTATGTATGTATATGATGTAATATCCCAATACGTTCAGCATATCTCAGGATCACTTTCAACGCCCTTTCTGACCTCATCTGCGGCCAAAATTCTTGTCGCCCGCCAAGGCATCAATGTCAATGGAGAAAAGTGCATAGGCAGTGAAGAAAACGTATGCAGCGGTCCAGGCCCTAGCCAAATCAAAGCCGGTGGTAAAACATAGCCGCTGTGGGGTCATTTATAGATTCATTGAACACTACAGGTGACTTTCCAAACCACGGTGTCCAACTCTACCCTCACCTAACTGCCTGTGCAAAAAACCAATCGTGAAGTCCCAATGGCACCTCTTGTTCTGCAAATCCTCGCAGAATTGCTGAATGGGGCCCTTCTCTCTGTCTGCTGCAGCCTCAAAATTGCATTCCAGCACCAGGATGAGGGAAAGAAACCTGATATCACTGATATCACCTGATGTCTGGAACTGTTTGAGCCTGCTGACCAGTGAACCTTTGAGTCACCTGTCAGCAGTGATCATGGCCTGTGAGGAGGGTTCATAATGTTCGCCGATAAAGTCACCATGTGAAATACCAACCCCTTTGAGACAAGCCCGTGTTGGCAGGTTCACCTACCTCAGTTCTTTGTTGCTGTTGCTGCCATACCATTTGTCCCAGCTGCAGGTTGCTTCTCCAAACCGTCTGCGGTCCAAACCTTGAAACATCAACCCGGAACCACACAAGAGACAGAGAGAGAGGTGAATAAAAACACGATCCCAAGTCAAGATTGGCAAGATTGGCAAGCTACATTTTGTTGTTTCGAATCAAACATCTGACACCAACTAATTACACACAAAGCTACCTCAAGTAACTCAAGGTGTTTCATCCCCAAGATTCTCGTTCCGGTCCATTCACCACCAAGTCATGCGTTTTATTGTCCATCAACCAATTCTGGCAATGATGTGCGCCATGGATTTGATAACTGTACTTGAGAGGGGGGACACGAAAGGTAGGTGATCAAATGTGATCAAGAAGGGGAAGCAAAGCCTCTCCGTGTAAAAGCTGGCCGTGTGTAAAAGCGTGCTGTGTGCAGAAGCTTCTGTGTGTGATTTTTTTTCTGTGTAAAGGCATCTGTGGGTAAAAGAGTCTGTGTAAAAACTGCTGTGTATGAAGACTTCTGTGCGTAGAGGCTTCTGTGCGGAAAAGTTTTCTGTGTAAAAACTGCGCTGGGTAAAGTTTCTGCGTGTAAAAGTTTCGGTCTGTAAAAACTTCTTTGTGCAGTCTGTGTGGGCAAATTGTTCTGCGTCAAAACTTTCCTGTGTAAAAGTTTCTTTGTGTAAAAGTTGTTCTGTGCAAAGGTTTCTCTGTGTAAAAGGTTCTGTGTGTAAAAGCGCCTGTGTGCCTTTATTTATGTGTGTAAATGCATATTTGTGCAAAGCGTCGGTGTATAAAAACTTCTGTGTGTAAAATTTCTTTGCGTAAAAACCTCTTTGTGTAAAGGCGTCTGCGTGTAAAAGTTTATCTGTGCACAAACCTCTCTGTGTAAGAGTATCTGCGCATAAAAGCTGCTCTGTGTAAAGGTTTCTGTGCGTAACGTCGTCTGTTTGTAGAAGCGTATCTGTGCAAAATGCGTCCCCACAGCATAATCGCAAAAAACAATGAAGCAAAAGAATCCAAACTCAAATGTTTGCTGTCGTTACGTTGTTGATGATGTCGGTGATGTGCGCAGGGCCCCACAAGGGGTCATTTTGTCTGTGTTAAGTTAAGTCAATTTTTAAAAAAGTCTTCGGGACAAAAAACACCGCAAAATTCCATGTTTTGGGCGCCTCACAGGCCAAAAACCACGGTACTGTCGTTGTTGTGTTGGTGTTGGTGTTGGTGTTGGTGTTGGTGTTGGTGTTGGTGTTGGTGTTGGTGTTGGTGTTGGTGTTGGTGTTGGTGTTGGTGTTGGTGTTGTTGTTGTTGTTGTTGTTGTTGTTGTGGTCGTCGTCGTCGTCGTCGGGGCTGTCGCTGTCGCTGTCGCTGTCGCGGTCGCGGTCGCGGTCGCCGTCGCGGTCGCGGTCGCGGTTGTTGTTGTTGTTGTTGTTGTTGTTGCTGTTGTTGTTGCCCCTGCACTTTTTTCTCAGTCTCGTAGCGACCGAATATGTCAAATAGGTTGTGTTTTCGCACTTTTTTGCAAACTCTCCTTGCAAAAAAACACCGTAAATACCGATGTTTTTTGCGCCTCGGAAGCCCAAAACCGCGGTATTTACGATGTGTTTTGCTTCTGGTAGCAAAAACCCACGGTATTTACAGTGTTTTTTGGACAACACCGAGCAAACACACTGGTATTTGCGCAATTTTCGGCATGATTTTTCCATGCAAAAGCCACAGAACCCATGTAAATTGCAGTGTTTTGGGTCTGATTTTAGGGTTTGTGACGGGGTGAGGGGGTATCTAAAATGAACAGCAACCGGAGCTACCTTTCGTGACCAAAAATTTGATCATTCACCATTATTTCAACCCACTCTAGCAATTTCTGGTGTCGTTCAACAATATCAACCATAAATCTATTCAACCGAGTGCCAACCATGCTTTACCCATCTTTACCCCTGTACGCTCATCAAATATCTTTTGCTACCAACCAAAATATCATACAACTGATCAATTGCCATTTTTGGTTTCCCAATATCCATAATCATCAAGTTGTCCAAATTAAATCCTTCAATTCGCTTGGCTATATCATGAATCATATGATTAAAATGATATTTGAAATCCTGAAATTTGTCCTGGTTTATCCTGGAAAAAAATACAGAAACATTCGTCTTCACCACTTCCAACGCCGCGGCACCGTGGGCGACATCTCGTCCGCCTCCGCTTGCGCCAAGGATCGCCAGGAAGGTGAGCGGAGCAGTGCTGAGCAACACGCGTACGGTAAGGGGATCATAGTGGTAACTTGGTAGATGGATATAGATATAGTAGATATAGTGTATAGATATAGTGGATATAGTAGATGTAATTAGGAGATACAGTAGATACAGTAGATATATAGATATATTGGCAACCACGAGAAAGAGGATAGGATTGAGTAGAATCATGTAAAATCCCACTATATTTGAGTGGTCCATCTAACCTGTTCTATCTTTTTGGTGCTGTAAATATGATAAATCAACATATTGTTGCGAAGTAACTCGAATGCGCTGAATGAAACACTGTTCAGGGCCAACAAATGAATGATCGAGTCTAGGCCGGGCGCTCTGAAGATCCCCAGCCACCGCATGTTTCAACAAGTGTAACCCGCTGCCTCCTGGTGAAAACCATCCCGGAAATCATCCCGAGGTCATACAGTAGTTATGATAAAAGGTAAGGGACTAGGGAATTATAGGCTGTATGTTTACATTTACGTACTATGTATATATGTATATCTCTCTCTATCTATCTATCTATCTATCTATCTATCTCTCTCTCTCTCTCTTTATCTCTCTCTCTCTGTGGAATGTGAATATTAATACATGGTTTTAACATACCGTAATAATTATACAACTATTTATGTATATATCAAATAAATAAATATTATATATATAATATATTGACATGCAATTATAGTTACGTACGAGTATGTTTGTGTGTGGCACTGACCGCTTGCGATCGGACCCCATCCAAAGCCCCCACGATCTTCCCGCTGAAGCCATGGCACTTCGCGTATCACTCGCATTGATGTTGCACCTTGGATCACTGCCGCGCCGCTCTTCGGCTCCACGTTGGAATTCATAGCCTCGGAGTTGCATAGCGGGGGTTCAAACCACTGACATCATCTTGAAAGATGTTGGATGATCGAAATTTCTTGAATATAACTGAAGTCTTGAAATGCCTCTCATATTGAAATATTGATACAGAACATATTGAAAAGATTGTAAGATCCTTAGGGATGACCAGCCAAGTGACGCAGGACATTGTCTAAGTAGCTAATGCTTGAAGGCTCCTCCAGGTTCAGTGGATGCAGCGACAATGGGGCACCAATGGAACAATGATGAACATCGGATAGTAACGTAACTTTCAAGACCAAGCAAGTTCGGGAGTCAACATCTTTGAGCTGGAACGAATTCTGCAAATTCAGCCAGTTCCAGTTTCACTACAATCGGAAAAAGATAACACCACGGAGCTGGAACATGATCTGAAGTTTCCCTTGCTCGGGTGTAGTCGGGTGCTACTGCACATTGTCAGCATTGTCCCAGATACTCAAGAGGTCAAACATATTTAACGTTGTAGATCTTGGTAGATCTTGGTAGATCTTGTAGCAGATAGTCAGTTCACCCCCTGGTTTTCCAAAGGATCGGATGAGTCGGATGCCTATCCCCGTCACCGGATGGGTCGCCGGATTTCACCGGGCCACCTCCATGTCGCTGTCCAGCGTAGCTATGCTCATGGCACGCGAGAGACCAATCTCGTATTTCTCATTGCTGCACCTCGCCGAAGATCAACAAGGACCCAGCATTCGTCTGCAGAAACACTGATGTTTAAAAGAAACCGTGGAAGACGAATGAAGATTTCATGTCTATGATAAGATGCTCCATATATGTATATACAACTATTATGTACTACTATAAGGTACTATATAATAAATGCCGATAAGAGCATGTTGTTAAGCTCTGTCAACGCCTCACCCAGTCGACATTCCAAGGCGCTCAGAATTGAGTTCCACGCCATCATCAGCTTTGAGATCGCCTCGAGCGACATCTTTCTTCGAAACGCGTTTGCTGCGCCTTCCCGGGCCTGGCAGCGAATCACTGGAGAATCACACACACAGAAGCCGAGAACATCTAGGTACATCATGGTACATCTAGTGAATCTGGTGTGTAACGAACAAACGTATTCGGGATTCGGGAGCGGACCCGCTCAAACCTGATTTCAAGTCATTGTTCAAGTCATTGATGTCGATGAACATTATGAAGATTGGCTCAACTATCATGGCAGGCCGACATCGACCACTATCAGATAGACTATCATCTAGCATCATCCACCCTGCCTCCCCGGTGCCTGTCCTTCTCTTCTCAAAAAAATCCTTTAAAATTCCTTAAATTCGCTTAAAATTCCTTCAGATTCCTTCAAATTCCTATTTCAATTCCTAAAAAAATCCTTAAAATTTCTTAAAATTCATTCCAAAAATTCCGTAAGATTCCTTCAAAGTCCTCAAAATTCCTTAAAATTCTTTAAAATTCTTTCGAATTCCTGCGAACCCCTTACAATTCCTTAAAATTGCTTAGAATTCCGTAGAATTCTTTAAAATCCCTTACAAATTCCTTTACATTCCTTGAATTCCTTAAAACTCCTTTAAATTCTTTTCAAATCCTTAAAATTCCTTCAAATTTCTGAAAATTCCTTTAAATTCCTTAGAATTCCTTTAAATTCCTCAAGATTGTTTAAAATCCCTTAAGGTTCCTTCAATTTGTTTAGAATTCCTTAGGTTTCTTTCAAATCCCTTTAATCCCTTTAAATGCCTTAGAATTCCTTAAAATTCCTTAGAGTTCCTTTAAATTCCTTTAAATTCATTTAGATTCCTTATCATCTAGCATCATCCACCCTACGGAGGTGCCCCATCCCCGGTGCCAGTCCTTCTCTTCTCAAATAATTCGCAAGATCTTGAGAGTTCTGTGGCGTCAAGCTCAGGGAGTTCCTGACGGACATCTAAATCTAAGCCACTTGAAAATACGCAAATCAGCTGACGTAAATCATTAATCCATGAAATCTTGAGAAATTATAGAAGGTTGGTGTTCTGCAAGGTGTCAGGACTGTCCAAATGTCACATACATCATCCATACATCATCCTTAATCACATTCCTGGCGACCTTGCTGCGTTTCAAAAAGTGTCCCCGCCTTGGGGAACCTCTCGGAGACCTTCGGGTGGTGTTCTCCTGCTGGGATTTCAATTGCTTGAGGTTTTCTGATAGGGTCTTCCGCCATTTCCAGCCATGGCATTCTGAATGCCACCATCAGTCCCAAAGACCCAGCAAACAAAAAAAACAAGAGCACAGGAAGCCCAGTCCAATGTGCATGCAACAGATATCTCAGATATTCAAAGTCTCGGTCCTTGACACGTTCCTTGCTGTCTTCCCTGAATTCTCTGGACCCTTGTCTGCTGCTGGATTGGACCAACATCACGAATCAGGGCCGCTCTTCAGCCCCTCCACCGCGGCATCTCGCAATCCCCGCCCAGGGAAAAAAGCACGGACCGAGCTTGCACAGCAACAAACGGGGGACCTGTTTGATTCTGCTCTGCTTTTCAGCATTTGAAGTGCTCAAGGCCTGTGTTGTTTGATAGGTATGACGGTATGATCTCCATATACATGTATTCACTGCAGCCTGAAGGAGCCTGATCTGTATTTGTGAACCTGTTTAGCAGGCATTACACTTATTTTTCTACATTCCAATGAGATAATAGGGCAGCAATGTAGGACTGGACTCAATTTTGTTTTAGGCTGCCTCAGAAGTGAGGCGGCCGCAGCTCAGTTGTGACTTTGGGCCACAATCTCTGCTCAGCAGAGTTGAGCCTGAAAGCTGCGGTATGGACATGCGACGTTTACTTGCTCCGCGCACGTTGCAAGCCGGCGTGGGTGTAGCAAAATGAGGCAATAATGAATAACCTAGAAAACCCCAATGTGACGTCACGAATCAAGTATGGGTGGGCAGACAGACACGATTCAATGATATGATATAGCATATAGGTGTAAGATAGTACAAGTGTTACAGAAGAAAGTTTACACGGTTTTCGGCAACACACTGCAGCTTCACAACTGGCAAAGGAGCGTGCACAACAAACAAAATCTGTGTCCGGTGCTCGCCAACCCTGCCTTCCCTGGTCTGCCCAGTAGAACCACCATCAACCACCCCTTCAGTCACTCCAATATCTCCAATCACGGACGCCCAGTGAGCCCTGGATGAAGTCGTTGGAAAGGATCTGGCCTGCAGCAAGGAGAACAATCCATGAATCCCGAGGCCGTCACAGAATGTCACAGATCTTGAGATGAAGTCCTCAAGACACTCGTATGATCTAGATTCTAGATTACAAAATGTGCGTGTGATTGGCTGGCGGCTGCGTATGCACCTTGCTGGGCACTTGCTTTAAGCAGGGTCATTGAACAAAATGTCAAAAATTGTGCATATAATTAAGGCCTCGCAGTCTGAAAATGTTAGTCAGATATGGAAGAAAATTGGCAAGCCATATTCTTTCGGGTTGCGGGTCCGGCACTTTGATTCATACCTCCCAATGAATTTCCTGATATTTCCTGCGAGCTGCAGGGTTGCCAGAAGCTCTCGCATCTCCGCTTGAGCAAGTGAAAGCTCCCAACTCTGGCAGCCAATCTGTCGCAAAGCTGAAAGCTCCAGATCTTGGAAGTTCGCCAAGCCCAGAGGTGTTCGTGCCATATCCTGAATGATCGCCACCAATTTACGAAAGACTCAGCTTGCTGAAAAATATGACAGCAAAAGGCAACAGTGGCAATATTGAGTGCCACCTGGCGCCATACACTCCATGCCTCAGCCGGGTGTCGGTGACAATGCTCCTCTCCGGCCAGTGGGAGGTGGTGCACCCCATCAAGGCCGCAGCCATGCGCCGCCGCAGCGCCACCAGGTGGCAGTTGGGCGCCCCATGCCCGGGCCGCGGCGTGGCACAAACGTAGGCGGCCAAGCGGCTCAGGCAAGGCTGGGAGGTCGGCACGTGGAGGTCCTACGGGATGGCTGCACTGTTTGGGTGCTGCAACACTGATCAACACTGGTAATACAAGCTATAAAAGATATCTATCAATGTATATCAAGATTAAGACTCAATTAAGAATGATTGAGATATGATCAGACTTAAGATATATAAAGCCTATATGCCAAAGCCCGGTCCCCCTGGCCTGGGCTAAATGCCCCGCCCAAAGCTGGAACTGCTTCGCAACCGGGCCATGCAGTGACTTTGGCAAGGCCCAGCTTTCAAAGAGCTCCTTTCGTGCTTCAGCCCGCAGCAGCAGTAGATTCAAACGAACCCTAACTTGTCCATTCACAAAATGTGAAATTTGAGTTCCATTGGCCAAAAACGAATCGGGATCCAAAAAACAGCTATATGATGCCTATCTATCTATCTATCTATCTATCTATATACATCTTTTGACATCACCAGCCAGGATAAAGAAATCAGGTACTCGAACTGAAAGAAGAACGTCTAGTGAATGATGATGAATGATGCAATTTCTACAGTGCCACAAAATCCCTCTAACTTCGCTCTCTCCGCTCCTTCAGTGTAGCCTCATGCGCAGCCCATGTCCAGACTGCATCTGCCACACTGGTCAGTTCCACCAACGCCTCATCCGCACTCGTGCGCATCATGTTGCTTGCATCATGATGCTTGAAATGCCCATCCACCACAACTGAATCGGGTCCCGTCGACATCCGTTACTATCATGTTAGAGATCCAGGTGAAGACGATGAGACATGGTGAAAATTAACATATAGTTCCAATACACGCTGATTGTTTCATCACATAGCAGCCTGTCTTGTCTGTTTGGTTATCCCGTCATCCCGAATTGGTGAACTTGTTGGGAGGTGACGTTTTGCATGGACATATAGCAAAACCATGCAAAAAAAAAAGTCGAGTCAACACCCCCATCGCGGCAAGGCTCTGCAGAGGCCTCTTGAAGGCCTACATCTGCCAAGGCAGTTTGAAGATCCATTTCATCAAATGGATGGAACCCAGGAACGTTGCAATGAAGCAAGCGACTGTCCCAAAGAACCATGTCCTGGACACTTCGGCAAAGTTCCGGGCCCTCGTCAGATTCTTTCCCCCAAAAAAAATGGGTTTTGGCCGGTTTCTAGAGGTCCCAAGTTTCAGACATTACATACATGATACATACATATATATATATAATTATATATATACATATACAACTCACATTCATATATATATATATACACATGTAATATCGTTATACATCCCAACTATGGAATTTCATGGGCCGGCCCCCAAAACCGCTGAAGCTGCAGCCAAGACACCCCGGCATGCAAGGGCAGCAGCTGAGGCTTGGTGGCAGATGGTGACAGCAGCTCATCGCAGCGCGGAAGCACAAAGAAATCATTCTCCTGAAACGCGAAGCGGCGAAGCGCCATGCTTCGCCAAAGGGAAGATCTACAGGAAACGTGGTTTAGGATGGTTTAGGATGGTTTAGGGGTGTCCTGCTCATATTCCCATCATCCAATTCTGAGACAAATGAACTAAAAAATTGAGAAAATACAGCTGACTGCTGTTGAGAAGCTCGATCCAGCGGCCAACGTTGAAAAATTTCAGCATGACACCTTGAAGCGGAAAGAAGTGAAAAGACAAGAAAAACATGGAGCTGTATGACTCATCTATGCAGCAGGCAATACAACGCCTATTTATGCCTATTTCATGTAAACTCCAACAAAGCCAGTCACAAGCGTCACAACATGTCCATGTCTTGATGCACACCAAGGACTTGTGTGAGCCAGGTATTGCTGCAAATCCTCCAGTGCTCTCCTCGGTCAAACTGCGGACTGCCCTATTGTTAAGCATAGTTGACCACCACTCTATCTCTCTCTGATAATTGTTACCGGGAAACTGTGCATTGCAAATCTGTGCTTTGATTTGGACTCAGTTTTGATCCATGGAAGTCAATGGAGGTAATTCCAAAACACAACTTGGTCACTTTGTTCTTAGTGGAATTTGGCCTCGATTCGTTGCTCTCTGTGATGGAGACCAGGCCCTGTGCACACGCGAAGTCGCTGCCAGTGGTACGGCCATTTTGATCAGTGTGGAGCCAGCCACCCCGCGTGCGCCACCTGAAAGTGATCTGATGGTTTCACCCAACAAGAGCAGATGATTACTCAGTGGATTGGTTTATATAATATAAGTTTAAGGGAAACTGTACTGAAAACTTCCTGTACATGTTCTACTCGTCCTTGAAACCAATTCCAGGAATTATATGCTGTGCTAAGATTGCTAAGGCATGAAACGGAATATGCCTGATGTTCCCATTGTACTGTCACGAACCATATCATGCTTTTTGTTGGCGTTGCAGCGTCCTCTTTCAAGATCTTTTTGAGGAGATAATCATCAAATTCCGGTCTCTAGACAGCAGATTCCCAAGATGCTCTGGTGACATGGAACCTGCTGCCATGGTAACTAATGGGATGTCTGTCGGTATTGCAGCGGGGCAAAAGCTTCAAGGCTGCAATTTTCCGTGCTGGGGATACTGACAAACCTAAAAATATCTTATAAAACTTATAAAGATACCCATAGATACCCAATGATACATGTGATCCCTTATTTCAATAGGAGGTCTTGCCTCACGTCTCCTGGGTATCCTTGGGTTTCTTCACCCCAGGCCTTACATCCACAGCAGGTGGCCGGAAAGCGCAACATCCATCGAAGCTCACGAGCAAATCTTCCTTTGAAACGCCCCACAAGTTGGCAAAGGCTCGCATGACCGGCGGCCGCCGTCAAATGTACCACATGAATTCCTGAGCAAATTCTGATGAAAGTGAAGGATAAGGATGGAGACACTGGTTTGGCCCCTTTCAGAAGCCCCTTTCATGCCGGCTTGACCTGAAGGATGTGAGCAAGATTGGGCAAGTTTTCCAGGCCTCTCTTGAAAGGATGGTGTTTACCGTTCAAACCTGCCAAGGTACAGAAAATGTCCTTTTTTTTAGAAAGAAAGTTTCTTGATTTCCTTGGAAAGGCTGAGGCTCTGATTGGCCGATTCCACCAGAGTTGATGATCCCATTGTCATCCTGACCAGGCCAGTTGTGCTTCTGCCACCTTAGCCAAGAGTGGAACATGTTGAAACATGTTGAAACAATGCAAAACGGTTTCAACAGCTTGCACCATTCCCTTGGATTTATGGCAGATTCATAGAGGTTCCAAGCAAATGTATCAAATATATTCAAATATGATAGACATTGATAGACACATGCGATGTCTCTGAAAAGATCTGAAAAGCATGAAAAAGACTTGAGCCCGTGCCAAACTGAGGTCATCGGAACGACAAGGAAAAAAAGGCAGAGCCACGTCAGGGGGTCCTCTCTGCGGACAGCATTTTGGGTGGATAACTCCATGTACTTCCAAAAGAGGTCGGTTGCCATCTGCACCTCCAGCTGGTCGAGAACACCCCCGAAGACTGCCTGAACACAACCAAAGCTGCTGGTCCCAGGCACAAAACAATAAACTCACTCAATGTCTCAAAATGAAGCAATCAAATGCAATAAAAACATCCAATCCAATACGAGTACCTTGCAGACCTGTCAATATATGCACCAACATCTTCAAACCGTCCAGCTCCTAAATGGCTCTGAACAACAAAAATCCCGTGGTGCAGCAAAGCGGCAAAACCTTCTTCCTTCAAGTGGACAATAGCGGCAGGATCATCGACGTTAAAGCGCTGGGGCGCAGACCTCTCAAACAACCTCCTTTTGTATGAACATGTTGTCAGTGGATGTCAATGGATGTCAGTGGATGTCTGTTGATTTCAATTGTCATGACATGCACATGGCATCAAAGGGCCACCAATCTTTTCCAATGGATAACATGTGATATTTGTTATATTATATATATATATTTATTTATATGGTGATCATCACACAACGAAACAAATACATAAATGACTGAGCATCTATCGTTAGATCGTCCGAATGTGTCCTAGGTTTCATTCACGTGCGTTGCCTGACTGGTCGTTGCAGCTGCACTGGGGGAGCAAAAGCACGATGCCAGTCAGCCTGCAAGCGAGGTTTCAATGCATCAAGACGGAATTATGATGAGTTACAAGTATGTCCACCAATTGGGTCATCCCAAACGCCACCAGTTGGTGGTCGATAAACATCAATAAACTCAGTCTTAGGCATGTCTTAGGAAATCCATCCACCGGTTGGATCGGTTGGACCCTTCCAATTCTGGGAAGCTGCATGGAGCACCTCTGTCTGACTCCTTCGCCTGGAGCGGCTTTTGGTCAGCGCAATGGCGGCAGCGGTAGCAGCGGTAGCATGGCACCCTGCTGCGAAGCCTTGCACAACGTACAAAAGCGAGCCGGAGCAAGAGCTTGAAAGGCCGCATGAAATGTCGCCTCTGTGGCTTTTGTTGCCAGTTGTAGCGTAAGTGTACAACAAAATCCAGGAACAAATTCAAATCGTAAAGGTCAATATGAGCCCATTTGCGATCAATTTCCTATCCAAAACATCAGAAGAATATCATCAAAAGAATATGGCACGAAAATGTAGGAAGTAGGAAAGACCAAGACCAGGACCTTCTACTGCCCCCTCAGCCATGCGCACCTCGCAAGTGTCGCGGGTTGTCGGGGTCTCTGACACGCGCCCGCTGCACAGGATGCCGCAATCCCGGCTGGAGCGGCAAGGTGGAGGAAAGCATGGGGCAACATGGAACCAAATAAGATAAAGAGAAAGAAAAACTGCATGTTCCGGCTTTTCCATGTAGTTTGTCTACAGCTCAACAACTGTGTGCCAAGACTCTGCTCCTTCTTCTAATTGTCTCCGGCTTGGTTGCATTTTCAAAAGAACATCTTAGTATTATGCATCGTGTCCTGTGTTGCTGATTGTTGAAGAGAAAAGATTGTGGGGATCTGCTGTGTCCTGCCATCAGGTGTGACTCAGAGCAGTCTTTCTTTTGAATTCTAACTAGTCTAACAGTGTCTAACTACCTGAATCTACCTGAGATTGGCAATATGTCATCTGCATGACCCCAAGCAACGCAACCAAATGGTTTCTGCACATACAGATCAAATGTCTTGTTCTTGGAATTTGGGGGATGTTGAAGCCATCATCCCTGTCGTCTGTGAACTGTTACTCTTTACAGAAGTATCACGCATGGAAGACAAAGGAACAGAGCTGTGGTTGTTCAAAAAACAGATGGGACAAAGCCATAGAAAGCCATTTACCATCATTTGCCATCATTTGCCATCATTTAGCTATTGAATACTATTGGTTGTTTAATGGGGATGATTCCTCTACTAATCAGCCTAAGGGAATAGGACTGAAAATTCCTTGCTGCGTTTACCTGAGATGGGACCCAAGGAAGACAAATATGTGCCATGTTGAAGCCGGTTGCAGTTTGGAACTAACACAAAAACACGCTATAACCCTAACACTTGGCCTTTGCTGGAACAGTGTGTAACATTTTGGTATTGATCTTCGAGGCATTTGAGGGTCTTGTCTTGCAACTAAGATTTCTCGTTTTCGTGGGAATTGTGGCATTTTCGGGCTAAAATAGGTCAACGCCCTCTGTTTTACATGGAAGTTGCACCATTTGGTGACTGATATTGACACTAACTGTTCGAAACTGATTGCCACTAGCAGCCAAGAAGCCACAAAAGCGAAAAAGACACAGAAGCCAAAAAACCACTGAAAGCAACAAAAACATAATAAAATCCCCAAACACATGCCCTCCATTTCAAAGCTGCAAACAAAGCACACATTGGTCTATGGTCTGTAGAGATGGCCATGACATTTTTTCTTGGATAGCTCAAACGGCGGGGATACTTCGCCCCTCTCTCCAGGGTTTGGAGCATCAGCTGTCCATTCAGCTGGCAAAGGCATTAACGATGCGATTTCAGCGTGAAACGGGCCATGCGGCCATCCATGGCAATCCTGTCACAAACTTGACCTCAAACTAAAGCAGTTTTTGGTCTTGGGATGTCTTGGGCAATCAGAGCCAGCTCCACCCGTAGAAATCGTGCGTTTGACCGACCTGCACAGGCTTCAGCCTAGTCTTAGAGTCTTCAATGTTCTTCACTATGTTTCAATATATGAAATTATATATATATATATTTATATTTATATATGGTTATTTTAGTTATTCCATGATATATATTTCACGGTATTTCCTCTCTAGCCTCACGGCTTTTCCTTCCCCACCTACATCGCAGGCAAGTGGCGATCCTCACCGTGCCGCAGCTCCGCTTGAGCCACGTCTGTGCTTTTGCCAGAGCCTTGGCGTCTCCATGGATCTCCGCAAAGCTGCAGTTCGGATGAAGCCGCGCTCATTGATTTTTGGGGTAATGTCACAAGGATGCCCAAACCCTTTCAAATTCTGACCAGCAATCCTTTTGCCAAGACTTGGATCTGCCCCTCACCCCACTTCTGCAGCCATGTTGCTGTGGTTTGTAAAACCTCACTTGAGCCAGATTGTACCCCCGGCGCAGGAGCCAAGCATAGTAGAAAACACTCACCAAGTGATGGCTGCAAAAGGCCTTGGCGCATTGCGCGTCTGTTTGAGCCAACCCCAACGCCGGAATTTTCGCAAACTGCTGCAGGTTCAACTACGTCGATATGTTGAGCAAAGTGGCCACCTGATTGAGAGGATCTGCCTTGGAACCCAAACAAGCGCTGCAACCGTATCCAAGTGCCGGAAAGGTGCTTCAAGGAGAAATTACTTTACTTCGTGTGATCCCCACCATGACATTTATACATTTTGTTACTGGCAAATCTTCTGGCATTCTATCTGACATACCTTCTGGCATTCTATCTGGCATTCTATCTGGCATACCTTCTAACATTCTATCTGGCATATCTTCTGGCATATCTTCTGGCATTCTATCTGGCATATCTTCTGGCATTTTATCTGGCATAGCTTCTGGCATTCTACCTGGCATATCTTCTGGCAGATGTTCTGGCATATCTTCTGGCATTCCATCTGGCATTCTATCTGGCATATCTTCTGGCATATCATCTGGCACATCTTCTGGCATTCTATCTGGCAAACATTCTGCCACTTTATTTGGCATATCTTCTGGCATTCTATCTGACATTTTATCTGGCATTCTATCTGGCATACCTTCTGGCATTCTATCTGGCATATCTTCTAACATTCTATCTGGCATATCTTCTGGCACATCTTCTGGCATTCTATCCGGCATATCTTATGGCATTTTATCTGGCATATCTTCTGGCATTCTATCTGGCATTCTATCTGGCATATCTTCTGGCATTCTATCTGGCTTTTGAGGTCCAGCGGTGCGCACTGAGCTCGGAAGGCCACAGGTTGAGGTCCAGCGGTGCGCACTGAGCTCGGAAGGTCCCAGGTTGAGGTCAGGCGGTGCGCACTGAGCTGGGAAGGACCCAGGTTGAGGTCCAGCGGTGCGCACTGAGCTGGGAAGGTCCCAGGTTGAGGTCCAGCGGTGCGCACTGAGCTGGGAAGGTCCCAGGTTGAGGTCCAGCGGTGCGCACTGAGCTGGGAAGGTCCCAGGTTGAGGTCCAGCAGTGCGCACTGAGCTGGGAAGTTGGCGAAGAGCTTGGCGAAGAGTTGGCAAGGCGGAAGTGGAGGTGGAAGTTGATGCAGACATGGTCGAGGAGAAACTGGAGGAGGAGGCGGAGGAGGAGGAGGAGGACAACAGCTCTGATAAAATCTAACAATCCTCACCTGGCAGGTGGGGAAAAAGTAAAGGAAAACGCAGAAACAAACATCCGTTAAAAGGCCAGCCTTCCCAAATTGATCTGCAAATTTCATCGCTTACAGTCATGCAAAATCGGAAAAAACATAAAAAGAACATAAAAGAACCAGGTACCCAGTAGTTTTCCCTTGTCATACTGTGCAGTGCTGCCAGTAGTCGCGGCACCCGTGCAGCTAACATAACGCCCAAGCGCCTGAGATCAAACCGAATTGAGCTGGTCAGGAGGTATTCCCATGTTTACCAGTCCAGAAAAGAGACTTTGAGACTCCCTGCGGAATTCTGTACCAAAAGGATTGATTTGCACAAAAATTACGCGAAGCCAAACTCATTGGTTTCCCTATCCTTTGGAAAATGCTTGGTGTCACAGCGGCAGAAAGGAGAAGAGGACCACCCCTCGCAATTCACCCCACAGCTCCAGAAGTAAGCCATAGCCTCAGCAATGAGGCAATGGATGGATGGAAAGCTCACATAACAGCAGCAAGACAAATCTGTCAATGTCCGATTGAGCACTTAGAAGACTTAGAAGAGTCTATTTGCCCACTGGAATGGCTTCCGTCCATTCTACCAAGCTGGATTCTGGATCACCTAATTAGGCGTTCTGGACCTGCAGACACTACGACCGTCTTGATGAGCTCACCCGAGCTTGAGTTTCTTCTCCCATTCACTACGATTCCTGGTGCTGTCTTCCTTGCCATGCGACATGATGCAACTACTCAGAGAACTGCAGTGCCAAGAGGCGAAGAAGGAAAGTGTGCCACAACAACATGAAGAAAAGGATCAACATGAGAAGCTGCAGTGCAATCCTTGACTTGAAGACTGGAGTCAATGAGCATAATTTGTCAATTCTACTTGTTAAACTTATGCACAGTTCCGCACAATTTGACACCTGACACCTGCGCTCTTGTTCTTGATTTACGTGTAGGATATTTATGTCGAGAAAATGTACCCGTTTATTCCTGATGTGTGGAATGTCGTTTGATGCCTGCCGGACTGGTTGCTTGACACAAACATCGAGCTGTTGACTGTTTCGGGCGCCAGGTTGGCATTGAATGGGCCTGGAGACCTTTATATGCAGTGAGCTAGGCTTTGAAAGGCTTCGCATGTTTGCAACTAGGCAGCGGTAGACCACAGAAGACGATGGTCATCACCTCACCAGCAAGACCGGTGCTTCCAAAGCATCTGCAATGTGTCGGGTTTGTTTGATTCTCAGCACTAATAACGGGAGAGTATTTGGCATGGTTTGGAACCATAGGCATCACAAGTTCTAATCTAAGGCTGCTTAAGAGCGAGCCACATTCGCACCAGCTCCTACAAATTTGTTTAGTTGCTTGCATGAGGTGGCAAGCAGTGACGACACTTCCCAGTGACATAGTGCGATGGATCCCAAAGCATATCTGCGAAGCCATTGCAGCAGCAATCCTGAACATTTGCCGACTGGGCTGAGATCAAGGTTGTGCAAATCACTCTTCCAACAGTCAAACCTCTAGGTCAGAGAAACGAGGAGGATCTACACTCGGAAATATACAAAATACGCAAATCTTTGACATCATTTGATTAGGTCAAGTTTAGGATCCGAACAGAGCCATCATACACTTTCTTGGTGCTATTTCCACCATCCAATTCAAAACCTATAGGGATGTCATTCCTGCCACCATCCTCATTCCAAGGTTCAAGCAGCACCAGCACCAGCAGTCCATTGAGTTTCGCAGCAAAGAGATTCGGAGAGATCTCTTGACCTCAGCTGGGTCACCAGTTCTCACCCCTCAACCAGTTAGTTTCAGCAAGGACATCGCCGCCCCAAGGCTCTGACCTGACATTCCGATGGCCAGCCAGAACTGGGCAATTTGGATGGCTGAATGTAGTCCTGACATCGCGAATAAAACTATTAGACAAATGACAATAAATGTATAAATATACATTATGTCATTATGTAATATTATATGTATATATACATAATTATACATATATGATCATATATGTAGGTATGTGTGTGTGTGCCAAAGTGGGATTTGGTAAAACATCCAAAAATCATCAAGTCTCAAGCCTTCAGCCTCAGCTCATGCTCCAGCTTCGCAGCATATGGCGCTTGGAACGAGACGTTCCCTCAAAGGTAGCAGTTTTTACACGGATCAAATCGGATCAAATCGGATCAAAATCGGATCAAATGGTACAAAATTGATGATGCTTGCAGAATCTTGCAGCATCTTGCAATAATGTGTCTCAAATGGAGCTGCTCTATATATACTTCTCTTCTACATCTGTGGCCATTTCGTGCCGCAATTCTTGAGTACACGTTGCTTTCGCTCCCACAGCCACGGTTTCCAGAAGAATTCATGTGCGGACTTGCCGAAATGGCAGCAATGGGATGAAAACTAGGATCCAACTCTTGTGGCTTCATGGCCTTTGTGAGCCTATGTGGAAACCTGAGATGGCAAAGAGATCAAACCTTGCAGCACCCTGAAATTTGCCGCCAAAACATTGGTAATAGATGGGAAGACTGTAGTATGGCTTCCACCAACATGTGATAACTCTATTTCTTGAAGCAACATCTGGTAATTCGGAAATTCCGAATTCCGCTCGAACAATCGCATTTCATTGGCTCCAACACGGGCTGCATGGGCCAAGATTGCTTTCGCATGTTTTTGCAGCGTGCATCCGCCATTCAGACACACTGTAAGAGCGTGGGACGCACATGCCACAGCAAGGATTTCTCAGCGGGTCTTCCGCTTAGGTGAGACATCATTCAGACATAGTGAGCTAAGTCAATACTGTCGTCCACACACTTCGCTCTATGTGTCCATATGTTGTCCACAGCTGGACATCGACATCATGATCCATTCGGGGGCAAACAGTTTTGAACCATAGCAAACCTACTGATGCCTAGGGACCATAGCCATCTTCCAGGTCTGACTCCGTTCAGCGGGGTATGGGGGAACGCCTCTGGGGCACTTCGGGCAGCAACTCGCGGGAAGAGTTTTGCCGCGGCCCAGGAATACCTTTGGGCTCCTGCACCGTCCAATGGCTGAAGATCCCATCATCCCCTGTAGGAAATGAAATCAGCTAGTTTAAATACTAGTTTAACATAGTTTAACAATGTCCAACAATTTTAAACATGGTTCAACTGTCATCACGGTGGTTCCCTGCTTCCTCTCAAATCTTGATGTTTATTTCATGTTAAGTTGTAGGCCCAAAATGTCATCCCTCAGTTCCAACTCGGGCGCTGGGACACCAAACCTCCAACAAAGGAATCAGGGAAGCCGAAAACCCATTGAAAACCCACGCTTATCATGTCTTGTCCATTCTTCACTATTCGTGGATGCTTGCCGGTGCCACTGTTGGGCCAACATGGCATCTTGCGGCTTCCAAATGGCAGGTCTCCTGCACCTTGGAGACTTTGCTCGGGGGAGATGGAGCTGCCTTTGGTGCCTGACAGCTGAAAAACTGTTCAGGGATCTTCATCGCATGCGTATTGATGTATCAATGTCATATTTATCATACTTGTGTGGATGAATGATGTTGGTATATAAAGATGTATGTATATATATATATAGTAGTCGCATGTATGCATGTGAATATATGCATAAACACTCTGAATACACTATGTGTTTATCATTCCAATGTCCAACCATGAAATGATAAACGCTCTTAGTGTTTGTGTGTGTGTGCCTTGTTGATGATCGCGATAGACTATGGTTTGGAATGTCTTGTTTGGTTTTCAAAAGCTCGAGGCCCGCCTTGTCCTCAATCACAGCTTTCTCACCCTTTGGCGGATCATTCGCAGCCTCCTTTCCCAAAGCGGAATGGGCCGGCATGTCCAGTCTGTCTAGGCAGCAAATCTAGAAAGCAAGTGCTTTGAGCTGCTTAACCGCCCGTCTGGTCCTCCCCTTCTGTGCCATTTTCCAAGGCGTTCAGCTTCGTCGTCAACGCCTTCACCTCTCTGACCAAGGAGCACTTGAGCATTCTCAACTGGTTGAGCTCATGGACCAAAGTGGCATTCTCCTAAGCGAGAGAACGTGAGAGAACCGTGCTACTAGGGGACCCAGTAGCTAAGGAAGTGGGATGAGGGGGTAGCTATTTCTGCCAAATGTATAGAAATTCATCATCTGCCATGGGGGCACCCAAAAATCCCAGGCCAAAACCGGTGCCCGGTTTTGGATGTTTTGGTCTTGGGACTTGCCAAGGCGCGTTGGCCTTTCGTTGCATGTCCATCTTTCCCATGGCTCTGATCTGATTGCTTTTCGCTGCGAGGCTGGTCACTCGCCTCTCCACTACTCTCATTTGCCTCATCATCTCCTGGCCGCAGGAAAAAAATGGCGACGCAACAAAGGAAATGCCAGAGAAACAGTCCATTCTATAATCCCCGCTATATTCACATTATGTCTCCACCAATGGTTAACTTTATACTTTCCATTACCACTATTCTTGGACACATTGGCGGTTTTACATGGTTTTACATGTTATATCACTTTGATTCACTTTTTACAACGCATTGGCCCAACGTACAACACCCATCAACACCCAGGGAATCGGCACGTGGGCCGAGCCTCCAGCGGCAGGCGCTGATTTCCCTGGACATCTTCGCAGACGTGGGTGTGGTACAGCCGCCGGATCTCCTGGAAGAGGACCCCGGTGATGACGGGCATCAGCTGCATAATGTTGGTAAGGCAATAAAAAAAAAATCCCCAAAATAATCATAAATGGGTTCGAATACTATAAACTATTAATTGTGGGTGGAGTATTATTGCTTTTCTGTCACTACAGGTCTTGGAAATGTCTGGCGACTATTCAACCTTCAAAGACACGACTGGCGAATGAATCCGCAAGTCCTTCGGCCATTCCTGCAAGTCTGTCTGGGTCACCAAGGTGTGCACATCACTCCTGCGTCGTTGAAGGGGAGCAGAAGCAAAAGGGAGAGCCAACCATAATTAACCATAGCCCTCAAGTAGGTCACATTAAAACTAACTATTTAAAATTAACTGTTTAAAATCAACTGTTGTACTAACTGTGTACAGTATATATTACGCAATGTATGATTATGTTGCTGATAAGTGAGTGGCCTGCGATCCGTGTGTCCTAAATTTGTAGATGTGCGTGTCCAGCTCCGCCAAGCGATCCGCAAACCCCTTGGCTTCCTGGGTTCGTTCTGCAGGTTGCTGGAGTGAATCAGTTTCAAATGGAGCCTCATTAACAAGCTCCAGCTGCCATAAGACTCTTTAAGACTCTTGCTACATCTTTCCACGGCATGTTTGGGGGCGGCTAGCTGTTCGAAGTGCAACTTTTCTGGCGGATGCAGCCGCAGCCCAGCCTGTGTGAGGATGGCAGCGTGCTGTCGCCGCGAGTCGATCTTCTCCTCTAAGACACGTTGCTCGGTCAGCTGCCGCTCGAACTCGGACTCCAAATCTGAAAGATCCTGGCACTAACAACATCTAACAACTGGGATCAACTGGGTAAAAGAAAGGGATAGAAAGGGGCTACTTTAGTCTCTTTAGTTTTGAGATGTTTTGAGTAAACACTCTGACCCTTGCCTTCGCATCCTGCAAATTTTAGTTTCATGTGAAACATGCTCTATCTGCTGTCAGAAGGGCCGTGGAAAAAGAGGAGGGTGTGAGTCAATCCGCACAGGCCAGGACCCTGATCATATATCCCATACATTGCCATACATGTTGCACAATGTCTCGTCCAGCATTACTGGATATTGTTGACATAGCTTGCAGAAGTCAGCCCTGTTCATCCCGGTCCTGATTCAGCTTTTGAATCAGCGAGTCTTTGGGTTGCACAGACTCCACCACCTCTGCCAGTTTCTTATCCAAAAGGATCTTGAACTTCTTCAGCGTTCGTTCCTGCGCACGAAAGATCCTTACTCCATTTGCATCAGCGTCAAAATTACATAAAATTACTATATAGTTACATCTTACATATTATTGTCTCGGCCTACCTGAGAAATGTGAATCAGAGTAGGTTGCGGACATGTCTGCATCAAATCTACGAATGCAAAATAGATACAACAATAATCAACAATATACAAAAATGAAAATTGGAAACCAATGGAAACCACCTACCAGCACTGCACAGCACTGCACAGCACAGCATAGCACAGCATAGCACAGCAATATCAGCTATCTGAGACCTCGGGATGCCTCTGGCATCCTCCAGCTTAAGCGCAGCTTTCCAGGCCTTGGACTTGTAGCCTTCGATGCGCCGCTCCTTTTCTGCCAGGGTGGCAGCGCGATCGTCGCGTTCACCTTGAAGGCTCTGCAAGGTGCGTTTCAACTCCTCTGCTTGCTCCCTGCAAGGCCATGCTTCACAAGTCCAAAATCACTGTCAAAGTCAGCTTCATTCACTCCCCCCTCATTGATCTCATTGAATCATTGAGCCAGAAAGGTGACCTACCCAGTACCACTGATGCTGAGACTAAACTGCCTGCCCACACCAGGCAGGGGCTTGCCTTTATCATGGCATGCCGAGCAGATATCGAACCGTTTCCTTAATTTTGAGCCCTGATCTCACAACAACTCCGCCGCTTGCTTGTTAGTCTCTGTTTTGGAGGGCCCTTGTTGAAAACTGCATCGTCTATGCATAGTCCACATATCTGTCGTTGTGATTACTGTTTGTCTGAAGCTGTTGCTGCTGTTTTTCCTTATTCATCATCTTCTTCACCATCGTTGTCATATGTTTCTGCACCATGAATTATGACAATAATGTTCTTCTTCTTATTCTCCTTTTTCTTCATCTTCTTCTTCTTCATCTTCATCTTCGTCTTCATCTTATTATTGTTATATATAATTATTACTAACATTAGTAATATATATATATATGTATGTATGGATGGATGGATGGATGGATGGATGTATGGATGTATGGATGTATGGATGTATGGATGTATGGATGTATGCATGCATGCATGGATGTATGTTTGTATGTATGCATGCATGCATGCATGCATGGATGTATGGATGTATGGATGTATGTATGTTTGTATGTATGCATGCATGCATGCATGTATGTAATATGTTTATTCCTCCCTTCCCGGGAGCATCTACCCAGGTTTTTCCCCCTGGCCTCAAGCCCTTCAGCGTGGAGGCAGCTTCCTGCTGCTTCTCTTCAACGGCCTCTCTGTCCTTCTCTTGCATTTCGAGACCTGCCAGCATTGGAGATGCCTTTGAGTTAGTGCAGTGCGGTCATGTTATACATGTTATACACATGGGACTGGGGTAGAACAGGCAAGAATTGCGGCAAAAAATGGGATAAAAGATGACTCGGCTGCAATTAGGATTTTGGGGTGTGTCCAACATGAGCAGCATCTGCCATCTGCCGTGAAAAGCCAATGATCATAAAGTGAAGGATGGTTTGGGCTTTCCCAGTCTTCAAGAGAAACCTCACTGACCGAACCTTTTATCATTTTTTCCGCAATCAAAGCCAACAACAAGCTCTGGTGGCAACTTTAGCCACATGAATCACCACATCACCATAAGGCAAGCCATTGATGGAGCAATCAGTTCAGCTCCGGCGGTGGTGAGCGACTTCGCTCCTGTCGCTCAGGTTTTGCAGCATCACCCACTATCCGATAGAATTGTGCCAGTCGCTCCACTAAGCGAGAGTTCGGTGGCGGCAATGGTGGCAGCACCTGCGGCGTGTACAATGGATCCAGTGGTCGGTAGGGCACAAACGCTGCGTGCAAGTCCTTGCCTCGCCTGGAGACCTGTTTTAGCATGGATGACATGACACCCACGGGCACAGACTCCGGATTTTCGCTGGGAGTTGGTAGCGGAAGAGCACCTGGTACACCTGGTGTTTGGCCGGGAAGCCTGGGCACCAATGCCTGGCATGGTGCTGGAACCTCGGTGTTTCCGGGTGTTGCCATGACTGGCACAGCCACACCTGAGTTTGGTGGGACAGGTTGCCCTGGGACCGGTGGCACACCAGGATTCAGGGCACCAAGGATGCTGCCTACCAGGCCGTGGGAGCCGTGCGTCATCTGTGACGCTGTCATGCCCATCTGAACTCCAACCTGCTGTAGCAATCTGCCTGGTTGGGGCGGAGACGGCAAGTCATTTGCAACCATCAGCGCTGAAATCTCGTCGGCTTCCTGACTGGAGAGAACATTTTTCTCTACCCACAAGGTCAAAAGCTTCCGAATCTTCGCACAGCCCTCACTCTCAGGCATCACGGACTGTGCAATTTGGTAAGTCGGCCTCACCATCCATACGAGACAGGGCTTGAAGGCAGAAGTCAAAGGTCTCAAAGTATCCAACCGCTGTGCTTCATGGATGAAAATGTCGTGCAGCAAGTACAACACATGAAGCCGGTGCAAGCTGCTGGAGAGAAACACCACACGCTTCATCATATTACTTGCAATAGCTGGGGCCAGGTCAACACGTGCCTCAACCCAAGCCCTCCCATGAGCAATGGCTTCCCTTGAAGAGTTTCGTTCCAACGAGTTCAAGATCTCCGTCAGCTGCCTGTCATGTTCCGGGCTCAAGGGCATGATCTCCGGGGTGGGCCATCTCTTCATCAACTCCGAGAGGTCCATGGTATCAGTGACTGCCACGGTACCCACAGTGGAGCCACGGTGAGCGGCTAGTAGCGCCTGGTAATACTCAGAGCCTTCGCCACCAGCAAGAAACTGGAACTGTGGATTGTTGGAATTTTTGCCTCTCACGGTGTTCTCGAAGTCCTGTCCATTCTTGGCCACATGTTCAGCCATGATCTCGACTCGCTTTTTCAAGTCGGGGGCTAAGCCCACAGATGCTGCTGCAGATGCTGCCTCCATGGTGCCACACGGCGATCAAGCAGCCCTTCAAAACACCATGGCTATTGCGATCGGCACATCGGTGCGCGCGGATGCGCGAGGACTCTCAATTCACTCGCTTGAGTTTGGGGAGATGTTCCTCGTTGGGAACCTGTTCGCCATTTCATGTCGTGTAAACATGAACACTACCGCGCTATGCCTTCTACAAGTACCAAATGCTTGTTGAGTTGCTGCGTTGGAACCAAATCCATGCCATTGTAAGGAGCCGTTGTATCTCTGTAGGCTTACGTCCGACTTGCCATGGTCAGACTACAGCTGATCGTCACGGCAGGCATGCAGCAAATGTACAAAGAAAGGGTTCTCTTTATTTGATTTTATATATTTTAGTTGTGGATATTTGTGGCAGGTTCATCTCCAATTGACATCAACTCAGCCTCAACCATTGTCCGAAGTTGGGCCACTGCTGATATTATCACATGCGACCAAAGATCCTTGATGCTCTTGTTCCATTGTGTTCCATCATGTTCCATCCAGCCTCGGAGAAGATATTCTTGCTCTTTTCGCAAGTCCACCTCCACCTTGTCAGCTGAAGGTCAGACAAATGGACATGGCGCCACGCTTTCTCTGAAACAATGGTTTCGTCAAAGCCATCATTGTGACTTCAGGTCGGCTAGGAGGTGCTATGTGTCCATGCCAGTGGGACATCCCAAAAAGCCAGTGGCACCTGCTTCTGCTCCTCCAGAGCCTCCCAGCCAGTGTGTTTCAAGCGCATGACCTCCTGGTCGTGCTCCTGAACTTCGCAGCTTGGAACAGACATTCACCCCCCCCCGCTGGGAAGGTTGCAACAACTCGGCGGGGGTTGGACATTAAGTTGTTTCAGGTTTTTCTGTAGATGTATACCAAGATGTCATTTCTTTCTTGGGGGGTTGTCAACAATAACACGAACAAAAGGATCAAATGGTTGAAAATGAAGGCCCGCAAGCACAGCCCTTCCGCCTCAGCAGTGTCTTCTCTCACCACTTCAAAGCGATGCTGCACAAAGGCCAAGAGGTCCTGGCCACCAGCCAATCCACTGGAATTCATGGGGAGATAGCTCTAGGAATACTAGGAATCAAAGATGGCAATCATGGAAAAGTATATAAAACTTTGCAAATCATAGAACTCCAGCTGCTTCTCTATCTTCCCTGCTTAAGAAACAGAAAGCTAGTCCTGGTGTTTCTTGATCTCAAGATCTCGCTCCACCAGCAATCTCTTTTCTTCTTCTTTGGCAGCAGCAGCAGCTTGTTTCAGCTGCTCTTCATGCTCTTCCCGCTCCTTGCATTCATTTCATCAAGAATGTGCATACCGAACAATATTGCATTCCAGATTCAAGCTTCATTACACCTGTAACGTATATCCCTTGCGTGCTGCTACTAGTCCTTCAGCATCTGCTCTTGCAACTTCTCTTTCTGGATCTGCAAATCCAGTAAGCCTGTCAAGGAGGGAGAGAGAGGGAGAGGGGGGCACGCTGCATGGGTCAATCCAATTCGAACTGTTCTTTCTTCCCGCTTCCGCTGCCCGTCAGAAAAGAACACAATACGTAAGTAGAGTGTTGTTAAAACATGCGCTGCAACGACGAGTAATCGTAGGCGGTAGGACCTTTGATTTTGCCATAGGTGTAGACTCAAGTGAACAAATGTTACTCCCTCAGCACATTTTATCTTCCAACGACGTGCCCTCCATGGACACAAAAAGGCATCGATCGTCGATAGCTACCAAATCAGTAATGATACACGATTAAATTCTATGAAAAAAACTGAGATCTACCCATGAATTTGTACACATCCTTCTTAATTCTTAATCAAGATGTTTAATGATGTTTATATATATTTAAATGTATATACACACACACCTTATATGCTCATTATAGTAGTGTGGACTCCATGTGCTCATCACACCGGTGCCAGGTGGCGGTCTGACTCGTGGCTCAGTTTGCGCTGGTAGAGCTTCGAAAGCTGATCCGTCGCCTCGTTGTGCCGGTTCTCCATGGCCTGGCGTCCCCAACCAGGGCCGCATGGCTGGTTGAACAAAACATCCCAAATGATATAAATTTGAAAAAGTGACAGGAACAAACTCTGGATATCAACCAAAAAACAAAAACAAATTATATATATATATATAATTAGATTTGATGAGATTTCCCATTTTGGTTGCCTTCATCAGTCGTTGGCTCTCGCGCTCTTTGGCTGAGCATGCTTCTTCAAGGGCACCATACCGTCTCTGCAGCTCCTGCCAATCCAGACTTTTACACACAGAAGCAGCGCTCACATTTCAACTCTCTGAATCCCACTGATATCTTGTCCAGACTGGACTTGATCTGTACACATCTTTATCATTCCCCAAACAGTGTGGCCACACTGAGGGGTTCTTCCGGTAACAGTTAAGGCCCGGTGTTCAATCGAGGTGGTATCCGGGGCATTTGGCATTTTCCCTGTAAATTTCCGCACAAAAGCCTCTTGTGACATGTCCATATGCATTTCGACTGCGCAGGCTCGCACAAAATGCTGGCGGCGGGATTAGCGTCTGGCATTTTCCCTATAAATTTCCGCACAAAATGCCTCTTGTGACATGGCCATGTGCATTTCGACTGCGCAGTCTCGCACAGAATGCTGGCCGCGGAGGTGTCCTCGACCGTTTTCCCTGCAAATGTCTACACAAAATGGCTCTTGCGACATGTCCATGCATTTTCGACTGCGCAGGCACGCACAAAACAAGTGTCGCGGGATTGGCGTGCGGCACTGTTCCTGTAAATTTCCACACACAAATGGCTGTTCATGAGTATCTCGGCTGCGCAGGCTCGCACACCATCATCATCATCAACAACAACAACATCATCATCATCATCGTCATCATCATCGTCATCATCATCATCAGCAGCATAATCATCATCATCACCATCATCATCATCAACACAGCATCACCATCATCGTCATCAACATCATCGTCATCGTCATCATCATCATCATCATCATCATCATCATCATCATCATCATCATCATCATCAGTATCGTCACCACCACCACCACCACCATCATCATCATCATCACCATCATCAACATCAACATCACCATCATCATCAACATCATCATCAACATTAACATCATCATCAACATTAAATATAATACATTCTCCTTTGACTCCCCCAACACTGTTTGGGGTCTCTTGCCGGGATAATACGTTTTGCGTCTACAATCAAACGGCAAGTATCAATCAATCCGGGCAGCGAATTTGTGCCCAACCAGCCAATCATGACTCTCCTGGATTTCAGCTTGGTCTTTCTGTCGAGCTTGCGCCACTTTGGCTGCACACTGCTCTTCATGGAGAGAAGCTTCGCGTTCCAAGCGGTCCTGTGGTCACTGCAGCGGAGTCGGTGGGATTGTTGCAGCGGTGTGAAATGCACGGCATTTGCAATTGACACCAATTGACAACATATCGAACATTGAACATCGTACACTTTCAGTTCCGTCAAATCGCAAGCTTACCCCGCGAGCTATTGCAACAGCTTCTCATCCAAAAACAGAACGCAATGGTGTTGACACATTGCACTCATACCCCCTGCGGCTCCTTCATGCCCCGGCACTCGCTCATCAAAGTTGCACAACGGCGTTCCAGCTTCAGGATCTCCTCCTTCGTATGTTGAATCAGTTGAATATGAACCAGTGCACCATGATGGGGTGAAGGTAGGGGTTGCTAGCTTGTCTCTGTCCATTCAGGTTCTGTTCTGTGTGAACCGCTACAGTAGGGTGTATACCAGCAAGCTGAGGCAATGCAATGAGATCTTGGATGCTGATTGCATGCTACAGATATCTTGAGCCAACTAAACTTTACACTTTACACAATTCAACCATATTCAACCTTTCTCTGCAGGTCGCAATGAGATCCAATAAGGCTCTGTCAACAGGTTTCGCATCTCCTTGGAGGCCAAAATGCTTTGTGCCTCTGGTGAGAATTTGTCCATGTCAGTGACATGCAAGGCCACCGGTAGCATGGCGAGCCTGCGGCACACAAGGGTTGGCCTATGTTGGCCTTAGGGTGGGAAGATGAATGACAGGACTATGATAGGACTATGATAGGATACTCAAAATCGTTCAGATAGAGACAATCTCTCTCTCTCTCTCTCTCCATCAAGCTGCCATGAGCATGTGACGGGTTGCGTGTCCCTGTGCACCATAGCCATAATGGGTATATCATTCACGTGCCATAGAATGAGCGTTGCAGTCCTATTGTCTATCGATGTCTATGGATGTCTATTGTTCTATGGTGACTTCAGATGGTCCGATGGCATGAACCGCAGCTGGAGCACTCATCGTGAGAAGCTAACCCCTGGACACCCAGAATGAAGATGACGCCGTCCTGCCATTGTACCCTATGTCAGTCGCGTTCTCAGACTTCTGCCATCCTCTGTTGTCCTTTTAATTAATGGGCACCTGTCGTATGTACATGAACTAAACTAACCCGTCAGCCCTAATACCGGCCTCTGTGCACCTCTCAGTGTCTAAACAACCTTTCAGTAAAAGCAAGAGGCACGCAGTTTCGCTGCATCTCCACCTTGCACTCCGGCTCACGATGCGATTTGCCTATCAAGGAATTCCCTGCGAGCGAAACCCAGTCCTCGCCAACGGTGACAAGGGAGCGGCCATCCACTGAGACACAAAGGCCAGTGCAGGAAAGACCGTGCAAAGGCAACTCATAGCTCTTGGGCTGACTGCCGTTGGGGAGGGACATGTAGACCTGCCAGTATTTCTGGTTGAAATCAACCCCAAAAACAAAGGCTGAGGGAAATCTAGAGAGAATAATTGACTTGAAAAGGTGAATAGCATACCGTGAATCTGCAGGTGTGTTCTTCAAGCATGTTCAAGCTCACCTGAACTTGCCTCGGACTTTCTACAGTCCATCCTCGCCTTTCCTGTGGCATGTCCAGCCTGCAAAGACCCTTTGTCTGTGCCAGCCAATACTGCACTGCTGCCAGGAAAGTGAGTTAGTCGCGTGATTTGGGCGCAATGGAGCTCCGTCTCAAACCTTAGCTGGGGCAAGATTTCCCAGTAGGACTGGGATGCAAGCTGCGTAGGACAAGCCAGTCACAGCAAGGTGGCACTGCAGATTTCCAAACGACCTCTGCCGGGATACTCAAGCGCATACTGAGAGAAGCGTTGTAGCAGTTGCTTGCCATTCCGCATCACACTGCAAGTAGCTTGGTCCTGCTTTCTCCCACTGGCAGGTAGCACGTGTAGAGTTTTCAAAAGGAGAGCACCTACCGCCTTTTAATCCAGGCATGTGCACGCTGCACGGTGGCATTTAGGTATTGCAATCGAGTGTAAACATGCTATATGCGTTTTAGTTCTTACTGTATGTTGGAACATGTGGCCGTATGATGGCATAGTCATATAAAGTCATGTGCCCATGATGTGTGCATATTACTTTTCCATCATCAGTTGCATATTGTCAAGGTGTCCTGCGCGATGCTGCTGATGGCGCACCATTTCGCTGTAGGCTCCTCAGAAAAATCAGAAAAGGGTGAGGGTCCAACATCCATCAGAAACCAGGTGCAGCTGAGCAGGCCTGAAATCTGAAGAACTTTCATGGAAATTCAATCCAGCAAATTGAAGCCCTTGATGCCCAACATCTGCAAGCTGAAGCGAAAAAGTTCATATCGTGCGGAAATTGTGGTCCAAGTTCACGCTGGCAAGTCTCCGTTCGCGCGGGATGTTGCTCAAAGGTAGTGAGATTCCATACAATGAGCTTGCCTTCATCACCAACGCTCCAGAGTGTATGGTCCTGCCAGAGTCGAAAGGACAAGGAAACGCTGCGCAACCTTTAACAGCAATAGGTTTTCATACGTTTCCAATCTGCCCCGATTCAAACTGTCCTCAGGGTCGAAGCTGATGCTGAGCACATCTCGAGTGTGTCCCTGCAGAGTGGTCACCTTTGGCAAGCCGAAAAGAGGTGGTACATAACTTGCCATGAAACTGGGGTGCAACGCTGTAATTGCTGCTGCAAAAAAATAGAAATAATTTGAAATAAAGGTACGCATGGGCGCAACCCTGTATACAGATATATGCATATACATATACATATACATATACATATACATATGCATACACATATACATATAATTACATATACATATACATATACATATACATATACATATACATATACATATAAATATACATGTAAATATACATATACATATACACAATTATACACATATAAAAACATATAAAAACATTAAAGAAAAAAACACAGCATGGAATGTCCAAGGCTTACACACCATAAGTTTGCAAGTACATGCTGCAATCCAACACGATCGACCTACCCACAAAGTTACAGGAAAAAGGTCTTGCACAAGCACATCAAACCCAAGATCCAACTTTCGAAAAGCCGAAATGGACCAACAGTGCGTCCCCACCTTGGTCAAGGTTCTGACGCTGAAGATATGGATGAGCTTCCCCTGGATGGCTGCCAGCAGGTGTCCTCCAAAGCTAAACTTCAGCTGGTGCACTGCGCGCAGCGGAATCTCGCTGTGGAGCTTCAAATCCTTCACCTGAACCCAGCTGAGACCCAGCTGATTCTGGTTGTTTTCGCAAAGGATATCTCGATATGACTTGGGAGCTCACCGGGCGTTTTTGTCATCAGCCTTCATGGAATAATGTGGGATGATGATATCTATGAAATAGATGCTGAGATACAGTTCAAGCAAAACATGGGCATGCAGCAACCAACACAATGTGGCCAGTTTCAGCGACCAGTTCTACGGGTTTGGGGTCACAAGATTCACAAGCAGGGTTCCCATTCACCAACAGCATTGCCGCTTCCTTGGCTTGGAAATTCTTTACCCATATGTACGTGTAGTACATATATGTACCATTTTCAGCCAAAATGCCAAGACATGATACAGGCGAATGCGATCTCCAAAGCCCACCGCTGCATAGTAGCCAAAGGGATGAATGGCGACAGCACAAGGTGAATCCTCACCTCGGCTACAAAGTTATCCAAATGGTTCCCCAAATGATCCTCCAAATCTCCAGCCGTCCAGTAGCAAATCTGCTGTCAAGTATCCGAAGTTGGCGCGGATCTCACACGTCCGGGCTGTGAAGTTCCAGACTCGCACGGTCCCATCACCCTGGTGAACGAAAAAACTCACAGCTAATTCCAAACATCAAATGAAATTGGAAGGGAAACGAAACACACGAAACTATGGTTTGGGTTGATCTGACCACTGATTCGATTCAATGGCAAAACTTGGTGCAAATTTTGGAGTTCCCCTGCCTTGCAGGCTGTAACAATCAAAGGACGATGCACCGCCATGTCCATGGCCGTGATAGCAGCTGCGTGGTTTCCCATCATTGCATGACACGATGCAGGCTCCTGCAGCAATTGAGAAAGTACTTTCCAAACATGGCGCAAGTGCTCAAGTTGTTTTTTTGGTGGGGCATCGAGGGAGGTCATTCTGGATACAATGGAAACCATTCAATACAAAATAATATTTATGTGCCATACAAACGCCCCAGGTGCCCCCTAGGGACCTAATGGCATGCATCTTTGGCCGTCTGCATGCTTGCTTGTGCCAAAGTTTTGAGACATGCTTGTGCCAAGTCGCCACAATGCAAGTACAGTGTATCTGCAGACATGATCTCATATGATTCTTGTTGCTCTTGTATTCCTTTGCCACATATTTCTCCAGCTTTCCTTCCACTTCCCAATCTTCTCAATCTGCCAAGATGTGCCAAGATATGCCCTGCCAAGATTGTCCTCTGTGCTGTACAAGGATGCCATTGCGATGATGCCAATGTCCGAATTTCCAAAGCCCAGGAGCAACTGCTCTTCACCCACAGTGATGTCCAGTGCGCAAACAGCGTCTCCTTCTGGACGAACCTTCAACGCAAGCACAAAGAGGAGCACAGCATCCGCCACAAAACAATGCCAAATCAATTCAATCCAAATCATCCGAATTCCTTAGAGAAGATGCTACCAGATGCTACCAAGCCTTACGGTTTGTTAACCTTCAATTTTGGTGTCGTCCTTTAAGATCAGGGAGCTAGAGCTATATAGATCTATATAGTACCTCCACATACCTCCACCATCCTCGTGGCATCGTGGCCGCCTTTGCTGCAGTGGAGAGCCGATACTCCTCCTCAACGCTCTTCATGGACTCACCTTCTCCCCCGTCATCGGATTCCCACACGGCCACGTAGCCCAGGGCGCCACCCAAGATGAAACCACCAGTGAATGCACGGACACCTGGGAGATCCAGGGAGATCCAGGGAGATCCAGGGAGATCCAGGGAGATCCAGGGAGATCCAGGGAGATCCAGGGAGATCCAGGGAGATCCAGGGAGATCCAGGGAGTCAGAATTCTGCTGACGGAAAGTTCAAGACTTCAAGATCTACCTGGGTAACTCCAAGATATCGATGATGTCGGCACTGCAGGTACCCCTGCCCCATGTGGCCCTTCATCAAGTGAATTTGTGGGCCAAGGCGCAAAGCGGAGTCACTTCATCCAGGTCTGCTTCACCAAATGGTGCCCTCAGATTTCAAAGCTCGGCGCAAAGCCAACCCAACACTCACTATGAGATGTTCTCAGCATTTATAAGTTGCATCTTCATGAGGCATTATTGCAACAGTGGCTACTTTATTGATTCTCGCCAAACCAGGCCAGAAAAACCAGAAGGATCAGAACATCGACCGTGCAAACAAGATCAAAAGCAGCTGCATGCCAAAATACATCACAATATATCACAATGTAGATGTCAAAATACATCCAATGGATTCAAGCAGTTTAAACAGCCACAGTTGGTCATCTCCAATATCATCTTTGAAAAGTGTGCCAAGCTTCTCAATGGTCCTGACCACCTGGAGCTCCTCGGCACTGATGATGTGAATATGAGACTCCTGGATGACCACCAAACGACTGCCCTCCAGCCAGCTATGATCCAAGATCTTCTTCTCCGGCAAGTTGCTGAAAGCTGGCAGAACCCTGGCAATGTGCAGCTGTTCACGAAACACTGCAGCCGATGTGGTACAAGGCATGCAACAAGAAATTCCACTCCGGAGAACTGATGCCTCAAGGATACTTCTCCCTTGGCATGCCGAATCTGCATCAGCCGCAACATGTTGGGCCCAGAAGCTGTGACCTGCACCAGGGTCGGGCTTGTGGATTTGTCACGATTGCAGACCAAAGATTCCGCAGGAAATCTGCCAGGCCTGCAAATTCTCTGGTTGGGATGGGAAGCTGAGGCGGTCCACACCGCCAGGCAACTTGCATTTGCATATGATCTTCTCGGCATCCTGGATCTGGAGACCAGCTGGGGAAGTTTCACTGAGCAAAATAGCTGCTCTTGTTGGTGGTACCAGTCAAACTGAGGATCATCAATCCGACTAGGAATGGGAAAACATAAGTAAACATGTTGAATTACAACCACCAATACTAGGTCACAACCTCAACCGAGACAGCCAAGGCTCCCAGTTCATCAGAACCAGGGTCGCTTCAGCACCGCTTGTGGACGCCATGAGGTACCGCGGCCCAGCCCCTTCAACCGGAGCAGAGAAGGCCAGTGACAGCAATCGCCCACCGGCCGTGCCCAGTGGCTTCAGGCTCTTCATGGGACCTGAATTACCAGACCTGCAAGCTGGCGGCAGTCGGATAGAGTCTGAGTCTACATCTACATGGTCCATACCTGCCTAATCAAAAGAAGCGAGTTGGGCTACAGTAATTCCATGGAAATTGTGGAAGCATCCAACACAAATATATATATATATATGTATGTACACATAAATCAGCTAACAAAAACATCTAAAAAAACACCTTTGCACCCTTCCCGTGCACCCTGCCAGCATGGCCTCAAATCGTAGATGGAGATCCGTGCTTCACTGGTGCACTTTTCTGCCAAAGCCAAGAAGGCACGATCCCTCGAGGCACAGCAAGCAGTGATGAGTTCCACTTTCCTTAGGAATGCCATGGGAATCATGGGACGCAACATGGCAGTTCTCCATGCCAAATCTTCAACTATAAGGCAGCTTGACTGACCCTGCCTCACAGTCAAAGACCGTTTTCCCTCAAGCGTCTGCTATATAGGTTGCATTTGATTATCACTGATGACCGGTACAACAGGCTGTGACTTATGAACTTGCTGGAAGTTTCATTGACCCAGTAAGCACGGCCCACGCTCCACGCATCCACCGGGAAGAGTATATACACACACAAAAGTACAATCATGCACTGCAAAATCGATATGCTCCGCACTCTATACATATCAAATGTGCATGTATAACATAGATTATGTTCATACATACATCATATGTAGTTGTTTCTTAGTATATGTGTCGATCTATCTATCTATCTATCGATCGATCGATCGATCTATCGATCCATCCATCCATCCATCCATCCATCCATCCATCCATCTGTTTATGCATTTATTTTCTGCATGTACCATCATACAAGCACCATCTCCTTAAGCAGTTCTACCACTTGCCAAGCGTCTCACTCGTGCCCAGGAAACTGGTCTCATTGTTTTCGACCTTCGCAACGGTCCAACGGTGTTGTTTCACGTTTGGCTCTCGGGAATCTTAGCAGGTCTTAGCATCATAAATGATAAATGATACTTGGTGGTATGTCCATTTCCCCTGCCAGCCATTTAAAACCGTTTTTACCCAATTGGCTGATACATCTGGAATGCTTGCAGAGCAAGTGGCCATGGCCAAATTTCGTGGAAAACAGACTGAAATGCTGAGATGTGCTGCTAGGCAACATGGCGTATAGCCAGCTGGCGCCCTACGGCAAAGGCCACTTGCTGCCCAGTGCTATCTGCAAAGAGCGCAGGCTCGCGAAGTGGTGAGCCGCACAGCGAGCCAAAAACATGCCTCAAACTCGATTGGAGAAAGGAGAAAACAATAGAAAACATGGAAATGTATGAAGAAACATTATGAAACAAGGTCAAGGGAAATTGGGCCTTAGCAAAATGCGTTGACCTTTTCTTTCCCCATGGTCGCAACGTGTGGAATCTCTGGTGGCATCTCTCACCCAGGTGCTGAAGTTCGACGGTCACCTCAAAGTCGCTCATCCATGGAAGGAGCCGCGGCTGATTCACCGCATCGTGGAAGTTTATTGCTGGAAAAAGTATGGCTGGGGTTGGGACATAGTGTGGCTACGATGTCATGAGGGAACCCAGATTTGGTTTCCATGATTTTGTGTGGGAGCTGGCTCGTGTCATCTCTTGTCAACATATAACTACCAGTCAACTTGCACACATGCATTTGAGCAACGAGGAACAAGTGAAGCATGCAAGTTTAAGCGGAAGAACTGCAAGACTGCGAGCTGTTCAAAACATGTTGCAACCTTTTCAGAGCGAATGCAGGACTCGGACCGGCAAAGTGCTGCAACTTGCAGCTGCACCTGACCCCTTCTTTTACACGACATCTGCTCCGCGCTGCGTGAGACCGAACTTCGGCAACTTTTGTAGGTTTAGTGGTTAAAGCGTTGGCGGTGAGTAAGCAGCACATTGATGACAAGTGGATCTGGCATGTAGCGAGAACATCGGAAATGTTTGAAAAAATTAACAACAATATGTAGATATCATATATATATATAATTATATATAAATATGTATATAGAGAGAGAGAGAGAGCGAGCGAGATGTAAGAAAGAAGGAGAGATAGACGGAATAGGCGGATATACAATCAACTTTAATGAGCTGCCTGCTTGTCAAATGATGTAGGCTGCTTCAGGCTGCATGCTCCCGGCAAAGCACACCAATGACCTGACTTCATCTCTGTTGCATCTGCCAGGGCAGCTACAACACGCAACATGTGGCGCTCCGGAATCAAAGTGGTAGCAGTTTAGCGGCAAAAAGTTCACATGATTTTGGTGACAGTATCATTAAGCAATATGTTCCATATGAAATACGTTAAACCGGCAAGACCTTGAAGATTCGACATGTTTCCAATTCACTTCAGCCAAGCTTCCCTGGAGCAGCCAGAGGCTCCGCGGGAATGTCCTGGCTGGTCTACTTTGATCATGATTCAAATCTGGAAAAGGGATAGCTCAGGTTTCTAAATGGCTAGGGGATTCCGATCGTGGCATTGCGCTCAAAGAGCTGATGTTTACTACCTGACGTATGCCATGCCCAAATCATCCCAAATCCAAGTTGCCAAAAAAATCTGGACTCTGCACACTTCCAATTATGGACTCCCTCTTTTTAAGTCCATTTGCCACGCAAGACCCGATCCAAACGCGAAGAGGTGTACGCGCGATCATCTGCAGAATCCTTTCCTTGAAATTCCTCATCTTCCTGGCTAGAGCGAACGCGTGCTCTAGTCCTTGGGTCATTTTCCTGGTCAGTTTCAATGATCCCCAGTTCAGCCAAATGCCATTCGATGGTGTCAATACTGGTTCTGCCACCACCCCAATCATCAAGACCCTGCACTTGTTTCACACATTCCTTGTCTTTGTAGATGATCACCGTTGGTGTCAGTGAATCGGGAAAGTCAGGAATGATCTCCGACGCAATTCCCTGCAGGAATTTGATCATCGGAAATCGTGTTGCTGCCTCTGCCCATGGCTTCATCATGGGATGACACTGATAGTTTGCCTGTGGTCAATCTGAGTTCTCATCATAACATGCTTAAAACATGCGGCAGCTGCAAACATCAACGGAATCTCCCTGAAACCAATCTGAAAAGGCGCTAAAAGACTCAGAAATCATATCCCACACACACAACCTAAAAAGTTGCCCCAGCAGAAGTTAATACCCTTCACCCTTCAAAATGAAAATAACGGTCGTAGTAAAATGAATAATCGAAGGAAGCTTAGAAGTCAAACTTCCGACAATATGGACAGATGGAAAAGCAGAGGTGGGAAGGGTCAGAGAAGAGAAACAGTCAGAAGAAAGAAGATGCAGGTGCGCGAAAAGGTAGAAAAGTCGCGAAAGACTGCCTTTTTCCAATGATTTGTGGCTCCGGAGGCTCGAAAAGTAGGCTCCCTAAAGCGGCTGGTGCGCCATGTGGCCAGAAAAGAGATGAAAAGTAGCACGCCGTTGTGGCGCGAAGCACGTTTTGAAGTCAAAATGACTAAAGCACACCCTTCCCGGGCCACTTTGGAAGTTGAGATGTCGAAAAAGTGCACGCCGTTGTGGCGCGAAGCACGTTTTGAAGTCAAAATGACTAAAGCACACCCTTCTCGGGCCACTTTGGAAGTTGAGATGTCGAAAAAGTGCACGCCGTTGTGGCGCGAAGCGCATTTTGAAGTCAAAGGTGTTAAAAACTGACGGGTTCAGAGCACTCTTGGAAGTTGAGATGTTGAAAAAGTGCACGCCGTTGTGGCGCGAAGCACGTTTCCAAGACAAAATGTACAAAACACCCCAGGTTCAGAGCACTTTTGGAAGTTGAGATGTTGAAAAAGTGCACGCCGTTGTGGCGCGAAGCACAGTTCGAAGTCAGAAGTGCAAAAGACTTAGGGGTACGGAGCGCTTTTGGACGTTCAGATGTCGTTTTGTGTGGCAGGCGCAGGGAATTGTGCACCTCGTCAAAAGTGGGCAAAACATGAGGGTTTTGTAGCAGTTTCAAAAGCGATGGCAGGTGTGGGACATTTGAAGAGGATCTGGAAAGATGCATTTCGCGTGGCAGGCGCAGTTCAAGAGACACATGAGGTAGATGTGCTAGGAGATCAGGGCGGAGATTTCCTGAGAGGGGCTGCATTTTGGAGCACCAGATCGTCAGGTTTGCTAAGGTGATTTTGCATGACAGGCGCAGAACTGCGTATGACCTGGCTTCACTTTTTCGTGGCAGGCGCAATACTTTAGAGACATTCACTGGAAAAATCACAAAACGCATTGGTACCAGGCCGTCAGCTCTGCACTCAACTTTCCATTATTGAACGAAGTCTCGCAGAATTGCTTCGTTATTGATGTTGAGGAGGCATCGCTGAATTGCTGAGTTTTTGACGTTACCAAGTTCAAAAGTTGAGGAAGTCTCGCAGACTTGCTTCGTTTTTATTTGACGTTGTCAAGTTCAAAAATTGAGGAAGTCTGGCAGAATAGCTTCGCTTTCAAGCTTGCAGATAGGCAGATAGATAGATAGATAGATCGATCGATCGATAGGTAGATAGATAGATAGATAGAGAGAGAGAGAGATAGATAGATAGATAGATAGGCAGGTAAATGGATGGATAGACAGGTAAATGGATGGATGGATGGATAGATAGATAGATGGATAGATAGATAGATAGATAGACAACTACAACTACAACTACAACTGCAACTACAACTACATTACGCTACACTACACGACGCTAATTACACTACATTACGCTCCACTGCACTACACTACACTCTCAATTACACTACACTACACTACACTAACTACAACTACAACTACACTACATTACACTACACTACACTAACTACACTGCACTACACTACACTCCACTTCACTACACTACACTACACTCAATTGCACTACACTACACTCCACTTCACTACAGCTACAACTACAACTACATTGCGCTACACTAATTACATTACACTACGCTACACTACACTGCACTCCACTTCACTTCACTACACTCAATTACACGACCACCACAACAACAACAGCAACAACAACAACAAGAACTACTACGACGACGACGGCGACTACTACTACGACGACGACGACGGCTACTACTACTACAACCACAACCACAACCACAACCACAACCACAACCACAACTACAACTACAACTACAACTACGTTACACTAAACTAAGTACAATACACCACACCACACTACACTACACTACACTGACATTAACTACAACTACAGCTACAGCTACAGCTACAACTGCGCTACTTTATACTACACCACACTAGACTACACTACACTGCCCTACATTGCCTTACGCTACACTCATTACACCACCACAAATGCAACTGCAACCTTACCACACTAATTATAATTACACTGCACCACAACTACAACTCCACTACGCTACAACTCCAACTACAGCTGCGCTGCACCACACTACATCCACCATTTGTGGGTGAGGTGACCGACCAGGTGACCACTGCAACCATTGCAACCATTCCAAAAAACACAGCTCCAACCACCTTTCGGTCCATCAGTGGAGTGGAGTCGCTCTGCCATCCGTGATTCACAACAACCAACCTCTCCTATAGGTTTCCTATGTTTGAAACTTCCGCCACCGCCTTGTGCGGTACTACTGGTACGAATTAACAACATCTGGCGATAAGACAAGTCACATCTGTGTAGAGCAGCAGCAGCACCCACTGACCTCCTGCACTGGCCTCGGTCACCTCCTGGACGTAGCTGGCACGGCACAGCTGTCGCAGCTCGCCGAAGCGTGCGGAGGCTCGGGCCGCTTTCAGCTCTGCCAGGCGCTGGCGGCGATACCTGGAGAGTCCAACCAGAATGTGGAGATAAAGTTGGTATACAGATGTATACAGTATTATACAATGGGGATATATGACCAAATGTGTATGTATATTATATATATTATATACACAATGCGTGTGTGTGTGATATCAACATGAGTATGTCTTGCCAAGCCCGTGTTTGGCTTAAGACTGGTGGGGGGGGGGTCCGGAGGGGGGGGGGGGGGGCACGGCAAGGGGCTAAAATTTCAAAAATAGGGGCTCAAATTTAAGGAAATAGGGGTTTTTTTGAAGAAACCGGGTCGGGATCCAGTCGGGACCCAGTCGGGACCCAGTCGGGACCCAGTCGGGACCCAATCGGGCACCAATTTTTGCATTTTTGGGCACCGCTTTTGGCCAGTCGGGATCCAGTCGGGATCCAGTCGGGCACCAATTTTCGAATTTTTGGCACCACGTTTGGACCTGTCGGGAAGCAGCCAAAATCACCGAAAAACATGCAAAAACACTGCAAAAATGCTATTTTTTATGAATTTGGCTGCCTCCCGACATTGGTGCCCGACTGGATCCCGACTGGATCCCGACTGGATCCCGACTGGATCCCGACTGGCCAAAAGCGGTGCCCAAAAATGCAAAAATTGGTGCCCGACTGGGTCCCGACGGGATCCTGACTGGATCCATAGATTGGCAAGAACCCACTCCCGCCCCTATTTTTCCCTTCCCAGACCCACCCTTGCCCCTATTTTCCTTTTCCGCGCACCAGCCGTGCACCAATACCCCCCCCCCTCCTGCACCAAAACGGTAAAAGCAGTCTTAAGCCAAACGGGGGTTCTACAAAGTATGTCTTTGACAAGGGAAAGTGATGATCAAACTGTGGATTTTCGAGTTTTCCCATGCTTTTTAGACAGACCCAGATGAACGAAATGGCTATGGATCGGGCTGTTGGGGTACCAATCAGATCACCAGATTTGTTGACATGTTTATAGCAACTCCAAAAAAGAATAGAAAAGTAAATTCCCACTAAGATAGCGGTAAACGACTTTCTTTCTATATATTTGTTTCGGGTTAACTATACTGTGAAAGTGAATCAAACCGCCCATTTTTGTGGGTCCAATAATTTTGGCACATGCTCAACTGTGAAACTGGTCGGTAGTTTTAAGCCCTCGGAAAACACTAGTCAATCAAGGATCATAACCCCACGCCACGTACATGGAAAAGTGAAAATGCTTCAACCCACCGGCCAAGAAATTGCGGGATGAAAGTCTCTAAATTAGGGTTGCCAAATTGAGCTGTGTTTTGTTTTGCTTAGCCCTTTAAACTCATCAAGGCCACGCGAAGGCTACGTAGCCTGCGCGGACTGAAGAGGTAGCCTACACGGGGGGTAGTTTGCGAAAGGTGCCTACGCAAAGGCTACGCGAAGCCTACGCGGACTGCAAAGGTAGCCTACACGGAGGAGCCTGCTGTTCAAAAAAACGATGCCAGAAAGCCAGTTATGGAAGCTGAAAACGTTCAAATCTTCACCCAAGACTCTGTTGCAGAAAGTCTTCCTCACTGACATCATCTTCAACTGCATTGAGCTCTTCCAATGTGCGATTCTCCAAGGGATCGAATCTTTCCTGGTTGGCAGGAAGAAGAATACTATCAAATAATTTGACACTTCTGTGGCCATTTTCCCATTACATAAATTTGGCCCCTAGTGCAGGTCCAGAAAGAAAGTGAAACAAGCAAAATGCAAAGGAACTTGGAGCCAAAAGTCCGCACTTTCTACAAAACGCTCATCAAGTTCTCTCTGCAATACCTCTTTCTCCAACGGTGGCAGATTTCCAAACTTCCTCTGAATGTCATCCCACTCTGTGGTGTCACCAGGGCATAACGCCATGGGAGCTAAATCAGACTTTGCTGATTGAGCAGGCAATCAAAATGCAAGAGGCCTTGAACCTTGAACCAAATGAAAGCTGCAGTGAAGACAGAATCCACAAGTACATCAAGCACAAGCACAAGGAACTGCCGGCGTTCTGCTGAATCGCACTTCATGGTGAAAGCCTTAGTTGGTGGTGATCAATTCAGCCACAGCCGCTATCCAAACATATCCAAACAATGCTCAATGGAGGAAATGATAGCATGCAAAAACCGTCTCACGCCCTCCTTTTCCAACTTTGCTCCAGGGATGCTAAGGGTACATCATTGGTTGCCTGGATAAGCTTTGATTAGTGGGTTGATCACGCCAACAACCACCACTGCATAGATCACGGCAATACCTAGGATCGCAAAGAGTCCTTGGGAAATCATCGGGTTGTCCGAGAAAAAGCCAACAACACTGGACAATGGAACAATTGCACCGACATTCTGCTTGATGCTCTCAGGAGGTATGGTCAAAACTCCAGGGTTCTTCTGAATGATGTCAGACGCCTCCTTTTGGCCGAGCTCTCCCGTCAGGGCTTCTGCAGAGGCTCGGATCTGCTCTGGCAGAAAGACCATAAGCGCCAAGTTCTTTTCAATTGCTTTGAGCCCCTGCGTCTCTCCTCCTGCAGCCCAAGATATGGCCTGAAAGGTCTCACGCACTTGTGCCTCCGTCTTGGGGCCAAGATAGCTGCGCCGCCACTTGGGCTGCTTCTCCTCCAGAAAGCTCAAGGCTTGTCTCTCAGCCTCAGACCATCCCGACTTGTCCTCTTCCATGTATGCATTGCGAGCTACAGACAGCCGACTTTGGAACCCAGGCTGAAAGCACGGAGATCCGAATGGCAACGCAAAAATGAGAGCCGCTACCGCGAAGCAGATCGCTTCGGGGCGTCGTCGCGGCCGGTCCCTAAATGCTTGAGCCATGAATCTCCTCGAATGCATGTTCGTTTTTTGAAAAAATGATCATGGAGGACAATGCAGCAGAATGGAGTCCATCCAGCCATCAATCCAAACAGAACTGCAAGCATCTTCAAATGCTGCTACTCCCAAGTTTTCATGACTTGAAGTTGCACTGTCAATACAATGAATGACGCAATGGGTAGCACTTTCGGGACTGTGGGACCATGGCTCGTTCCAATCTGATTACAACTTGGGTGTTGCAACTTTGTATACACCTTACTTTTGCACATTTTTGCACTACACATCTGAGCGTTTCCTCTGTGACCCAATCCTGCCTGGCCAAAAAGCGGCCCTTCGCATTCACCTTGAACAATGACCTGGCTCACCACAAAGGACATCATTGAGCCCCCCGAGAGAGATGAAAAATTCAGCAGCGTTGAGGCCTGTCACATGCATCCTTGCCGGGTCGCAGCTACATCCAACCACAAAGGCGACGGCATAGAAAATGTAATTCAAACTGCAAGGTCAAAAAGAAGGCAACTCCTACTTTATGTATAGTCTACATACCGCCCAAGCAACTCAGATCAAGTTGCACGGATTTGCGACTATCCCATGCCCGTGGCATGCTAGGAGCACCTTGCAGCACTAGAAGTCAGGCTCACTGGGTCACTGTTTTATTCTGACTCAAAATCCAACCGACATGGCCTACAGACTTTCATTCCACCCTGATCATCCTCAATTGCAAATATATCTTGAAAGCGTGCTCTTTGAAAGGACAAGAATTGCAGGGGAAGACTTTGCCTGGGTGGTATGAACCTAAATAGGAGCTGCTTGGCAGCTACCTGCGGGCAAAGGCCCCAGAAGAAGGTTCAGGCAGACTCCAATCGCATCCCCCAAAAAAAATGTCTGCCAACCTGCCCACTGGGATGACCCCCGAGTTTGGCACATAGCTCCAACATCTTCAATACCTATACCAGTAGTTCAGTTGTGGTCACCCAACTTCAGGGATCATCTCAGCACCCTATAAAAACACGGGCAATCGCAGGGGCATCACGTTGCATCATCGGCGTTTCTTCAGCTGCATCATTCGGAAGTAGCCCTCCTCTGTGTCATGCATCACCTGGGCTGCGGCTACTGCCATCCCAAATTCAGATCTGCCATGCCATGGCCCGTACCTTAGTCATACCTGCCGTACCTGTCGTACCTTTCTCAGCTTGCAGAATGCCTTCCTTTGGCGCCATGGCAGGGCCTCGAAGCTTTGAGTCTGTACACCACTGTTTCGTCTCCAAAATGTCAGCCGAGCAGCTTCGTCTCTCTCAATGGCAAAGCTATTGGCCTACAGCTCGCAACATCTGCAACGGATATATCCTCAGCCATCACTCTCAAGAAATGGAGCATACACTGGTATATAATGGTGTATATATATATATATACGTATATTTATATTCATATTTATTTGTTTGTTTATTATTTACTTCTTTACTTATTTACTTATGTATTTATTTATCTATTCATTTATCTACTAGTTATTTATGTATTTATTCATTCATTCGTTTATTCATTTATAGATAGATATATATATATACAGCATACCCCAAAATGACAAATTATATGGAAAATGAATGACACTGATGCTGATGATAAGACACTGGATACAATTTTACATATTTAATTCAATGCATTTTAATGCACCCCATTCTCCCAGCAGCACCTGTAACGCCCGGTACAGCGGCGAAACATCGTCGAGGGCGCCACTGACCTGAGCCATGTCGAGAGACTAAACGCTTCAAACAATGCCCTTGTTGCTTCCCAGGGCACACCAGGTCTGTATAAGTTCTCACATTTGTATACATGTAGCAATTTGATCAGCATACCCAACGTCCAACCAATGTCAAGTTATGTCCAGTTGTTGCCTTTGCCATGGCACTGTTATCAAAAGGCCTCCTGGTGCCATCAGCTCGTTGCACATCTCTAGACCCTGGCGCTGTCGGACCGTCGGACCATCAATCAACTGGATGATGACTGGATGATGACTGGAATGACTGGATCTCAATGGCTGAATTTGATGGAAATTGGGCAACTCTCCATGAATCCAAACAGTTTCAAACTTGTGAAACGTTTCAGTGAAAAGTTATGAAAAGTTGCAGGCCTGCGGATCAATGGGCTGACCAGCATTCAGCACCAGATCAAAAGATGGTGCCAGCAATGACGGCTTCAAAGCTCGCATGGCGCTGCCACTGTCCTAGGTCACAACCCATGAGGACCACAGTACAGTGACGTGAAAGAAACTTCGAAACCATTGGAAGATGGTTATGAAAACCATTAGGTGACAAACAAAATACAGTAAGATTAGTAGTTTGTAATCTAAATCATTTTGCTGTTGGGATTTTGTTGTGATATGTTTATGTTATGTACTTTGCAAAGTCCTCCGTCCCACTCAGCGATACTCCACATTAACGGGTGCCACGACGGAAACTTATGGCCAGAGTTCCCATTGCCATTGCCGCGCCAACGCTTTAGCCCCACCGAGAGTGGTGGGTAGCATGTAGACGTACACTGGCACCTCAAACGGCCAGGAAAGAGAATGCGAAACTGTTCAAGCAATGAGCCTTGGCTGGGAAGCTCTTGGTATCTCTTGATCAAGATTGTCAGTGACTTAAACTACTGCCGTTTTTTTGGGGTCCGACTGCTGAACCATCAAAGTGCCTCTGTCTAAAAAAGAAGAAGCGTTAAGAAGCGTACCGATTAAATGGCCAAGGTGCTTGCAGATTGTTGGGCCCTGTGGCTGTTGCCACCTGGCGGCTCTTGCTGCTCCGTCTGCAAAACAGCGAGGCATTGAGGCGCAGCAGACGGCAGCTGAGGTCGTCAGGGGCCGTGATGGTCATGGTTTTGCAGTACGGGGCGAAGCCCAAACCTACCAGGCCGGCACCTGCGGGGACCCAGGACAACACTATACGACACTAGTGACCACCTGATGATCCTAATGGAAAAAAGAAAACCAGTGGCCTGGTGTTGCCAGCCCTGTGGACATCTGCAGACTACGCTCCAAGTGTTCAGCTAAAAGATCAGAGCATCGCAAGACTCACCAAGCTGTTTCTCTGCCTGCATTCAGTTCCAGCACTGCTTTGCCCACCAGCAGCTCCAGCTGGGCTGCCAGGACATTGCTCAAGGCTCGGCGCGCGGAGTCGTGGCAGCGGCTGTTCTGAGGCTGCAGCAGCCACAGTTCCGACTTGGGCAATTGGTGGCGGCAAAGGACCAGCTGCGACTGCAGGTGGACGCCTGGAGCTGAAACTCGAATTGCACAACTCTTGGATTTTGGGCGTGGATGGATGTAACAACATGCTCTAAGAATCCGAAATGATTAATGTAAAAATTGGGATCACCAAGTTTGCGCCCGAAGTTCGAACCATTCCCACACAGACCCAATGAGCCGAAACTAAACGACATGGAATAAACCTGTCAGAACCTGGCAACCCTGGATCTGTTTGGTGCCTTTGCCCTGAGGGCTTGGTGGCGGTGAAGCAAAACGGTAGCCCTCATCCAAGCTTGGAGACAACCTTCGGGAAGGTCCCATGGCCGGAGTCCCAGGACTGGAAGGTGTAGAGGCCAATGGGCTCGGGGGTCTCGCCTCAGCAGTCCGGTCTCCAACTGTTCCAGACCATGTTCTCCGGTGCCAACCGTGCCTTCCCGATTAATGCCGAGCCTGTGTTCAGGCGGTGTAATATGTGCAGGATAGCATCTGAAATGTGCTCAAATTCATATGTATATGATTATGATGCAAATGTGTATATATTGATTTACATTTGTACAATATTTATTTATTTCTCTATATATACATAATTATACATATACATATACATATAGATATTATACTTATTTATTGTATTAGTACACAAAATGCACGTTCACGTCCCATCACGGAATATCTCCCGCCTCCGGCAGCTCGGTGAGCCCATGACGGAGCCCCAAGCGTCGCAGGGAGCGGAGCAAGCAGCGCATCTCGAAGTCGGCGCCCCAACCGAAGCTGAGCCGAAGGGATCGCCAGGCCTCTGTTTATGTTATGATTGGATAGGTTTAAGGGAAAAAAGTTCATACATTGGATGGATTTCATGGATTTGTTAGGAAAACTATGGGAAACCCCCAATATCACCCAGATCTTTACTGGGAACAGCCATGGTTTCCTGCAGATTTTCCCTTACATCCAAATAAATATATAAATATATAAATATATAAATATATAAATATATAAATATATAAATATATATATATATAAAATATACATATATAAATATATAAATATATAAAATATACATATATAAATATATAAAATATTTAAATATATAAATTTATATATATATATTATATAAATATATAAATATATAAATATATAAATATATAAATATATAAATATATAAATATATAAATATATAAATATATAAATATATAAATATATAAAATATACATATATAAATATATAAATATCTAAAATATTTAAATATATTATATTATATATATATTGTATATGTGTGTGTGGGGAGTGATGGTTAACAACGGGTAATAATAGGCAAGCACCATATTACTCACCATTGAGTAGTACATGGTTAGCAATGTTAAATCTTATTTGATTGTGAAAATATAGATATACAATATATTGAATAATGTGCCAAAGATATGAACAACATGTCTACAAATGTCTGCAACAATCTGCAACGTATAAAGAGAAGCTAGTAGTTGCAAAAAACATCAGAAACAATCGACGTCGAATCATTCCGACATGTGCCGACATGCTGTTTTCACATTGCAGCCATTGCAGCTGTTGCAGCCATGAGGCTTCCCGGCTCTCTCCTGCTCTTCGCCACGCATGACAAACGCAGGCGCTTCGTAATAAGCAGCTGGGAGGACACCACGTGAACACCTGCAGTGGGAGGCGCCCACCTGGAATGTCTGCCCACAATGGGTACGTCACTAGGTTACTCGGAGGAAGAAGCAATGCATCCAGCACAAGGTCTGGACTCTGGACAGTGATCAACTGTGGCATGAGCTTGCACCTGTTCCTTTACAAATCTGTACCTGCATGGAAAAAATGTTTCGCGATGCAAAAGGCAGCCTCTGCTAGGGCAGAGTGTCCATCGGCATCCAACCTTGCTGAGAGAAATCGGGTCACCCAAGAGTTTCTGACCACTATATTTGCGGATGACAGACAGACAGAGAAATCAAAGAAAACAACAAACATAACCAAACTCTGCTGGCTGAAGGGTTTTAAGTCTTGAGAGTCAGTGCGCTAGACTCCTGTGGAAGTTGTCTCCTGCATCGAGAGACCCTGATGTCCAACAAATTTGAAAACGGAAGCGCCGACGCATCGGAAGCCACTTTTGCCAAGGAGCAGCCACCATGGTGCGCGAAGAACATCTGTAACATACTCTTTAGCAGCTTGCCTGATGGGGGAGGTTGACTTCTGCTTCGGTAAACCATGGCTCGTAAACTATGGATCGTAAACCATGGCTCGTAAACCATGGCTCGTAAACCATGGCTCGTAAACCATGATTCGTAAACCAAGACGGCCTTGACTCGTAAGCCATGGCTCGTAAACTATGGATCGTAAACCAAGATCCGTAAACTATGCTCCGTCAACCATGCTTCGCGCCACAACGGCGTGCGCTTTTTCGACATCTCAACTTCCAAAAGTGGTCCGGACCTGGTGTGCTTTGTACATTTTGACTTCAAAATGTGCTTCGCGCCACAACGGCGTGCACTTTTTCGACATCTCAACTGCCAAAAGTGGTCTGGACCTGGTCTGTTTTGTACATTTTGACTTCGAAATGTGCTTCGCTCCACAACGGCGTGCAATTGTTCATCTCTCATCTCCCCAGATGTCTCCGCATCCGCCGCTTTAGCGAGCCTACTTTTCAACCCTCCGGAGCCACAAAACCACCAAAAAACACAGTGTTTCGCGACTTTCCTACCTTTTCGCGCACCTGCATCTTCTTTCTTCTGACTCTTTCTCTTCTAATCTTTCTCTTCTCTCTGCCTCTGCCCTGCTCTGCTTTTCATCTGTCCATATTGTCGGAAGTTTGACTTCTAAACTTCCTTCGATGATGTGTAAGATGAGACTGCGCATGTACTTGCCAGAGGGGGTGGGATTTTGATATGACGTGGAAGATGAGAATGTGCATGTACTTGCCAGAGGGGGTGGGATTTTGATATGACGTGTAAAATGTGGCTGTGCTTGTAATTGCCAGAGGGGGTGGGTTTTTGATATGACGTGTAAGATGAGACTGTGCATGTACTTGCCAGAGGGGGTGGGATTTTGATATGACGTGTAAGGTGAGACTGTGCATGTACTTGCCACAGGGGGTGGGATTTTGATATGACGTGTAAGATGAGACTGTGCATGTACTTGCCAGAGGGGGTGGGATTTTGAGATTACGTGTAAGATGAGACAGTGCATGTACTTGCCACAGGGGGTGGGATTTTGATATGACGTGTAAGATGAGACTGTGCATGTACTTGCCAGAGGGGGTGGAATTTTGATATGACGTGTAAGATGAGACTGTGCATGTACTTGCCAGAGGGGGTGGGATTTTGAGATTATGTGTAAGATGAGACTGCGCATGTGCTTGCCAGAGGGGGTGGGATTTTGATATGACGTGGAAGATGAGACTGTGCATGTAGTTGCCAGAGGGGGTGGGATTTTGATATGACGTGTAAGATGAGACTGTGCATGTACTTGCCAGAGGGGGTGGGATTTTGAGATTACGTGTAAGATGAGACTGTGCATGTACTTGCCAGAGAGGGTGGGATTTTGATATGACGTGGAAGATGAGACTGTGCATGTAGTTGCCAGAGGGGGTGGGATTTTGATATGATGTGTAAGATGAGACAGTGCATGTACTTGCCAGAGGGGGTGGGATTTTGATATGATGTGTAAGATGAGACTGCGCATGTAGTTGCCAGAAGAGGTGGGATTTTGATATGAGGTGTAAGATGAGACTGTGCATGTAGTTGCCAGAGGGGGTGGGATTTTGATATGATGTGTAAGATGAGACTGCGCATGTAGTTGCCAGAAGAGGTGGGATTTTGATATGAGGTGTAAGATGAGACTGTGCATGTAGTTGCCAGAGGGGGTGGGATTTTGATATGATGTGTAAGATGAGACAGTGCATCTACTTGCCAGAGGGGGTGGGATTTTGATATGACGTGTAAGGTGAGACTGTGCATGTACTTGCCACAGGGGGTGGGATTTTGATATGACGTGTAAGATGAGACCGTGCATGTGCTTGTGAGAGGGGGTGGGATTTTGAGATTATGTGTAAGATGAGACTGTGCATGTACTTGCCAGAGGGGGTGGAATTTTGATATGACGTGGAAGATGAGACTGTGCATGTACTTGCCAGAGGGGGTGGGATTTTGATATGACGTGTAAGATGAGACTGCGCATGTAGTTGCCAGAGGGGGTGGGATTTTGATATGATGTGTAAGATGAGACAGTGCATGTACTTGCCAGAGAGGGTGGGATTTTGATATGACGTGTAAAATGTGGCTGCGCTTGTAATTGCCAGAGGGGGTGGGTTTTGGTTGCTGAGGATTGGTTGCTGAAGCGAGAGTAGATTTTGGTTGCTGAGCCGTAGTTGCTGAAGCGAGAGTTAGTTTTGGTTGCTGAAGCGTAGTTGCTGAAGCGTAGTTGCTGAAGCGTAGTTGCTGAAGCGAGAACCTAGTTTGGTTGCTGAGCCGTGGTTGCTGAGCCGTGGTTGCTGAGCCGTGGTTGCTGAGCCGTGGTTGCTGAGCCGTGGTTGCTGAGCCGTAGTTGCTGAGCCGTAGTTGCTGAGCCGTAGTTGCTGAAGCGGAGTTTAATCCATGCTTTAGAGTCTAGAGAAAATGGTCGAACCCTTTCTCCTGCTCCTTTACTTGTAGCTATACAATGAAAACATGTTCTTAAAAATCAATAGAAACATATCAGAGAGATCTAGAGGCCAAATTGTGCTGTACAGAACTCCCATGAACTCCCGAACTCCCTTTCCAATCTTTCCATCTTTCAGAGGAGTTTCGTTTGGATTTTGATCCCCTCCACCCACCAAGTTGACCATTCCCCTCCTCCAAACATGTACGGCGCTGTGCCAGGCTTTAATCCCATCACGGGGTAGCGCTGCTAGGATGCGCCGCTGTAGATCTGGAACCTTGAAGCATCTTGAAGCGGCCAAGTGACATCAAGTCACCAAACGGCAGACCAAAAACTGCTTCCATCTGCTTAGAAAAGCAGGTACCTGTGAGGCGCTATGAACCTGTGATATCTGTGACAAGCTGTGCAATGATTGCAATGTGCCGCCCTCTGAAGCCAAGAGACAAAAAGAGAGTGCACACTTGGATGACTAGCTACCGACGCACATTGCACGGGCGCCTCTTCGTGGCAGCTCCTGTCGCTTTCACAGTTAGAAAGCCAGTACCTCTGCTGCCTCTAGCTTTCGAATCTTTCGATACAAGTGGTATCGAATTTGTTTACATGTTGTTTACTGTGGTTTCCACCCGACAGCTCGCAGGTTTGCGCTGCGGTTCGCTTGATGAGTACAGTTCAGACTCTTTTGTGCTCCAAATGTTACAAATGATGAGAACTGATGCACAGGGGAACTGCAAATCATACAAATGCATACAAATGCGGTGATGGATTCTGATGGAGAACCAGTTGGCTTCTCAAGACCTGCAGCTCCTGTGCTCCGGCGCAGCTATCTTGTCACAGCTGCGGTAGCCAGCCTGGGCGCCCGCTGCTGTGGAAAGTGTCTTCGGGGAAGTCCAAAAGTGGGAGATACTACGCCCATTCAGGCAACACCAACCCGAATTGCTCCATTTTTTCAATCCGGCTTCGCTCGAGTAGGGCAACACCTGCGTCGTTTTGGCGCATGTGCATTGCCTGTCAGCAAGGCCAGCGCCCTCTCTGGGCAATTGGTGATAATCCCATCCACAGGGAAGTCCATTATCTCACCGAGGCGGCTTTCTGAGTCAACCGTCCAGGCAAAAACCCGGCCCTGGACTTCACGCAACACCTTCACAGCATCTGGTGTCAAGGCAGCATGTCGGACTGAGACCCCTGAGAAACTCAGGGGAACCGTCTGCAGATCTTCTCGCTGCCACCAGCCACTGCCAGAAGACAGTGTCAGATACATCAGCTGCAAATCTGGCACAAGGGATCGCAACTCTTGAAGATATGGGATGTAGAAAGATTGGACAACAATTTGCCCATCCTGCACCTGACGCAAGTATGGCCTTAAAATCTCCGCTACCAATCTTGGCAGCTCGGGGTAAGCTGGCTGCTTCTTGCCAAGCAGTGGCTTCAGCAGCATTGCTGTTCTGTCAGGTAAGCCTGAAAAGGGGCCCTTCAGTTCTATAAGCAATTTCTTCTCCAGGGTGGTGATGAGTTTCAAGACCTCCTGCGGCTGAGCTGGTGGGAAACTAGAGCCAAGGCCCCAAGGCTCAAAAATTACAAGAAAATGAAAGTCTGCGTGATACTTGTTTCCCTCCTGAACCAACATGGCCCTGGAAAATCCCTATGTGAAGCTGAGATATCCCAAAGCCAGGGATGCTCCTCCAGGGTGGGTATTCGTTCATGTGCAAAGACTGCAGAGTGCTTGCTGCCGGCATCCACCAACTTCAACTGCTCCAAGGTCATGTCCCTGACATAGCCAGAACCAGTGGTGGTTCGGTCCAGGGTAGCATCATGGATCACCACCTCAGGGACATATGGGACATTTGGGCCGTTGCATCGGAGATTGGATTCCCAGCAGCTTCTTGCTCTGCAACCTGTCTAAGCTGTGATCTCTGACTCATACTGTCATACTGCCAATTAAAAAATGACCTGCGTGTTGAAGTGGCTGAGCATGTGCAATCATAATCGTCGCCGATCGTGAGACCGATACACAAAAAACAACAAGTAAGTGGTAAAACAAAAACCCATCAACAAACACCAACTTTTTGGAGAACAGCCGCACCACATGGTCATCAGCAGACAGGTGCACATCGAGTTCCACGCCATCAGCACCAGCTTCGAGGGCGGCACGAAATGCTGACAGCGTGTTCTCTGGGCAGATTTTCGAAGCACCACGATGGGCCCAAACCAGGGGGCGGCAGTCCATTGCCAAGCGCTTTGGCAGAGCAATAATCAAAGCAAACTCAACGAAAATAATTGGTGACAACATCTCTGAAAGACCTTGGGATTTCTCTGTGCAAAGTGAACGAATGTCAAGGTCTTGCGTGTATGTTTATGACATGCACGGGGAAAGGTGACAACGTGGTGAATAAGGCGAAGCCATGTCTGAACCACTTCAAATGAGCCGCGAAGAAAGACTGGCACTTTGCCTTTGCCCGTGCATGTGTACATAAACATCTTGGCACGATCATTCATTCCGTCCATTTTCTCTGCCTGATTTTAAATATGATTATCATTTCACATGTAGATAAGATATGTGTAATTATATGCCACTATATGCCTATAGAATAACATACGGTTATACACGTCTCTTTCTCATTATCAGTGCTGCCCATACGCAACCATCTTATGAAATCAGGGAGCTTGCATCCAAGCTGCATCGGATACATCCATTGCATTGGAGGCAGGCACACACTATTGGGCTGAAATCTTGGAGTGCTCATCAGGTGCATATTCATGTGCGTGCTTCAGTGCAGCCATGCTTGCATATGCTTTCATTCCACACATTTGGGCAGGTTGATAGGTGCCGTTGGTTTGCAAATGAAAGGATAGATGTGTCTGTTAAGATCTGTTAACATCATGGCGGAAGCGTCTATGGATCGAATGCCCAGCAATGCAACTCTCCATTATACTTCTCCCCATGGGCCAGTCATCGGCCTTGAAGCAGCCCAAGCTGAAGCTGCAATGACCACAGATTTAAAGAAAAGTTTCAGTGACAAGCTGCCCCGTAAGGTCCCAGACCCAATCTAGAAATTCCGCTGCCAATGCTAGACAATGCAGCGATGCACACCAATGCTACGTAGTGCAACATGGACCATGGCAGGGAAAAGTGACAACGCTTTGCTCACATGAAGGTGGCTACAGTCGTTGGCAACAAACTCTGGCTCCTTTGGCTGTCCCAGTGCCTGATTACAGCAAGTCCCCATAGAAACAGGCAGCTGTGATTTGACAAGGTTCTGGTCTCTTCCCTTGCATTCAAGATGCACACCAATGCGAGGCAGTGCAACTTGGACCATGGCAGGGAAAAGTGACAACGCTTTGCTCACATGAAGGTGGCTGCGGTCGTTGGCAACAAACTCCGGCTCCTTTGGCTGTCCCGGTGCCTGATTACAGCAAGTCCCCTTAGACACAGGCAGCTGTGACTGTGATTTGACATGATTTGACAGGGTTCTGGTCTCTTCCCTTGCATTCAAGATGCACACCAATGCTAGGCAATGCAACTTGGACCATGGCAGGTAAAAAGTGACAACACTTTGCTCACATGAAGGTGGCTGCAGTCGTTGGCAACAAACTCCGGCTCCTTTGGCTGTCCCGGTGCCTGATTACAGCAAGTCCCCTTAGACACAGGCAGCTGTGATTTGACAAGGTTATGGTCTCTTCCCCTGCATTCAAGATGCACACCAATGCGAGGCAGTGCAACTTGGACCATGGCAGGGAAAAGTGACAACGCTTTGCTCACATGAAGGTGGCTACAGTCGTTGGCAACAAACTCCGGCTCCTTTGGCTGTCCCAGTGCCTGATTACAGCAAGTCCCCATAGAAGCAGGCAGCTGTGATTTGACAAGGTTATGGTCTCTTCCCTTGCATTCAAGATGCACACCAATGCGAGGCAGTGCAACTTGGACCATGGCAGGGAAAATTGACAACGCTTTGCTCACATGAAGGTGGCTACAGTCGTTGGCAACAAAATCTGGCTCCTTTGGCTGTCCCGGTGCCTGATTACAGCAAGTCCCCATAGAAACAGGCAGCTGTGATTTGACAAGGTTCTGGTCTCTTCCCTTGCATTCAAGATGCACACCAATGCTAGGCAATGCAACTTGGACCATGGCAGGGAAAAGTGACAACGCTTTGCTCACATGAAGGTGGCTGCAGTCGTTGGCAACAAACTCTGGCTCCTTTGGCTGTCCCAGTGCCTGATTACAGCAAGTCCCCATAGAAACAGGCAGCTGTGATTTGACAAGGTTCTGGTCTCTTCCCTTGCATTCAAGATGCACACCAATGCGAGGCAGTGCAACTTGGACCATGGCAGGGAAAAGTGACAACGCTTTGCTCACATGATTGTGGCGTCAGTACAGCCACCGCCTTCACTCTCGATTGCATCCATCACATCTTTGATCTGCATGACATAATTTAATCTAGTGCTGTCTTCTTGTACCCACCTTGAATGAGTTTGCTGGACAACACCAAGAGAGGCTCGTAATGCCCCACCTTTGTCGGTCCAATGCTTAGACAGTCTCGAATGGAAATGGATCTCTTTGCCATTGTCAATGGTTTGTTCAAACACTTTTTATTTTGCTCGTCACATTTCCACGATTTATATAAGTGATGTCCTTGGTTTTCCACCCTCAGACCAGGCCATGATTAGCATTGTGTCATTGCCTCAGAGCTGAAGACCACTACGCACCAGCCCCCCTCGGCATTTTCTTGCAGCGTGTCTGGTTTCTAGTGCCAAATGATTGGCCATGTTTTTTATGCAGGGCACAGGCTCCTGACAGATGTCCCCTGCAAGCGCATGCAAAGCAGTCAAAAACCCAGGGAGTGCTGGCTGCATCCCCATCAACATCAACCCACCATTTTGCGAAATCATGACTTAGAAAACGACGAGTTCAGCCTTCCCTGGTGCTTGCATCCTGGCAGGGCTATGCCCTCTTTTTCTTGCCAGGGTCAATGCTCAGACCAGTCGCCGCTGTGTCTTGTAAAGCAAGCTGATTCACTGGCACATTCGTTAAACAAGAAGTATGTAACATGTGGGTTCTGCGCTAAACACGGTGCATCGCGGCCCAGTGGTCTCGGCACAACTCTCTTTTGCCAAGCAGGTGATTTTACCCGCGGCAGGAAAAGGCCGCATGTGAGCTGCAATGATCTGCACCATGGTTCACGCGGTGTGGCCATGAGCCAGCCTTCATCCAAACATCTTGGAGAAGACTTTCTTCTGACCTTCTTTTTGCCTTGTCCTCAGTCGGGCTCTGGCTAAAGATAGCATGGTGCGAAGGCACAACCCAAACCCAAGAAGATGGGATTCAGTGAGCCAGTACTAAAACAACAGAAGAAGAAGAAGAAGACGAAGACTGACGAGCATCAGCAACTTCTGCAATCTATCTTGGGACTTCTTCAAGTCTGAATCTTCTGGTGCGACTCCGAGCCCCTTTTTGATGTCCTCCCCAGTTTGAGTGAAGCAGTTGAGGGATAGAACAGTTGATTGTAGTTCCATCGGTACTTATGTCCAGTTGCAGTAAACAGGCCTTACTTGTTCAAAAATAAAACCCCCTGTGGGCTGTCCTTCAAAGCATCTTCCAACTCACCCAGCCTCAGCTGGTGGACGGGCAAACTTCAGGCTCGGCTCAACAGCTATGTTTTGAAATGAAAGTCCCTGTGGGATCAAAACAGACAAAGAGAGAGAGAGAGAGAGAGAAAGAGGGAGATGTATCTATGTATCTATGTATTTATGTATCTGTGTATCTATGTATCTATGTATCTATGTATCAATGCATGTATGCATGTATGCATGTATGCATGTATGCATGTATGCATGTATGCATGTATGCATGTATGCATGATTATACATGTATCTATGTATCTATGTATCTATGTATCGATGTATCGATGTATCGATGTATCGATGTATCGATGTATCGATGTATCTATGTATCTATGTATCTATGTATCTTTGTATCTTTGTATCTATGTACGTATGTACATATGTACATTTGTATATTGTATGTAAGGAGGTATGCATGCATGCATGTATGTATGCAATCATAAATCACATATCTGTGCGTGTGTGTGTGTGCGTGTGATCCGTGTGATTGTAAATTCATCACAAGCTTTCCATTTTTTGGTCAACTTTTTCAAGGGGCCAGGACTTGAAAAAGCCCAAGCCAACCCTCTGTCTTGCAGTAGCCCGCACCACGCCCTGCCTCTCTGTCTTCCGCTTTTTACTTGCCCAAGGGAACTCACTGTACCAAGAGACTTTTCAAAGCAAAGGCTTCTTCTGAAAATGGCTTTGATGCTAGCAGAGTCCAGTTCCTTACGGACAGAAGTCTTGACAAAGTTGGAATCCAGCATGTCTGGCAGTTGAAAGCTAGAGCGAGCACAAGTTTACCGTGCAGCATCTATCTCGCATGTTCACTTGGGCACTTGAGTCACTTGAGTCACTCACTATTGTGTCAAAATTCTATGGACAAAACTCACACGGCATGAAATCCAGAAGTGCCCCATTTCATGCAATTCATCTTGACATATTTTGACTAATTCGCATCGAAGCACCAAGACATCGTCGCAGGAGGTGCGTGCCTACAGCGCCCATGATGCCCATGGTCAAATCGCGAAGCATGGGCCAAATTGAATAAGAAACTGCTAACAACGAGGCGGTGGCCAGGCCTTCTTATAGAAGGGTTCTGCAGCATTTTTGCCACCAGACTGGGTAGCTGCCTCGCCAGCTTTGATGTAGCCTGAGTGGACTGTGGCGGATGTGCTCCACTCTCACTGCCAAATTGATGACTTCTTAATTAAGGCAAGCCACACTGCGCGCTGTTGAGGTGGCAGGACACCTTTTTACTCTGCAAAGCACACACCAAGCCAGCACAAGAACTGGGAACTTCCCATTGAACTACATGAAGGGGTCAAAATAAGATCGCCACCATCTCTCTACTAACATCAGATTCAAAACATTATAAAGAATCAGGGCAAAAATGGATAAAAATGGGAGAACATCTGCCACTCCACTGCCAGTTCCAAATGTTCCAATGAGCTCCTGGCCTTGATCTTCTTGGCCTCTTCAGCCTCTTCAGGTGTCAGGTTGCTGACCACCTCCGGTCGGCTAACCTCATAGCCATTGGGATGGCTGGGGGTTGGGGCGGGACGTGGTTTCAGCTCCATTGGAAAGACCCCGGTGCCATGCGATCCCAGGAACATGCTCAATAGCTTTCTTGTACCTTCTGACGGCCTCGGATGTTTTGGGTAGAAGGATGCGAGTTTGAACTTTCGTCTGCTTTCAACTGTTGAACAAGTTGAGTTTGAAGATGGTGGATAATAATGCGCAATATAATATAGATTATGGAGAAATATGGAGAGAAAGAGAGGGCGAATGAGATAGAATGAGAGAGCTTTGTCAAGAAATATCATTGGGGCTGGGCTCGTTGAAATGCAGCGGCAACCAGCCGGCAGCAGCGGACGATAACTGACTTGCGGACGTCATCGAACTTCTGTGCTTTGAACATGTCCTCAGGAGTATATCCCGAGTGTCCCGAGTGTCCAATCAAGCTATCTTCAATCCATCCAGTGACCTTGTGATAAAGTCAAACTATGTCAAACTGCTGCGAAGAGTCATTGCCCTCATCTTTGTTCTTCAGGGCTAGTCGCATTCTGTCTTCCTTTTTCATGACCCGTTCGTCCTCGTCCAGAGGATGAATTTGACTCGATGACAGGGGCAACTATATACAATGTCCCAAAATTTGGCTGACAGCATACACAGGCTTCACAGAATCTGCCCCGGTGCCTTGTCAAAATCCATGCCAAGCTCTTTTCGTCTTTCGCGCTCTTCAGCTGCTGCCTTCTCAATTTCTTTTTCCTGATCTTCAAACTCCTTAGCCGGTGGAAAATGGGGCACTTGAAATGACGACAATAATTATATACTCTTTTTCAAGGGGTGCCGTTTGCAGATTTCTTCCAAGCATCTTTTGCCTTCTTTTCGAAGTAAGGTGCGCCCTCCTTCTTGATGAATTCCTCTACTTCTGCCAGCTTGTCGGAATATGTTTGGAACGTGGTAGGTTCTTCTGCCATATCCGCATCTTCGAACCAAAGGACGACTTTGTCAAGATAAGGATTTACCACATCAGGATTCAGCAATCCCCCATCTTTTCCATTCCTCAGCTTGGCACACCAGGCTATTTCAAGAGAGTCGGATTGTCGCACCAGACTCTGGGAACACAGCCACAATCAGGCAAAATAGGCCATATTATTCGGAGAAAAGATGAGAAAAGCATGTTCCTCAAATTTGTGGAGCCCCTACCACTTTCACAACCTCCTTCAAATATTGCTTCAAACCTTTTCTGCCCAGGCTCATCCAGTCCCTGACTTGATAGACGTAGGACTCCAACGCATTTCTCTTTTCAAGGCGTTGCCTTGGGCTTGGTTGCTGGGCAACTTCGGAAACTTGGGAGATTCAAGGAATTCCAAGGGTTCTTTGTGGATTGCTTCCCTCACTAGATGTGACCAATAAAAACTCGGCACAAGAGTTCACGTCAGGCCGTCAGGCTGCACTTCTTCACTGTGAACTGCTTCCATCTGTTTCTCCTTTTCCCGAATGCTTTCCAGCACATCGGCTGCAAGACCTCTGACCAGGACCAGCCACACTTTATTGACAAACTTGGCAACTGGTCCAACCGGAATTCTTCCGAAATCACTGATTTCGTTCAAAAACCCTGAAAATTCTGAAAATTCTGAAAATTCTGGTGTCTGATGAAAATTCTGAAACAAAACTTCCACATCTTTCACTTCCAGCCTTCCATTGGTGACTCCACCGGCTCCAGCAGTCGTTTCCCTGCTGCCCATGCGGCAGCACCCGTGGCAACACAGCTGGCACCATCCAAGCCGAAGCGCAGTGGAAGGTCTCCAGCGACCTCTTTGACCTTCAGCCACTGGTTGACTGTAGCAATACTGTAGCAACCCCAAGAAAATCGAAAAGTATAGAAAAGTCCTCTACCATCATGTGCCATTCTTTGCCATGGTCACTATCTGAGGTTTGTAATGTAATTTCCATGTCATTTCCATGTCTATCTTTTCAGGGGTTGCTACTGCTGGTGGGTTGGTTAGTGGTTTGGAATGGCTAGGAATCCCGGAAAAGAGTAAAAGGAATGTAAAGGGGACAAGCTGAGTAATTCTGATCAGCACTATAGAGCCTCCTCAGGAATCCAAGCCACCAATCCAAACCACCAACATTCAACCGTCAACGACCGTCAACACTTCAACTCGATACAGAGACTGCTCTGCATCTGTAGAGGATCAAAATCATTGAGCCCTGAAAAGCGATGATGTGGTTCGGAAAACAACAGATTGTCTGGACCCCTTAGTACCCCCGCCTCTGACCCTTACCATGGTGATATGACAACAACATGTCCAATTCAGGTGACATGCCATGATGTTTTGACGGGCAAACATGAGTTCATACGAGTTCAATGCTCCACAGCAAAGCTCGCCGCCTGCACCATGCCATGGACTCAAAGATCTCAAGCCCAAGGAACCCGAGTTTGGACTGCAGGGATGCGGCTTCCACCACCCAAAAGTTCGAAAGCCTCTGGCTTGCAGTCTAAGGCTTCAGTCAGCACCTGCAAGGGTTGCCAAGATTCCCAAGGTAAGATTTGCTGAGGAATCGTACTCGCAATGCAAACAACAACAAAACAACAACAAACAACAACGACCTATTTCATCAGCACCAATTCTCCTCACGCCTCCTTCAAACGTTTCAGCACATCAGCAGCTGCTGTCTCAAAGATCTGTCGCGTCAGTGGCACCGACACATCGATCTCTGGGCCATCAGGACCCTCTGGCAGATATGCTTCCTGGGCGCACAGCATCTCGCGCAACGCATCAAAGATTTGGGTGTCAAGTCAATCAGAGAGGTGTATGCCACAGTGTTCAACCCTTCCATGCTGCCACGTTCACTCCATGTCCAAGCCATTCCAACCCCATGTCTTGCCGTGGTGCCAGGCCCATTTCGGCATCTGGCAACATGCTCAGCTGCTTCAAAGCATGCATTGCTTCATTGGCCAGGCGAACTCCAGACTTCGTTTTGAGCTGGACCTTGTAGCAATCTTCCCGGAAATGGTTGCCACTGGTCACAGCAAAAATAATATTCATTCATCGAGTTCACTCAGCCTTTTGGGATTACCTCTTCCTACCTTTTCATGTTTTTCTCGCTACTTTTTGATGGTCGGGCGCATCTCGAACATTGAACCTCAGCTGGGCCTTGCATTTGTGCTTCTGCTCAATCCGGGAGATTGCTTCCGAAAGAAGAAGCGTGACCATCGACTGGACACCTAGCTGTTCCTCACTGCAGCGGTAAAGGAACTCTGCTGCAGCTTCGCCCTCCTGCAGAAACACTGAGGCAAGTCAAACCGACATGGGATGCACAGGGCCAAAACCTCAACAATTCCCATCTGCGTCAATCATCTAAAAAGTCTAAGAGGATCAGCAATTCCTCAGGTCCTATCTATCAAATTCAATGCAGCTCCTTGCGGTAAAACTTCACCACTGAGACTGTGCCATGAGACGACCCGATATCCACAAAGCCGACGCAGCGCTCGTCTGTGCCCTCTGGGAGGAGGCTCGAACCTGCTCAACGCGGCCCAAGATCAACAAGCAACACGCTTTTTAAGATCTTTTCAGGAGAAACATCCTGTTGTTTTCTGCGGGCCTTGGCTGTGTGCAAAAGCCGTGGCCACTGCAGAGGAATGCCGGAGGAGACCGACAGTTTCAGACTGATCACAAAGCTTCAGTGCATCATTGACAACTGCAAGCTCCGTATCGCTGTAGTAGTCTGGAACAGCTATGCACCTTAGGTGAGTTGAAAGGGCTGGTCTTCATCTTGCCAAGGACATTGTCCCCTTGTTTTCGAGTTGCTCGGCACAATCTCTCCCAGCATGAGGATACATCTCGCAACTCTTCATGACACCAAAACCATCTTCAATCATCCAGAAGATGCCGCACTTTTACGTGCCAAAACGAATACATACGAGCACCCTGGAAACTAAGCTGCACCCCAAAAGCTGATCATTTCCATCCATTTCCAACAGGGACATCCTCTTCAAGACTCCATTTTACAAGGGACTACCACTAGCATCTGATTTTCCATGATTTTCAGGTGCCTTGCCCCTTGGCCAAAGTGCAGCTGGGTCTTGGCTGCTGCTGATGTCATGGCGTAGCTGCTGAGAGTTCGCACCAAGGACGCCAAAGGCCCTGCCGGGCGCACCGCGAAGCTGTCGCCATCGAAGCTCACGGGGCCCAGAGTCCCATCCTGGTGCAAGATGCACAGATCTTCAAACAATGTCTAAACGCGTGTGCTTAATAAAGCCATATGAGTCATGTCCATCCCTACCTAAATACACGTGCCCGTGGATTTCTTTGCTTGGTCTCTCTGATCTGATTTGTATTCATCAAACTTATTTTATAGTAATTATATCCTTTAGCACTCATGAGTACTCCACTAATCTGGAGGTCCAGTTGAAGATTTGAAGGGGTCAAGGCCAGCAAAGCGGCCTCTTGGAATGGAAAGAGGAACTGGTAGTTTTCAGCTCGCTTTTGCATTGCCTCCGATGGCACAAGAGCCAAAGGCAAATGTGAGAGTGTCTGCTTCGGCGCACTCATTAGTCGTCCCTCGGCATTGACCTCAATGCGACGATAACCGGGGCCTGTACTTTCACTAAAGTTAGAGATTTAGAATGACTACCTCCTAAAGGGTCTCCAGAGTACTAATCCAAGGGTCCTTACTTCTTCAAGGTACCTTTATTAATTTGCTCGGCGGCACTTCCCCCCACCTAGATGTAATATATAAATGGTTTTCTTCCCACCACCTAAATTAATTTCAGGCAAAAAGAATTCAAGAGTGGGGGAACTACCATTTTTTCTTGGGTTAAGGGGACCCCAAATAATTTCCTCTAATTATATAATTAGGGTGTGGAACAGAGAAACATGCAATTTATTTCTCATATCGCCAACCATTGTTTTCCTTCCTTCCATCTTGCGTGGACACGCGTAAAATTAATTTGGGGGTGGGTGTACTAGTACAGGACCCAATGATTATAATGACACTAAATCTAACCAGGTGGCACTTACATTTACAAGTAAGAAGATGCGTTTGGAACAGAATCTTACTGATTGTGTGCAATGAGAATTGAAAACCCATTGAAAAGCCTCACGAATAAATTAAATAAACACCCAATCTATTTCTTTTTGCGCCAACAAAGTTTCTCCTTTTTCCCAGCTCGCGTGGCCACGGGTAAAATTAATTTTAGGGTGGGTGTACTGGTTTGGGACCCCATGGTTTGAATTAGTTAAACGACACATTGTCAAATTAATGCGAGGCGGCCCCTCTCTCATTCTCAAGCATTCAGACTAAATTATTTTGGATACCCCTAATCTAACTTAAATTAATCCTCGAATAATCGAGTTTAAAAAAAAAAACAATTTAAAATTAATTGAACAAAAGTTTATTGGATAACCAACGGTCCACCTGGATTATTTTCTTAAGGTAGGGGTCATGATTTAGAAATTTAGACATGCTCCAGCAGGAGGGAGCGGTCCTTCTGACCCCAGCATCCTGCAACCAGATGCAACCAGGACAATCAGGACAAAACAGCGAGACAAGATTCGGCAAAATCATTGGCAGATGCAGCTTGGAGCAGCCACGGGGTTGAATACCTCCAGCCCTGATTCTCGCCAAGGTGCACCAACATGTCTCAGCTTGCCATCGTAGGAGACAGCTGAGGGAGTAGAGCGACCCGACACATCATTCGTGTTGATGGTGATCGCATTCCGCTCCTCCCGGAAACTCACAAGAGATTGAATGGATTGGGTCAAAACAGCAGCCCACATCATCAACTGAGCAACTCTTGGCACTCAAGAACCGTACAAATATGCACAAATATGTACAAATGCAATGAACGTGGGGCCGACGTGGGGGGTCACTTTGCTTCCGGTGACCAGTTGTCAATCTGAGGACAGGTAACATCTGACATCATCTGCAGCTCGGATCTTTAGGGGGACATGGCCTGGCCTCAGAAGTGGACGAAGCAACAACCTGAGCACTGCAAAGCTAGGCATGGCACAACGATCTCCTCACGGAAATGACTGGGGAGCCCTGACACAAGTCACGCCCAAGTCGATCCCAACGAAGCGGGCTTCTGCCATGGCCCTGCTGCAAGACGCGGGTGGCAAGGCTTTGCTCGTTTGGGCATGGGTCTAATTTCAACTCATTGGGATCCCGCACGAGTAAGGGTCCAACGGCCGCCGCGTTCGAATACTGAACCCAAATGGGCGGGTTGTTGATATATCAAGATATCAATGCGCACATACAACTCCACCAGCCTACCTCTTTATCGCCGAAACCAACCCTGCTTTTGAGATTTTTTAACCAGCTTGTCAGTCCCTCCGAACACAATCCAAAGGATCACTAGCACACGCCGAGACATGCGTGCGCCATTTGCTTGGGTTTCGGATGTCTTTGATTGGAGTTTCTTTAAGTTTCTTTGTCCGCTGCTCTATCTTTTTGAATGAACCTCTGCCAGGTGGCCAAGAGAAAAGCCCCCTTGCGTGCTCGCTTTGCGAGTAGGCAAGAAGGTATGGGAAGAGGTGACTGACGGAGACGATTTGTTCGGCACTAGGCATGGAGACTGCTGGCCTTTCCACATGGCTGTTGACACCCAACACTGGAAGGGCAGCAGCCACAAATCCCTCTCCATCGGAGCGCATAACAGCAAAAAAAAGTCCCCCCCGTCGTTGCCCTGTCTTTGCGTGAGGAATGCTTGTGTGTGAAGTGTCTTTAATGACACTGACTGTGTCCGGCCATGTTGCCGAATGCACACTCGCAGCCAACAAATATCATATCACTTATAACTTATAGTTTATTCTTCCCGGGGCAATGGGGGGCTCACGATTCTGAACCCCAGCTGTGCCACAGGCTTTTTTGAAAATCCTGGCATATGCTGAGTCGAACTAGCACATGCAACGTCGCAATTCCCTTGCACCTAAAGGTGACCAGGCCGCTTCGAGAAAACATCTATGGAAACTTCATGAACTATCTGCAGTGAAAATGTGCCACACAAACTCCAGGCCAAGAACACTTCAAGGAGCACAGCTAGCTAAGTGATGGATATGTATAGCACTACTGACTCAAGTAAGTGCCTCTTTCAGCGGAACTGATCCGCTTAGAACTGCCGCTGGTACCAAACAATGTACTCCGGATACACTTGATGATTGTCAAAGACCTCAGTCGCCGGATGTAAATGTTCTACGTATTTTTTAATGCTCGCCCTCTGAAAATGTAACTGCAGCTGCAACAAAAGGATACAAAAGGTGTCTTCTGGCTTTCTTCAGGCTTGCGAAACTACTGAACCAATAGAACGTGAAACCCTAGTCCGTACCGCAAAAACTTCCAAGATCAGCTCCTCCTATCAAGCCAGCCACTACCACTGCCGAGGCACAATAAACTCCCGGAAGGTGCCATTGATCTTCTCCCGGTCTCCTAGTACTGAATGATAACCCCCACCTGCTTTACAAGAAGCAACCAGCGATGGGCTGATTGACACCGGTGAAGGGTGGTCGCAATAATTGATGTTGCCTCAGGGACTCGGTTTTCCGTCAGGAATCCACAGTTTGAAAAAGAACTTGCAACAAATGAAGAATCATTTAAGCCGACCCAAAGCAACTCACTATGCATCTGAAGTGCCCAATGTGGCTCTGCATAGGAGCAATGGAAAGTATCCGCGCGCATCTGGGGATGTGTATTCATCCGCTTTCATACCTCAATCAGCGGTGGAAAGTTCAAGATGTTCAACAGACATTTGTTTGCATCATTTTGCCAGTTGAGACACATGGAGCCCCTCAGGGCACGACTTTCTTAGACGGTCCAATTACCAACAGCCCGTGCAGCACTGCGGCACCCACTTTAAGGATCGCACAGCTCTCGGCAAGATAGATACCAGGGCCGAAGAGCGAACCATAAGCAGAACCAGCGCCTGACACTAGGCATTTCTCCCGTAGTGATGTGAGGCAACGTTGGATCTCCATGACAGAAGAGGTCCAATCCCATGACTAGAATGACGAAAAACCGTGATCTTGCTTTCGACTCCAAGAAAACATGGGAGGCTCAACCAGAGCAACAGCATATATATATATAAGTATGGGATAGGGTGTTGGTGATAGACTCATAGACTCCAATAGACAGTGACACAACTGTTGTATATCGCTCTCAGGGCACGGCCATCGTACCGAGTCACGCTTCAGATCAAAGTTGGCATCGGTAATGCCTTCAGCCCCTTCAGGCTTGCAGCCATGCCAAAGGTAATGCTCGTTCATGCTGGGATCCACTGGATTTTCCTGGAAAAGCAAAACTCCACACTGGCCCTTCCCTGCCAAAACAAAAAAACTCTGGATGTTGGCTGTTCGCATCTGGGCTCTCGAGATTGTGTCCATGCACAGTACAATTCAACCAATTGTATCCAGGAAAATGCTGAAGGTTTAGGTGTGGGTGTTCTATACACATTCAGTGATGTCAAAATGTCAAGCAAAATCACTACAAAAAGTGCTCAAAGTCGTCCCAACCTGTCCTTTAAGCGGCCACCAAGAAGTGGAACAGCAGCAGTCTTCACATCCCAGGCATCCCCTGTGGCCATCTCAGCAGTTATGCTGGCACTAATCTCCTCTCGCCGTGCGCGGTAGTTCACATAAACCTGCGGCAAGGATACTGATCACGGAGGATGATGGATTTTTTTTGAATCTATTGAATTGTCATAGCTTAGCTGGGTATTCATGGATTATCATTGGTCTCTTAGTTTATGACAGTTTATGATCACAGGTGATCACATGGACTGATGCCAAAGCAAATGATCACTGTTGATCACTGTTGATCACGGATGATCACGGATGACCACTGGTCACCAGCAGAAGCACCTTGAATGTTACTGGCTCAACGCCTTCCACCCGCGCCTCCGCATTCTGGACATAGATGACACTGACCACCTGAGCGCAGATTTGGCTACTGGGACTGCGAGGAAGACCTCACAGGTTGGATTTGTCTGCAAGATGGGATCCCACAAAATCTCGTGGTGAGTGAATCATCATTTTGGGCCAGACTGCCAGAGCTGATTAATCATCCTACATGCTCAATTAAAATTTCCATGAAAATCCCAATCACACCTTCAACTTCTTCGCCACTGGCTCAGAGCCGCGGTCACGCGTGCGGGTCTTAGCACCATGACCACCCCAACCCCAGAAGGTTGCGTCCACTAACTCCTTCAAGCGAAGCATCCGTATCATTTTTCCGGGGGCTGCCAGGACGACTAAGTTCAGTTCTAACAGATTCTAACATTCTGAGATTGCAGGGGTTCTTTAGTTTCCTTCCAAAGAATTATCCCATCGAAATCAAACTTGGAAAGCTTGGCAGCCACTTGGATAGAGTGAGTCGCTTGAGGACTCATTGAGTGCACAAGTTTTTCGCGTGACCATGCAGCTGCGAACCGTCCTGAACCTTCTTCAGGAGAGCTTGTCCCGTCTCCTCGTCCTGCGAATTCTATTGATCAGGGCACCGGACCCATTAGGGCACACGATTCAGATTAAAAATCAAGTGTCTCGCTGTAGTACTTGGGACCTTTGAAAAGTCAAGGCAGGACTTTTATACCCTTTATATGAATGCAACATAATGCAACCTCATTGTTCGTCATACCGCCTGAATATCTTTAAATATGTGTTGCTTCAATCATCTGCATCGTCACGCGGCATCGTCTCCCTTCCTTCTTCAGCAAGCGTGCAGCATCTGTACCAGCCATACGCTCCACAACATCCCAGCCCGCAGGCAGGCCCATCTTCTGCCCCACTTTTCGCGCTGTCTCATTGACCTTCCTAGAGAGAAGCAAATCTCGGAGGTGGCCCCTCGCTTCAAAAAAAGAATATAAAAGATACTATATAGTGCCTAGATCATTGGTGGGCTACAATCAGTTCAGTGGGTCCTCTCTCTAGCCAATGTATATGATATATATATATATATATGTATACATACATACATGTGTGCGTGTGTGTGGGTGTGTATGTAAATATATACGCACACATAAACCTATTAACCAAAAACAACCCCAAGAAATCTCACTTTCTCACTATGTGTTTGATTCATTTTTGTCCGCGCCTGGCGGCTCGCTCCGCCAGCTCCGTGAAGTTCTCCTGCTGCGCGCGCATCTCCACGGCCCGCAGCGTGGCCATGTCGTCGCTGTGCTGGGCAGCTGGGAGTGGGAAAAAACACCAATGATTCGTGGGATAACATGGGATAACATGGGATAACCAATAGTTTCACCTTGAACCAACAATTCATCCCAATGAGGAAATAAATGGAAATAAGCTATAATTGGGATAATATAGTTGGATAACCTTGGGATAAGGTTTTTCGATGAGGAAGTGGGGATTAGTGGGGTTGTCATCAAGTTTTACCTCAATGGGGTGAAAAATGACGATAACCTCAATGGGATGGTAAAACTAGACTTGTGAAATAGCCGAGAGTACACATGCGTACACCATTTTTGTGATACATTTCCAACAGAAGTAATGATGATGCTCTTTTGAACTAATCAATGGCGTACACGTGCGTACACTATCAACAACAGGATTGGATATAATTCGGATACAAGCATACTTGTGATACATGTAGTGAAAATACTCATGGGTTGGATTAGATATAAATGTCCGTAAATGAGATACCTCATACCATACCTATGATAGATTGAGTTAATTTATGTTAAGGTGAGGCAAAAATGGTTTTAAAACCCAGTTGCCAAATCCAAATGAGTCTATCAGTTTGGTGATGCTGGTTCAAGATATACAAATGATGGTTGTAAATGCCTCCAAGTGGAGTATCAGAAAGTTAAACGGATCAAATCACTGTCAGTTACAACTGTACGGAACAATTTTCTACTGATGCAGTGTCTCCCTCAGTCGCTCGGCCAAACTACTGCAACAGAAAGCTTGCTTCAAAACTCTCATGAGAAACTGATAAACTGTGAATGAAAGGTTCCTTTCTTTTGGAGACAGTGATCATCAGTCATCAGAGTCATCAGCCCGCACCGTGTCGCCCGCCTCGGCTCGAGCCAACGCAAGTTCCATGGTCAAGCGCAACACTTGAACCTCTGCAAGTTGTTCCACGGCCGACCAGCCACAAGCCTCACAAAACGGAAGTCCACTGAAAACAAAAAAAAAGCGTCCAAACACCTTGGATTGAAGTAATGTATGGTAACCTTTACACCAATCCCCCTAAAAATATATATGTTTTCTTGATTGCTGCATATGTTTTTTCCGACTTGAAGGCCACATGCATTGTGCAAACCATGGAAATTGTTGGACTAAAAGTTCCACGAGGCTCAAACATGCTTTTGTTGCCCCTGTATTTACCAGACAGTACATGTTCCCAACAATGGGCCGAAGAATGGTGAGCACAGAACAGAGACGCACAAGGGTAGAACGATGTAGAACGTGTGCCTTCGCCTCATCTCTCACTTGCAGTGTCTTCTGCAAAGCATCTTCAGTGTCCAGTAGGGCAGCCTGCTTCAAGCGCGACTCTCCTAGTGCCAGCACCCGCCTGCAAGGCCAGGGCAGTGGATTCATCCACTTATCCATGGAATCATCCACTTATCCATGGAAGGTGACAAGAGACAGGTTGCAATCGCTTTACCTGGTCATCCAACGTCAATACAAACTTCTGAATCCTGGCAAAATTGAATTGTTCAATCCCTTGTCAGCTTAAAAATTAACACAACATTGGAGGAGTGTCAATTTGCCATAGTTGACTTAGTTGACTTAGTTATACTTAGTTGACTCTTTTTTTGTGTCCATGAGGTACACGTCCCAAATCGTCCCATGGTCCCATGGTCCCATGGTCCCATGGTCCCATGGTCCCATGGTCCTGGCCAACTCCACCAGGCCATGTGTCTCAGCCGTGTGATGCACGGCGCCCAACTCTGCGAAGTCCGCATCTTCGGAGACCAACCGCTCCAGGCGCGGCAAGAGCTGCTTGCCATACAAGCCCTGCTGCAGGGCCAACACCTGGCACGGCTGGGTGGATCCCCCCATGGAGCGCCAACCCTACAAAAGGCTGGTGATTTTGTGTGACATATGTGACATTTAGATATGTTGGCTATTGCAACGATCAAACAAGCCATCCATTTTGGGGGCTAGATTGGCTAGATAGTCTTGAAATCTCTTGAAGCCCGGCTTGTCCTTGCCATCCCCCGGAAAAACGCAACGAAAACCACACAGCGATGCCTCTTTGTAAACCTGAAGCTTTTCCATTCCCTTCTCCCGTGCGAAGCGGAGCGCGTTCCTCATCTCAGCCTCGCTACCTGCGTCTGACTTTCCAAAAACATTGTGCAACAATAATCAGCACATATCAGCACTAGAGCACTGATGTTGCATCTAGTCAAAAGTTGCTACTAAACATCTGGAGCTTGATGGCAGCAATTGAGCATTGGTGTGACATCCTGGTTTCCTTTTCATGTCGTCAATATGCGTCACGCGCATGTACTGAGAATGTCAATCGTTGACAATGGTTCAAGATTCTGTCCCAGAATATCCCGAATGTTTGGAGCGATGTCAGCATAATAAATAGGTTTGAGCTGAGCCAGGCCTGATTCTGCTGCCGCTAGTAGCCGATTCGTCACAAGGCAAGACACCGCTGATGTTTTTGCTTGCAGTTCAACCTGTTCCAGGTTCAAGATTCTGGAGGGCCAAAGACTTACAAACTGGGTGCCACAAAAGCCACCAGAAAAGTTTGCTGCTCCAATGACACCCCTCTAATATCCTCTCACCTATGGGACGCTTCATGGAATGCGGCAACCATCACACGCCTTTTCTTCTCCAAGGTACCCCGCTGGGGGCAAAGAGCAGGCAACGAGCCCGCCATAGAATGCTTCCATGTTGAATGGGTTCTAAATGCGATCAAACTTCGAGATGCATCGGGCGATGAAAAAAAGCTAAAGGCAATCCGTATGTCGTGTACGTCTACGTCGCCAGGCTATTACCTGGCGGTTCAGGATGGTTGAGGCTCATCTTCATCACACAACAAACATCTTGCGAGGTGGCTTGGAGGTTGAGAAACTCCAAACAAATCTGGAGGTCCAGTCCAAGCACCAGGCAGGCTGGGCAACTCTCAAAGGCTAATCGTGTGGACTCGGACAGCTCTGCGAAGGAGTCCCAAGACGTGGGCATGGGATCCATCCACATTGGCATCATGAGCGATGTCGAAGGCAGTACGACCTCCAGAGTCCATTTCGTTCGGATCTGCACCCTCTTCCAGGAGCATCCATAGAGTTTCATCATCACCCGCCTCTGCTGCCACATGGATCGGGTAGACTACCTCCCACTGTACGCAGGAGGTGCTAACTCCCAGCTCCCTGCGACTGAACGCATCTGGGAAGCCGTGCTTTGTCAGGAACTGTTGCAGGGTCTCCCTTTTGAGCTGGAGGACCAAGTCACTGCTATTTCCCCTGAGAAGTGCTTGAGTCTTCCTGATGATGGGCGCCATGTAAAGTGCAATGATCTCTCTCTCTCTCTCTCTCCCGGCAACGAAGCCTTTCGGGGTTTTTGAGCCTAGTTTGCCAGCGGTTTCTTGCGGTTTGAACGGTTACAAGCCATTCTGTTCGCCATCTGAGACCTTCAGTGGGCTTGGCATTTTGCACACAACTGTTTCTTACACGTTCTCTCGGAATTATTCAAATTCTTGATTTGATTTTCCGTCATAACGTGGGCTTAGCAATTTGCATGCATCAAGCACAGCAAATTGATTTAAGTGGAGTAACGAATCGGCTCCGTCATCACCGGCCTCTCGTGCTCGAACAACAGCAGCTTCCATCTGTGCTTCGTCATTGCTGTTCACAGCAGCTGTCCTCAGAGCTCACAGGAAGTTTTCTATCCATCACTGGTTGGAAAAAAAGCCTGGAAGCCATAGGACTTGGGCTGAAGGCTGTGGGTTGGAAAAGGGCTGCTACATGGGCCTCATTGTAAAGGGGATTCAAATGAGTTCAAATGGAAGAATTAGCAACTATATAATATAAATATATATATATAATAGATTTAATAGATGTTCGGAAATTTGGAGAGCTTGCCCCAAGACCGCATGCCATGTGTGCTGCCATGGCTCAAGTCTGCTTTCAAGGCAAGGATCAACCTGTTGTCCACAAGGACAAATGTACCATCATGCTAGAAACACGCAAAGACATGTGCATTGGACATTTCGTGTATTGGTGCCATGTTTGAATACCAGATGGTAAACTTGAATTTGAGTCCCGGAACTCTTTGATGCACTCCTCCCTCTCCATCTTCGTTCCCTGATCAATTGCCAGGTCCACATCCGCAAAGAGCATCTCCAACTGCTCGGGACTTGGAGGCGGCGTGCTGGGAACTGAGCCATAGTCCATCCAAACGATGACGTCCATATCCTTGAGATCAATTAACGAGAGGGTTTTGAGTTGAATTCGGTTCAAAACAAGATACTCATGTGCCATGTCAAAACATGGCATATGCAGTGTGATAATCCCACCATCATTAGGGATTCCTAATATGTGCATGATAAACCCTACTAACGTGGGGATGACCATCCCCTTTTGTGGGAAAGCAAACCATACTTTGACCATGAAACACATGACTTAAGCTGAAATGCAGATGTTTTTGGCCTTGATTCCCATTGCATGGATGTAAGATGACGTCTTGCCTGTGGCCTGTGACTGTAAGACTGTAAGGATTTTTGCAAGCTGTACTTGCATCCCACCAACTGAAGCAAAAAAAAAAACTGACCGGCACACGTGGCCTAGAATCCGAGAGGGGGTCCACATGCCGCGTGCGTTTTCCTGGTTCCAAAACGACTAACTTCCACCAAGATGTTGTCGGGGCATTTGGGCCGACGCGACCAGCAGAAAGCTCCAGCAAATCACTTGTGACACCCTCCTTGGGAAGCGGCTCCTGGGATCACTCAGCAGAACAACAAACACACCGATCCATGGCGATGCGGTTATCACATAAGCCATCCATAGCCATCCTATGACGACGGGGTCGGATGGGGTCGGGCCCGTCCTGGCTGACCAGTGAATGCTCGATGACTTCCGTCAAGCCCCATTCAACTGGCTGACGATCTGCAAAGACTTCGAACGCTGGCACCTCATGGCAATGCATCTCAAGTGGCCCAAGTCCCATCGCAGTTGGCCCGCTTCCCCAGCAATCAATGCATAGAGAAAGAAAGGTATAAACGCCTGCGCATTTTATAAATATCAAATATGTTGATAATATTTTTTATAATATAAATATATGATAATATATGTATGTAGATATGTATCTGTGTCTTGATATGTAATTCTACACACATTATAGACATACAGTAACATAGATATCAAATACCATCAATCACCTATAGTAACTAGAGTCTATAGATGTCTATAGAGGATACTACACCCATTCCCCACAACATTTCACAACCCGCCTGCATTGCAACGCTCACTAAGGAAGAGATGTGACGCCGGTGGCTCTCACGGCTCAGAAGACACGTCTCAGGGTCCAAGGGGTTGGGCAATTTCTTGGCCACTCGATGGATGCGGTCCTTGCCATTGCGGTCAGCGTTGGTTCCCATGGAGAAGCAATGGAGGAAAAATATATATATTTATATGTATATATAACATTATTGATCATTATTGTCAATGTGGATCAATATGGTTTCTTCTCCAAATACCTTCGCATCGTGTGCGTGTCACGTGTTTGGCACAAAAAATCACTAAAGATGCGAAAGGGATTGAAAAGGACCTTGCGTCTTCCAGATGCAAAGCTGCACAAGAACATCATGCGGCCGGTAATTCGTATGCACCCTAGTAGGCTCTACCAGGAAACAGGCATGAATGTCATGCGCATGTGTATACATTTGCCATCCCAAGAAGTTCAGCTAAAGCTGAGGGCAGGTGGCCCGGATCATCACTTCCAGGAATTCAGTGGATGTCGCAAGAAAGTCAAGATGCCGACATGGAAAGGATGAACAATTCTTTTGGTGCACTATCTACGGCAAGGAGAATCGGATGGTCACAAGCTTCCAAAAAGGCATCACTGTAACGGCTCATCAGCACTTTCTGCCGTCCAAGCATCTTGTATTGAATTGATGGTGCTCTGACTGGCTCTCCCAGGCTTCTGGCGCTCTGATACTAAAGCAGGTTTGGCTTCTTTCCAAGTTTTGCCTTCAGCCCCAGGCTTTAGAGAGCGTTCCCGTATTTGGCGCTGCTTTCCTGATTCTTTGCTCTTCTGGCACATGTGTTTGAAGTCCACTTCCTCGGCTTGATTTCAGACAAACAAGAGCAACCACCAAGGAACGGCGAATCCAACAACCGCTCTGGGTGACATAGCCACAGAGGCAGACCAACCCTATCTGATGAGACATCTGGATGCATCTGGCTCTTGTCCGACGCATGTTGCCCCATGCGTCTCCATCTCCAAGCGTCGCAAGACTAAAGGACTTGGGTGTCCGGATATCCAAATAGCTAGACAGTTCGCAGTGGATTCCTTATTATGTGAGGTAAACGATTTGATTTTTTAATACTGCTTTGAGCCATATACATAGATCAAAATCTCTTGCAATGATTTCAATACCTCTTGCTTTTGCAAGCAGCTCCGTTGAAAGAAAGCGTCGTAACCCTCATTGTGGAATACAGTTTCAACACATGTAAAACAGTGAATATGATTATGCCGGTGCGCTTTTTTCTTTCTGCACATTTTTTGGGATTTTTTTTCAGGCGGTAATTATTTCTTCGCGCCAAAAAAAGTAGGATTCACATGTTTTTTTTTGCCGGATTGTGGCGAAGCTGTTGTATCATCTCAAGGTCATTCACGTTCGCATTCTCCAGCATCACCTCGTTGATGAAATTAAGGTCTGTGTATGCATAGTATTCGCACGAATCTCTTCCAGTTTCTGGTGCGTTTATATACATGTTTGATCCTCATTTTGAGCTAGTGATGTATCATTTGCTCTCACTCTCGCCATACTGCCTTTGGGTGCTCATTCGCACTGAATATCGTCTCCACCCTTTGGAGCTTTGCTTTTGGCGGTATATAACTCTCCGACGTAGGTTCTCCATCGACTATTTTGACTGCGCCCTCCACACAGACCTTCGGCAACATCACCCCGCCAAACCCTTGTGGGGAGACCAATTCCGGGCCGTTCAATCTTTCCGATTTTGGTGGTGGATTGTTCTTTCACCTTCAGCACAGTGCAATGAACGAGACCCAAAGACTTGTCTGTGCTGAAGGGACTGCCCACTAAATGAAAGCACAAATGGTGGCAATGGCACCTCTGATAGCATGAAAACTCACAGGTTCTTTGCTTAGCAAGAGAGTATTTTTTCAGATTTTGCCACATCACGTCTCGTCTGAAACCTCTTTTCATTGACCACGTTGCACCCCAGGAATCACTTTCTGTAGGCAGATCATGATCCCATTGTCCATCATTTCCGTAACTTTTAAACACCTAAAACATTGTAACAGAACCATCGTCCATTATTGTTTCAAATGCAGCCACAAAAAAAAAAAAAACATCATTTGCTATCATGTGCAATAGCAGCAGCACTTTTTGACCTTTGATCAAACCCAAACATATTGCCACGATCCACCAAGCATCATATCGCCGGCCCACTGACATCACCTCACTCCGCGGCAGGCCTGCGGCTTTCGCACTTCGCAAGATGGCTTGCGCAAAGTCATCAAAGGGCACCCAGCTCTCATCATCCAATCGCACCTGCCATGGGAGTCATGGCAACCTGGCAACCCTAACAACATGTGCATATGCCAACTTTATCCAACTTTCTTTTCTCTTCAACATGTGCATAGGCAGCTCCATGTGTGCCATCAATCTCTTTTTCTACTTTAGTCATAAGTAGTCATACGTCCGCACTTCTGCTGCGTGCACATTTGGCAGCAAAACTTGAAACTTAAAGATGCTTGTACCTGGAGTATGTGGAAACAAGAATGGAAGACCGGTACTTCCTGGAGAGTAGCACCAAAACATTCATTCTTCTTTGTTAGTTTTCGAGAATCATGCTTCCTTGTTCCTTAGGCCAGGTGCCTCCCAAATGGATGGCGAATCGTCTGGATGCGAAGCTTCATCCTCTTCGTCCTCCTCTTCTTCCTCATCCTCATCCACAAAGGACGAGTCGATGACATACGGGGTTAATCCTCCCGAACCTCATTTTGAATGTTGCCAGGTTGCAAGGAAGGGGAGGAAATCGCAGGCTCCAACTTGGAACAGTCTGAAGGCGCGATGGTTTCAAAGAAACATCAAGAAGAACATCTATCTTATGGAGATGTTTAGAGACTTTAGAGTGCATACAATCATGCATAAACCTGCCACATTCACAACAGCATCGTTTGAAGGATCATAGTCATCCAAGGCTCAGAACGAGTAGGACAGCAAGCGCTCCACCATTGTCCAACATCTTCGGTCAAAGTCTGGGGTTCGCCAAACGACGACTTTTGTACAACAGGCAATGTAAAGTGGCAAAGCAGCCATGGCCAAGTCCATGCCGAAACGGTCCTCCTGCAGCAAAGCTTCAGCCGAATTCAGTCAACCCAAAGATCTGCCGCATTTCAAGGGACCCTGCGATCTTAGCAAAATAGTGCAAGTGTACAAGGTGACAGGCTTGGCAGTTGACGTCCCGTGTCTCAGGGGGATTCCGAGACGGCAATGCCTGATGTAGGTGCATGAGTTAATCATCATCGTCGTCGTCGTCGTCGTCGTCGTCATCATCATCATCATCATTGATCATCATCATGTCATCGCACAAGGGTTCTGGCCGCTCCACGCAACGCTGTTCAAACAGCTTAGAATACCATAGAATACCTCCGTTTCAGCCGCAACCTGTTTCTGCCCGCTCTCCGGTCCTGTTCGCAGCAACAATAGTCAATCCAGAAGGCCACTTCGCAGGGCACTCCCGCTGCATCAGCCAAGCGCATGAACCAGCGTGCAAAGGACACCAACTTATTCGCCTTGACGTTGTCCTGCAGCAGCAACAGACCCTAGACGCATGTAGAAACGAATCTTAAATGACCCAATCTCAAGGACCAATGGCTACCAGGTGCTGCATTGTGTTTTGCAGTCCGTTACACAGCTATACAGGCTATACGCAAAAGAAATCACCCGGGCACGTCCTCCGAGTCCGGATGATAATCCGATTCCGTGCGCAGCCAACGGTGTGAAAGGAGAAAAACCACCAGCCGCTGCTCAACACTCTCGCGTGGGACTGACAGCCTCTCAGCCACGTCTTCCAAGAGCTGCTCAACTGGCTTTGCGGCACCACCGTTCCTTGGAATACAAAATCTGCATGGATCCCATTTGATCCCTTTCTCATGATTAGGATCACTGGTCTATCAGGACCTCAGGACCCCTGCATGGCGGCATGGCCTGATGATTTGTTGCAATCTCAAGCTACAGACACTCCTTCCTGGATCTTCCTGGCAAACATCTGCAAACCTGAAATGTGAACAGCCAACTCTGCAGCCAACGAGGCTGATACTTCGGAAGTGCCCCAGCTTTGGCGATCTCAGACCAATGCAGCAGTCGTACAGGGGGTGTGTCAGGACACTCCAGGATCCACGAGGCCTTTCTCTCGAGACTGGCCTTGATGAAATGCCTGGTGCCAGGCTGATCAACACATGCTTCAACTGGCAGTGGTTCTCACGTTTCAGACTTTTTTTACCGGGGCTTCCAGCGGTTCGCCCTAGAGCTAGAAAGCGACAACCTGCAAAGTGTACGTTTCAGACTTTAAGCTCTGGGTTTAACCAATCGTTTAATACTTACAGTATATAACAGCGATAATTGATCTATAGTGATCTGCAAATTACAGCAAATTACTATATCTCTATATCTCTCTATTGAAGGTCTGGAAAGCTTAGAGATTTCGAATTTCTGCTGAGCGGCCGGTTGGACAACAGCTGCTGGACGTGGCGTCGTACCTTGGCGACCCTCACCGCGTGGCTCACCGTGGTGCGGAAGAGATAGACCTCTGCACCGGCCGTCCCCGATCACCGTCCCAAATTTTCAAAATGGGGAGGGTCCTGGTCCTACCCTGAAGTCCACTGGTCGATCAGCTTCCCTATCTAAAAATGCCATTTTGATCCATCTTAGATTAAAATGTTCCTCAGATACCTCACAGGATACTCACGAGTGGGAGGTTTGGCCAGTTGACATGGGAGGGTCCTCTTATCCCACACCTGTCAGCCCTTGCCCAGCCCTTGCCCAGCCCTTGCCCAGCCCTTGCCGCAAAAACCATCAAAACCCAGGGCGAACGACAAGCAATGCCATTTATTTCAGCGGCATCCACCGCAAAAGTCTTGGCAAGCCACGTTGGTCATTGATTCTTGGGGCAACGCCAACGAATTCGCGGTTTGGACAAACTTGTTCAACTTTTTGGGAATCTGCCGACAGAGGTACCAATGGACACCTGGTCACTGGACACTGGAGAACGCCTTCAACATACTTATGGACTGCAAGTGACACATCTAATTACCAATTGTATACGCCCAGTCTTTGGAAGTTTGTTTTCTGCAAGCGACATACCCAGACCAGACAAGAACAAACATGAGACCATGTGAGACAATGGAAATATATGGAAATATATGGATTGAGAGATATATATATATATTATATATTATTATATTATATATATATATGCATGCGGAAATATATGATTCTTACCAGATCTTAGCCACTTGGGCCAACTTTCCCATCGGTCGATCCCTTGAGGCCTGGAAGAGACCATCCACCCAAGTGGGCACGGCTGACAGTGAAGGTGTTACGGTCAATGGTCTCCAGCGTTACTGCCATGGCTTTCTGTTTGTGCACCTGGCATTAGAATCACAGTAGAATCAGAAAAGAGAAACAAAATGAAACAAATGTCAAAGCAGTTGTTGGACTGTTGTTGGATAAAAGATGATAAAAGCCAGGATGAACTGAGCAGTTGTCTTCAACTCCTGCCTGGGCCCTCGAAAGGACGGGGTACAGCTGCCGAGCTGCGTCCAGCCAAAGGTCATCATCAGCATCCAACAGAGGTCTCAGAGGCTGTCCCTGCTGGGGCTGCATTCGCTTCGAGAAGTTGTAACCTGAGTGCCGTGGCCGCCGTGGCCACCGTGGCCGCCGTGGCCTGAGCCTGTTCGCATTCCTGTTGTGGCATCAAGTTCAGAAAGCAAGCACTACAGGAATGGTTTTGATATGTTTTGTTGACAATTCTAGGCCTTTTCATATATGTTCCTTCTTTTCCATTTCTGTTTCATCGTCTTGAATGCCTCAGGGTAAAGCTCAGGCAGCAAGCCATGGCGTTATTAACTGCTTGAAAGTGCTGCCTGGAAGCTCTCCAATGAGTCTAGCTTCATCCGCTGGTAGATTGAGAGACACTTTTTCCTTGTCCACCAGACCTCAAGAGCTGTCTTCAAAAGAATCTGTGAACATATAAATTCATATAACATTATATATATATATATATACATTCATGTACATATAGATACATATAGTACCAAAAGCCATACATTGCATATATCATTATCATATATCTCATGCGTCTATTTCTGAAGTGCAACCTAATGGCATCCCAAGACAGGCCGCAGTCGACCAAAAAATGCTGCCGAAGTGACCACTGTTGCCAAGGCTACTGCAGATAGAATGATGGCCACACCTCTTGAGCATACTGATCACCGTCATGGAAACACATGAAAAGACTGTCCACCTCGACCACTTGCAGGCTGGGTTTGCAGAAACAAAGGAGCGCAACTCAGCTTGGGGGTCAAAGTCCCATCTTCCTGGCAGTTTTATCGCAACTAACATTCATCCTGTCATTCTCCTTGCCTATGGTGGAGTTGCTGATGGTCTCGTCAACCACTTTGATGCGAGCTTCTAATCCTAGCAGGGTGGTCCGGCCATTCGCACAGCCTCAGATGGTACCATTGCAAATAAGCCAAAAAAGGGTGCATCATAAGGAGAACCAACAAGTTTAAGGATTGCATTCTGTCATTCTGTAATAGTATTTTGTTTTTGTCAATCCATGATGTGTCGTGTGTGGGTCCCAGTTGCCAGCCCCAAGTTTCCAATGTTTCCAAGCCACAAGAGGCTCACCTCATGCCACGAATTTGCAACCAAGATGCCCCAGTAGAATTCCCACCATTCTCTGCTCTGACATGGATCACCCGTGGGAGAGCAAGCTGAGATCCAAGGAAAGGCGGAGAGACATCCTTGGCTCTGCACCGCGGCTTTATATTATCGCCTTGGGGCGCCAAAGAAATGCCCAACATGCCCCACAAGCCCCACGTCACAGCCAAGCTTCGGTAGATGAGAACCACAAGGATGAACCAGAAGACCCGCCTCAAGTTTCTGACGCTAAGTCAACACCAAAAGACAAACAAGTCATCAGTTTTTGCATGTTCAGCACACTGGCTAACTAGATAGATTGATGTTCTGGGTTCACTGTGTTCACTTACATTTCAAACATGTCCTTTCAAAGAGCAAGCCCATCAAGGCCCACTGAGACGTCCCCCGATTTCTTTTGCTGGCTGGTCATGAACGTCATTTCGCTTCTGCAAAGGTCTGATGCTTGGTTCCCCCACAGCGGCGGAATCCTGCAAATGAATGCAAATGAGGGTTGGTGTTGCAAGGCTTTTGAGCCACGGAACTTATGACTACTTATGGAAATCTTGGTGAGATAAGTCTCATTAGTACGCATCCCAGGTCCTAGGTGTTTTGATTCTTGTCGTATCTCTAATCATCGGATAAAGTCCAAAAAGACATCGCCCTTGAAGACACGGAGACAATGATTCTGCAATGGGTATGTCAGAGTTTCTGCTGATTGCTCTTTCACCACCTATCTTTCTCTGGCTCAGAAAAAACTCCCACTGTTCAGCAAGGACCCTGGCAGTCATGCGCCCGCCGGGAAAGGAGGCGAAGACCCTGAACAGGGAAACAAAATGCGTCCAAGCATACCTCTGCTACGTGCCAAACAAATTCCTGATGTAATGCCTGTAATGCCTTGTAATGCCTGTTTACCCATTGACATCTTGACCATCACCTCACTCATCTTCAAAAATCCGCACAAGTGCCAAGCGAACAGATTCCCACCTGTACCAAAGCCAGTCCCGCACTTCGGGCATGCATTGTACCACAATAGTGAAGGACAGTAGCAAAGATGTAAGAATGGAGGTGGTCACCCAAAGTTTGTCGCCAATGGCAGCCTCATCATAGAAAATCCTTGGAGATCAAGCCATTACCAAACAGATCCAAACAGCATCAGTATGTGGAAACTGAGCCATTTATGAAGGTTGCACTCGGAGCGGCGCTGGAGCTCCGGTTGTCCTCAATAGACTTCCCACTTCTAGCAGCTAGCAGCACTAGAAACCTCTAAGCCCTCCGGTCGTCTTCCAAGGCAGCTAAGGTTCAAAAATACCGCTTGCAGGGCACTTTGCTCCACGTCCTCAAAGATGAAGCGCAGAAGAGCAATCCGAGCCTCTGAAAGCTTCCTCAGTGCAAATGTCTTTATAATACGTATATATACCCAATCACCGGGCAAGTCGAAGGACCAAAGGAGTGCCCTTGCCACATCTTGGCACATCTTTCCCTCACAAACACATTGTGTCAAGGCGCATGGCCCACGAACTGGAACCACCAAGGCGTTCCTCAACAGCTGGACGCACCGCGTAGACCAACACCTGAGCTTTGAATCCGTTCCTCCAATGCCGTGACTATCGGCAAAAAGACGGAAGAGTCAACATATTCAACGGACAAATGTTATCAAAGTATATATATTATTGTGAGTTGCACTCCATGCAACATAGCATGGAACATGACATGTTTCAATATGCAGCTGACCGCTGCCGTTTTACCACTTCAAGGGTGGGCTTGACTAGCCCATTTGGCTACAGCCGACGCTGGCCTCTCGGAAAAGCTGGCGCTGCTACTTCTTTGAGGTGGACTTCGTGTGCCCCCCGTCTTCACATTGGTGAGCGGAGCTGGTTCCTTCAACGGGGACTACTTCCTGGAGTTCGGGCTGCGCTGCGCTGCTTGGACTTCTACCTCTTCGAGCTCGGGCTGGGCGCTACATCATCTCCTTCCTCCTCGCGGTCGGGCTTTGCACCTACGTGGTTTCCTACGTGCTGGAGCTCTGGGCTTGGCTACGTGGTCTTCTACCTGCTGGTGATCGGGCTGCGCCCTACGTGGACTTCCTCTACTTGGACCTCTACGACTTCGAGCGCTACGCTCTGGACCACTTCGACCTGGTGCTCTACGACCTGGTGCCCTACGACCTGGACTTCCTCGACGTTGACCTCTTTGACCTGGAGCACTACGCCCTGGACCTCTTCTACCTGGAGCTTTGCTGGTGGCGACTATGTCTTCGGCTGCGAGCTCTACTGGCTATGACTCCCTGCGCGACTCCAACATCCCGGTCTTCAATGGAGCTCTGGCCGACTACCGGGAGTACAGGCGCCGCATCAAGCTCTACATGGGTAAGATGAAGTTGCTGAAGCGCGAGGCCGAAGGGGTGCTGAACATGCTAGGCTCCCTTAGCGGCACCGCATGGAAGCTGATGGAGAACTACGACCTGGCCGATGCCGAGAAACCTGATGCCATAGACCGCATCCTGAAGGTGCTTGACAAGGCGTTTGAGTACGACAGTCGCGTGCAGTTGCCCCAGGACTTTGACAAGTTCTTCACGGTTCTGCACCCAAGGCCTGGCCAAACCTTGCTGCAGTACGTGACGGACTTTGATGAATGCTACCGGAAGTTGGAGGATCACAAGATCAGCCTTCCATGTGCAGTCCAAGGCTGGCATCTGATGAGGAGAGCTGGACTGACCAAAGAACAACGACAGCTGATCATCACCCAAGCCCCAACTCTGGAGCGCAACAAAGTCCAAGAGGCCATGTACCTCATACTGGGACAAGATCACCGACATGTTGCTGGACATGCTGGCCAAGGTGATCGCTTCCACCGTCGTGGCAAGGCATACTATGGTGAAGATGCAGCTGATGATGGTTCTGCCTACGACCCTGTGGAGTCCTATGAGTATGACGAGACCTACTGGCCTGAGGCTGACTATGACGACACCGTGTACTACCACAACGACCTTGACGAGCAGGAGGACTGGGAAGCTGGCGATGAGTTTGATCATGAAGCTGGCTACTATGGTGATGAACCTCCCCCTGAACCTTCTGCTGAAGCTCAAGCCTATGATGAGGCCTACGCGGCCTACCTGGACGCCCGAAAGAGGTTCAGTGACCTCAAGCTGGCAAGGGGTTTCCTTCCAGTTGTCGCTTTGGCTGATGCTCAAGCGAACCTCACACCTGGGCTGTCACCTACCTCCTCTACTTCGTCTCCTGGCCGTGGAAAGGGCAAAGGCCCTAAGGGCTCAAAGGGCAAAAGCAAGGGCAAAGGCAAGAATGTTGTCCGATACCCTCCATGGAAGCCCAAGGAGGCTGATCCACGTGGGCGAGCACACGCCACTTTGGCGACAACATGCTTGCGATGTGGCCAACAAGGACACACCACGCACAATTGCCCTCAACCAAGATCGACAACTTCGAGCCCTACAAAGAAGCGTGCCGCACCTACGGAAAGCACTGCGCTTGATGGTGATGGTGAAGCTGGCATGGTGACGTTCCAAGACCAATTTGGTCAAGAGCGCTGGGATTGCGTGATGCTGGACCCTGGTGCCAGTGCATTCCTCATGGGTTATGGACCCTTCAGCCGCTACGTCAACATGCTGGAGCAACGTGGCTTCCCCAAGGAGCACCTCAAGTTCCTCAAGTGCGACCGCAAGTTCTTCTTTGGAGGTGATGCTTGCAGCCAATGCCGATGGACTGTGATGCTGCCTGTGGCTGTCTCTGGGCGCTGTGGCTTCATTCAGGCCTACATCCTCCCTGGCGAGACACCTATGCTCATGGGCAGGCCAATTATGGAGGCCATTGGACTCATCTTGGACTGCAAGCGACATCGAGTTCGACTTGATGACGAACCCTGGCAAGACCTCATTGTCGGTCTGCATGGTGAGTACCTCATGCCCCTGCTGGACTTCGACAAGCACGATGTGGAGGAATCTCCTCACTTTGAGCTGGTGGTGCCCAACGATGGTGGAGTCACTGGCGACCCTGTGCAGTTCATCGACTTCAACATGGCGGAGAAGGTCTTCTTGGACGAGCACATTGCCCCTGTGGAGACCTACGCTGATGGAGGCGAATCAAAGCTGCGCCGCCACCACTTGACCACCTTCGAGACCAAGCTCAACCACATCGAGAAGGAGCAACAGGCCTATGTCACCTCTGAGCTTCATGGACTTCATGAACCCAAACCAAGAGTTTTGTGGGAAGTCTACTGTGGTGGAGCTCGCCTTTCCAAAGTGGCACAATCCATGGGCATGAAGGTAGAGGAATTCTCCTATGCCACCGGCTGGGATTTCAACATTCGAGCTCACCGAGATCACTTTCTACAACGACTTCGAGCTGAGATGCCTGACGAGCTGTTCCTCTCTCCAGAGTGCAAACTATGGAGCCAGATGCAAAACATCACGGCACGAACTGAAGACCAACAGGTGGAGCTTCAAGACCAACGACAAGAACACCATGACACCCACCTGCGGTTCGTTGCGATGGCCTACAAGGAACAGGTTGATGGTGCACGACATGCTCACTTGGAGCAACCTTCGAAGGCACTCAGCTGGAAAACTGTGGCTCTCCGAGACCTACCTGGTTTCCATGTGGTCTTTGACCAATGCATGTATGGTTGCTGCTGCCTGGACTTTGATGATAACTGGCGGCTTGTGAAAAAGGGAACAGGTCTTAGGACTACAAAGGCCGCTATGGCCGCAGCCATGAACCTCCGATGTGATGGCCAACATGCTCACTGTCGCCTTGAAGGCAGTGCTCCTGGCTATGGCCGAAGGACGGCATACCTCGAAGACTACCAGCCTGGCTTGGCATCAACGTTGGCTGCCGCCATCTTTGCCCCTGAGTTGCCTCAATGCTGGGAGTATGCCGCTGCGGTGGATGAACAACGTGCTGTGCAAGGGCAGTTGATCAAGCTCTACACCGACTCCAAAGTGGAAGCTGTCCGAACAGTGCAGCGACTTCACCGCAACTTGGGCCACCCGAGCACTGAAGCTCTGACTGAGCTCCTTGAAAGCCGACAGGCCAGTGAGGCCATTCTGGAAGCCGCAAGAAAGTACCAATGTGTAGCCTGCTTGCGCTACAAGAAGCCCAACCAAGTTGCCCCTGCTTCCATCAAGCAGGTCACTGAGTTTGGTGAGAAGCTCCTGGCCGACGTCTTTCGGGTCAAGCCTGGCAACGTGAAATACCCAGTGCTCTCCATAGTGGACGCAGCCACCAAGTACCAGACTGCTGCTGCGATCCATGCTGAGAAGGGCGACGACTACATCGCTGCCATTGAGCGCTGCTGGGTCAGGCACTTTGGACTTCCTCAGATCCTTGCAACTGATGAAGGACGAGGCTGGCTTGGTGCTGAGTTCAACTCATGGACCTCGACGCATGGCATCCTACATGATGTTGCCCCTGGCGAAGCTCACCAGAAACTGGCTCTTGTGGAGCGTCGACATCAGATCCTCAGAAAAGCCATCGAAGTTTACATGCAAGACATGTCACTGATGGGAACCAATGGCATCCGACAAGCTCTATGCTACGTGCTGCCCCAGATCAATGCCACACCGAGCGTTGGTGGTTTTTCACCTTCACAATGGCTCTTGGGCAAACAGATCCGCCTTCCAGGTGATCTTGCACTTGATCGGATGACCCCTGCACAACTTGATGGCCATGAGGACTTTGAGATGTTGCTGAAACGCCGCACCGCGGCCAAACAAGCTCTACTACATGCTGAGACTGACAGCAAGCTCAGACGAGCCATGCTGCGGAAGTACCAAGGCACCAACTTGCCCTTGGAAGTTGGCCAACTGTGCTTCTTTTGGCGCGACGCCAAAGCTGCTGACCTGGTGAAGATTCGCTGGCATGGACCTGCCCGTGTTGTTGCCAGAGAAGACAAAGATGGGAACCCAGATGTTTAC